TTGGATCAAGAAATCTTCCTGATAAATTGAGAAGACCGTTAACAAGTTGGATCAAGAAATCTTCCTGATAAATTGAGAAGACCGTTAACAAGTTGGATCAAGAAATCTTCCTGATAAATTGAGAAGACCGTTAACAAGTTGGATCAAGAAATCTTCCTGATAATGGAGAAGATCTTTAACAAGTTGGATCAAGAAATCTTCCTGATAATGGAGAAGATCTTTAACAAGTTGGATCAAGAAATCTTCCTGATAAATTGAGAAGACCGTTAACAAGTTGGATCAAGAAATCTTCCTGATAAATTGAGAAGACCGTTAACAAGTTGGATCAAGAAATCTTCCCGATAATGGAGAAGATCTTTAACAAGTTGGATCAAGAAATCTTCCTGATAATGGAGAAGATCTTTAACAAGTTGGATCAAGAAATCTTCCTGATAAATTGAGAAGACCGTTAACAAGTTGGATCAAGAAATCTTCCTGATAAATTGAGAAGACCGTTAACAAGTTGGATCAAGAAATCTTCCCGATAATGGAGAAGATCTTTAACAAGTTGGATCAAGAAATCTTCCTGATAATGGAGAAGATCTTTAACAAGTTGGATCAAGAAATCTTCCTGATAAATTGAGAAGACTGTTAACAAGAAATCTTCCTGATAATGAAAATAAAATTTAAAAAAAAAACGACTCTCCATATGAACCTGGAGGTTGTAATTGTAAGGTTTAGGGCTTGGAGGAATGTGATCCATTTAAGTAACCACAGGTGGCTGGGGGAGGGGGGGGGGGGCGGAGGAGCGTGCCCCACCCAGCGTTCCGCTTGACCGGTCACCGCCCGTGACCATCTGCTCGCGCTTGTTGACCTCTTGGCCACGTGGCCAGCGAAGCTTGGCCATTCGGTGGCCCTTCAAACTGTCGCAAAACCATTTTCAGTGTGTGTGGTGTGTGGTGGTGTGTGTGTGGTGTGTGTGGTGTGTGTGTGTGGTGTGTGTGTGGTGTGTGTGGTGTGTGGTGTGTGTGTGGTGGTGTGTGTGTGGTGTGTGTGGTGTGTGTGGTGTGTGTATAGTGTGTGGTGTGTGTGTGTGGTGTGTGTGGTGTGTGTGTGTGTGGTGTGTGTATAGTGTGTGGTGTGTGTGTGGTGTGTGTGTGTGTGTGTGTGTGGTGTGTGTGTGTGGTGTGTGTGGTGTGTGTGGTGGTGTTGTGGTGTCGTGGTGTGTGTGTGGTGGTGTGTGTGGTGGTGTTGTGGTGTGTGTGTGGTGGTGTGTGTGGTGTGTGTGTGGTGTGTGTGGTGGTGTGTGTGGTGTGTGTGTGGTGGTGTGTGTGGTGTGTGTGGTGTGTGTGGTGTGTGTATAGTGTGTGGTGTGTGGTGTGTGTGTGTGGTGTGTGTGTGTGTGGTGTGTATAGTGTGTGTATGTGTGTGTATATGTGGTGTGGGAGTGTTCTATCGGTCAATCAAAACTATCTCTGCTAACTACCCCATATATTCGGCATTCACTTACTTTCAATTAAAACTATCTCTGCTAACTACCCCATATATTCGGCATTCACTTACTTTCAGATGTTTGCTCAGTGTAGGGGGTATGGGGGCAGCTAAAACTGGAGGGGGGGGGTGAAGGCGTCTAAATGCCTGAAAGAAACTCGGGGGTGAATTTTCTTAATGGCGTGGGGTAAACTATGTATTGTTTATCATTCTCTCCACTCACGTTTCTAGGTCACCAGCACGCGACCAGCGCGCGAGCCAGAGACGGCTATACCATCGCAGTGATTTCATTGGTCAAGACGTCCCTCAACACAGACGTCACTTACCTGAGGAATTCTTGAAGACAGACGTCACAGAACCGATGGCCACAGGTCCGCACGAGCACCGGGTCGCGCATGGGCAGACGACACAAGGGGCAGTAGCATCTTCTGCGCAGTTTTTCTACAAACGTCAGACTATATCCTGGCATTGTCTACTGCAACAACTGGGGAGTGGAGGGCAAACATACAGTCTGTGTTTCTATGTGTTTGTGTGTCTGTGTCTGTGTGAGCACGTGCGTATGTGCGTGCTGCGTGTCCTGTGTTGCTGGTTCCCATATTATATATATATATATATATATATATATATATATATATATATATATATATATATATATATATATATATATATATATGTAAATATATATAATATACGAGCCGACCCGCGGCGCATCACATGCCGCTATTTAGTTGTTTTATTTTCTACTTTTCAGTATTCATAATTTGTGAATTTGACAGTACCAATGCTGCCACTGAATATATTTGCTTTAAAACATTATCAGTAGCTCGTTAAGGACGATAACCCCCCCCCCCCCCCCCCCCCGTGAAAGCAGCCTCCTCTTAGTTACCTTCCCTAAGTTTAAAATCGCTTCAAACTAAATTATCTCCCCCTAATAGCCGTCACTAAACCCGGCTCTACGATTGTAAACATTTAGCGTGAACCACAGCTCACCAGATCATGTAGGGGTGGGGGTGGTAGGGAGCGCGCTTACAGCTTGTTTTCTAGGGTCTCCAAGAAGAGAATTATATATATATATATATATATATATATATATATATATATATATATATATATATATATATATATATATATATATATATATAAACCCATGTTAAGAGCTTAAAATTGTGGTTCTTTAAATATGTTGGAACTAAAATCATGAATAGCGAGACTTGTATACTGATGGTTATGGGCTAATATCAGACTGGGGGGGGGGGGGGGGGCAACAGTACGTGGGCACGTGTTGGTGTGTTTCTGGTTTGTTCGAGGTTTGTATTGTTTTACTATCTGATTGCAGACGACAAAACGACTCTACGATCAATGTGTGTGGATCAATGGAAACATTCTCCAAGCGCCAACACCACGTCAGGAAACTGGGATTTCAGCCAATCGGCGCTAACCGGAAGTGACGGAGTACCGTAGCTAGTGTGGGTTAGCTATCGGACGGTGCCGATATTTGATCATCACTCAGGCGAGAGTTAATCGATACAACATGATCGAATTAGAATAATGGTTTTTATTTGATTGGTTGAGGTGTATCAGCTTTGTACAAGAAAAGATGAAACCACTGGACCACAGAATGTGGACTACACCAGTGGACCACAGAATGTGGACTACACCAGTGGACTACACCAGTGGACCAGAGAATGTGGACTACACCAGTGGACCACAGAATGTGGACTACACCAGTGGACTACACCAGTGGACCACAGAATGTGGACTACATCAGTGGACCACAGAATGTGGACTACACCAGTGGACCACAGAACGTGGACTACACCAGTGGACCACAGAATGTGGACTACACCAGTGGACCACAGAATGTGGACTACACCAGTGGACCACAGAAGACTACATCAGTGGACCACAGAATTTGGACTACACCAGTGGACCACAATATGTGGACTACATCAGTGGACCACAGAATTTGGACTACACCAGTGGACCAGAGAATGTGGACTACACCAGTGGACCACAGAATGTGGACTACATCAGTGGACTACACCAGTGGACCAGAGAATGGGGATTACACCAGTGGACCACAGAATGTGGACTACACCAGTGGACCACAGAATGTGGACTACACCAATGGACCACAGAATGTGGACTACACCAGTGGACTACACCAGTGGACCACAGAATGTGGACTACACCAGTGGACCACAGAATGTGGACTACACCAGTGGACCACAGAATGTGGACTATTAACACGGCAATCAAGTGCTGCAACTCAACTCTCGGCGTCAAACCGGTCTCGCTTCATCGGTGCGTATCAACATGTCCTATTGATTGAATCCAATGGTGTGGTCACGTGAGAGTTATAATTAGAAACAAGTGTGGAGAAGCATCAAGAGAAAATGGACACTTACCATCTGTTGACTAATGGCCGAGTCACGTGATGCCCGTGATCAAGGAGTGAGGGTGTGAAGCTTTAATGCTGCCAATGATTGGCCAACTGTGTGTTGATGACGTCAAGCTGCTCCGTCAATGAGTGGCCACCTGTGGTTGTGTGGCGCTAAGATAGCGGGCCTGTGGTTGTGTGGTTGATGGGGTATTGATTGGCTACATCGAGCTGGCGGGGCGGGGCGAACAATGGTGGCAGTGCTCGACTCGAGCCACCGCTAATTGATTAGTTCTGTTGGTGTGAGGACATCTAAGGTAGGACACTGAAGGCAGGAGGACATTGTAGGTGGGACATTGTAGGTATGTGGACATTGGAAGGAGGACATTGAAGGTAGGAGGACATTGAAGGTAGGACATTGTAGGTATGTGGACATTGGAAGGAGGACATTGAAGGTAGGAGGACATTGAAGGTAGCAGGACATAGGTAGGACATTGTAGGTATGTGGACATTGGAAGGAGGACATTGAAGGTAGGAGGACATTGAAGGTAGGAGGACATTGAAGGTAGGAGGACATAGGTAGGACATAGTAGGTATGTGGACATTGGAAGGAGGACATTGAAGGTAGGAGGACATTGTAGGTAGGACATTGAAGGTAGGACATTGAAGGTAGAACATTGAAGGTAGGACATTGAAGGTAGGAGGACATTGGAGGTAGGAGGACATAGGTAGGACATTGTAGGTATGTGGACATTGGAAGGAGGACATTGAAGGTAGGAGGACATTGTAGGTAGGACATTGAAGGTAGGACATTGAAGGTAGAACATTGAAGGTAGGACATTGAAGGTAGGAGGACATTGGAGGTAGGACATTGAAGGTATGAGGACATTGGAGGTATGAGGACATTGAAGGTAGGAGGACATTGAAGGTAGGAGGACATTGAATGTAGGACATTGAAGGTAGGAGGGCATTGAAGGTATGAGGACATTAAAGGTATGAGGGCATTGAAGGTAGGACATTGAAGGTAGGAGGACATTGAAGGTAGGAGGACAGTGGATGTATGAGGACATTGTAGGTATGAGGACATTGAAGGTAGGACATTGAAGGTATGAGGACATTGAAGGTAGGAAATTGAAGGTAGGAGGACATTGAAGGTAGGAGGACATTGAAGGTAGGAGGACATAGAAGGTATGAGGACATTGAAGGTAGGACATTGAAGGTATGTGGACATTGAAGGTAGGATGACATTGAAGGTAGGAGGACATTGGAGGTATGAGGACATTGAAGGTAGGACATTGAAGGTATGAGGACATTGAAGGTAGGATGACATTGGAGGTATGAGGACATTGAAGGTAGGAGGACATTGTAGGTATGTGGACATTGGAAGGAGGACATTGAAGGTAGGACATTGGAGGTATGAGGACATTGAAGGTAGGAGGACATTGAAGGTAGGAGGACATTGAAGGTAGGATGACATTGAAGGTAGGAGGACATTGGAGGTATGAGGACATTGAAGGTAGGACATTGAAGGTATGAGGACATTGAAGGTAGGATGACATTGAAGGTAGGAGGACATTGGAGGTATGAGGACATTGAAGGTAGGACATTGAAGGTATGAGGACATTGAAGGTAGGATGACATTGGAGGTATGAGGACATTGAAGGTAGGAGGACATTGTAGGTATGTGGACATTGGAAGGAGGACATTGAAGGTAGGACATTGGAGGTATGAGGACATTGAAGGTAGGACATTGAAGGTATGAGGACATTGAAGGTAGGATGACATTGTAGGTATGTGGACATTGGAAGGAGGACATTGAAGGTAGGAGGACATTGTAGGTATGTGGACATTGGAAGGAGGACATTGAAGTTAGGAGGACATTGTAGGTAGGACATTGTAGGTATGAAGAAATTGGAAGTAGGACATTGAATGTAGGACATTGAATGTAGGACATTGAAGGTATGAGGACATTGAAGGTAGGACATTGAAGGTAGGAGGACATTGAAGATAGGAGGATATTGGATGTATATTTTGTTTTGTTTTTTTGTTTCGAGTGATCAATTGTTTTGTTTTGTCGGACTACATTGTGTGTTTTTCTTATTTCTTCAGAGTACTACTTTCAATTAAATTTATGACATACAGCTTATATATTGTATATATATATATATATATATATATATATATATATATATATATATATATATATATATATATATATATATATATATATATATATATATAATATGAGCCAGGAGCAAGTGACGTCACTGATCTACACTGACGTATTGAGCACAAGATGACGAACATTCCATCCAGAACAAAAGCTTGTATCATGTGACTTAGTGTGAGCGATCATTGGTCTAAGAGGATATTGGTCTTGTTGTGGTCTAGGGAAGGTAATCTTTAGTCGCATCAAGGGAATTATACCCTGAGGTTATTGACAGGGCACACTAAGATTGACGTTTTGTGGGATAGCTAACTGGATTATACCCCATTCCTGTTAATCCCAGATTTTGAGCCGATGAGTCAAGCTTACCGGATAACCCCCCTCCCCCTCCCACCTTACTGGTGTGGAGAACTATGTTAGTTGACATCTAATGTCTATCTCGACATGACATGACAACTCAATATAGCGTAGATGCATCCCTTAAAAAGACATTGATAGTGCTTTATTCTTCGAGTTGTTTTTTTTAATAACAACATCCGTGTATCTATAGTTCATTATACTCATAGCTACTGCATTTTAATGTTCGCCACACATACAACACAAATACACTCAACCAGTGTTTCTTCCACTTTTTTCTCCGGGGGGGGGGGGGGGGCACTCGAAATTTTCGGGGGGGGGGGGGGTAGACTTTCTTCGGGGGGGGGCGGACACTGTTAAAAGTATATATTTTCAATATAAATTATATAAGTTTAATTACGCTCGGGGGGGGGGGCGGTAAAATTTTTTCGGGGGGGGGCGGGGGGGGGGCTTTGCCCCCCCCCCCCCCCCCGAAGAGATGCCTGGAAGAAACTCTGCACTCAACACACACACACACGCGCAATACAAATGAAATACATAAACATACGGGAAAACACACAACTGCTCGTATGCCTAGAGCTCTGCTCTACTTTATCCACTGCTCGTATGCCTAGAGCCCTGCTGTACTTTATCCACTGCTCGTATGCCTAGAGCCCTGCCGTACTTTATCCACTGCTCGTATGCCTAGAGCCCTGCCGTACTTTATCCACTGCTCGTATGCCTAGAGCCCTGCCGTACTTTATCCACTGCTCGTATGCCTAGAGCCCTGCTGTACTTTATCCACTGCTCGTATGCCTAGAGCCCTGTCGTACTTTATCCACTGCTCGTATGTCTAGAGCCCTGCTGTACTTTATCCACTGCTCGTATGCCTAGAGCCCTGCTGTACTTTATCCACTGCTCGTATGTCTAGAGCCCTGCTGTACTTTATCCACTGCTCGTATGCCTAGAGCCCTGCTGTACTTTATCCACTGCTCGTATGTCTAGAGCCCTGCTGTACTTTATCCACTGCTCGTATGTCAGAGTCTAGAGCCCTGCTGTACTTTATCCACTGCTCGTATGTCAGAGTCTAGAGCCCTGCTGTACTTTATCCACAGCTCGTATGCCTAGAGCCCTGCTCTACTTTATCCACTGCTCGTATGTCAGAGTCTAGAGCCCTGCTCTACTTTATCCACTGCTCGTATGTCAGAGTCTAGAGCCCTGCTCTACTTTATCCACTGCTCGTATGCCTAGAGCCCTGCTGTACTTTATCCACTGCTCGTATGCCTAGAGCCCTGCTGTACTTTATCCACTGCTCGTATGTCAGAGTCTAGAGCCCTGCTGTACTTTATCCACTGCTCGTATGTCAGAGTCTAGAGCCCTGCTCTACTTTATCCACTGCTCGTATGTCAGAGTCTAGAGCCCTGCTGTACTTTATCCACTGCTCGTATGCCTAGAGCCCTGCTGTACTTTATCCACTGCTCGTATGCCTAGAGCCCTGCTGTACTTTATCCACTGCTCGTATGCCTAGAGCCCTGCTGTACTTTATCCACTGCTCGTATGTCAGAGTCTAGAGCCCTGCTCTACTTTATCCACTGCTCGTATGCCTAGAGCCCTGCTGTATTCCAGGCATAATAATCAATCACACCAACAAAGGGGTGTACCTAAGGGAGGGAGGGGAGTGTGGCCTCCCTTAGAACGGGGTAGAAAAAAATTCTAGCAGTGACTGGTAAAAAGCGTGGAGGGTGGGGGCGCTTTTTCGACGAAATGGATAGTTCGCCCCGGGCCACAGAATAAGTCGCTACGCCCCTGCACGCATCCAGCTATCATTCTCATTCACATCACCAGGGTGAGTTGGGGTGAGCCTGTCGAGTATGAGAACCCCTGTCTAGACAGACTTGATTCAAGCATCACCAGGGTGAGTTGGGGTCAAGGTCGCCAAGTACATGACGATATTTAATTTAAATCACGAGGTCAACACAAGTCGTTGGTTTTAGACTAGGATGAGAGGTTGTCCTGCCGGTCACGTGTCATAGCTGCTGTGGCTAGACAGAAACGACCGGAAGTGTGAGGAGCTAATGTTTCAACCAAAAGACTTCATCAGAAAGTTAGACCTCGACACCAGCACACGAAGTTGATGGGTGGCTTGTTTAGTTCAACGCTTGCATTGGTGGGTGGCTTGTTTAGTTCAACGCTTGCATTGGTGGGTGGCTTGTTTAGTTCAACGCTTGCAGTGATGAGTGGCTTGTTTAGTTCAAAGCTTGCAATGATGGGTGCCTTGTTTACTTCAAAGCTTGCAGTGATGGGTGGCTTGTTTAGTTCAAAGCTTGCAAAGTTTCCAATGTTGCACTAAACAGCACAGCGCGGGAAAACCTTTGCGCTATTGCCTTTAATGATCCCCACTAATGTCATCACGTGGTACATATGTTGTTTCAAGTAGCCCAGCTCCACCACCCCCCCCCCACCCTTCGTTACCATCGATCCCACAATCCTTCACTCAGCAAGCTGAAACTCACAGTCACATGCCGTCCCCATGAATTATTCAACATGATGTAGAGTGAGTTGGCCAACCCCCATTTGATCTAGAGTAAGTTGGCCAACCCCCATTTGATCTAGAGTGAGTTGGCCAACCCCCATTTGATCTAGAGTAAGTTGGCCAACCCCCATTTGATCTAGAGTGAGTTGGCCAACCCCCATTTGATCTAGAGTAAGTTGGCCAACCCCCATTTGATCTAGAGTGAGTTGGCCGCCTCACGTGATGGGTGTAAAACGTGTTGGTTAAGCAGCCGATATGAGCAAGCACGTGTCGAGAGATCAATTGTGGCAATAGTCAGACAACAGCTGTCTGTACAGAGATCAATTGTAGCCATAGCCAGACAACAGCTGTCTGTACAGAGATCAATTGTAGCCATAGCCAGACAACAGCTGTCTGTACAGAGATCAATTGTGGCAATAGCCAGGCTACAGCTGTCTGTACAGAGATCAATTGTGGCAATAGCCAGGCTACAGCTGTCTGTACAGAGATCAATTGTGGCAATAGCCAGGCTACAGCTGTCTGTACAGAGATCAATTGTGGCAATAGCCAGGCTACAGCTGTCTGTACAGAGATCAATTGTGGCAATAGCCAGGCTACAGCTGTCTGTACAGAGATCAATTGTGGCAATAGCCAGGCTACAGCTGTCTGTACAGAGATCAATTGTGGCAATAGCCAGGCTACAGCTGTCTGTACAGAGATCAATTGTGGCAATAGCCAGGCTACAGCTGTCTGTACAGAGATCAATTGTAGCCATAGCCAGACAACAGCTGTCTGTACAGAGATCAATTGTGGCAATAGCCAGGCTACAGCTGTCTGTACAGAGATCAATTGTGGCAATAGCCAGGCTACAGCTGTCTGTACAGAGATCAATTGTGGCAATAGCCAGGCTACAGCTGTCTGTACAGAGATCAATTGTGGCAATAGCCAGGCTACAGCTGTCTGTACAGAGATCAATTGTGGCAATAGCCAGGCTACAGCTGTCTGTACAGAGATCAATTGTGGCAATAGCCAGGCTACAGCTGTCTGTACAGAGATCAATTGTGGCAATAGCCAGGCTACAGCTGTCTGTACAGAGATCAATTGTGGCAATAGCCAGGCTACAGCTGTCTGTACAGAGATCAATTGTGGCCAAATGTAAGCAGTGGATGGTAGGGCTAGTTCCACCAAATGTAAGCAGTGTACTAGCTCCACCAAATGTAAGCAGTGGATGGTAGGGCTAGTTCCACCAAATGTAAGCAGTGGACTAGCTCCACCAAATGTAAGCAGTGGATGGTAGGGCTAGTTCCACCAAATGTAAGCAGTGTACTAGCTCCACCAAATGTAAGCAGTGTACTAGCTCCACCAAATGTAAGCAGTGTACTAGCTCCACCAAATGTAAGCAGTGTACTAGCTCCACCAAATGTAAGCAGTGGACTAGCTCCACCAAATGTAAGCACTGGACTAGCTCCACCAAATGTAAGCAGTGGATGGTAGGGCTAGTTCCACCAAATGTAAGCAGTGGACTAGCTCCACCAAATGTAAGCAGTGTACTAGCTCCACCAAATGTAAGCAGTGTACTAGCTCCACCAAATGTAAGCAGTGTACTAGCTCCACCAAATGTAAGCAGTGGATGGTAGGGCTAGTTCCACCAAATGTAAGCAGTGTACTAGCTCCACCAAATGTAAGCAGTGTACTAGCTCCACCAAATGTAAGCAGTGTACTAGCTCCACCAAATGTAAGCAGTGTACTAGCTCCACCAAATGTAAGCAGTGGATGGTAGGGCTAGTTCCACCAAATGTAAGCAGTGTACTAGCTCCACCAAATGTAAGCAGTGTACTAGCTCCACCAAATGTAAGCAGTGTACTAGCTCCACCAAATGTAAGCAGTGTACTAGCTCCACCAAATGTAAGCAGTGTACTAGCTCCACCAAATGTAAGCAGTGGATGGTAGGGCTAGTTCCACCAAATGTAAGCAGTGTACTAGCTCCACCAAATGTAAGCAGTGTACTAGCTCCACCAAATGTAAGCAGTGTACTAGCTCCACCAAATGTAAGCAGTGTACTAGCTCCACCAAATGTAAGCAATGGACTAGCTCCACCAAATGTAAGCAGTGTACTAGCTCCACCAAATGTAAGCAGTGGACTAGCTCCACCAAATGTAAACAGTGTACCCACAATTTCACCCATCTTTAGTTAACTTATGCCAGCTTGAATCCTTCAAGCACTTGCTGATAAACCTATGTGTTTCTACTAGCTCTTTAAGGTTCAAAGGTTGCATACTCACTGGTAGCAGTAGAAAAATTCATCCAATCTTTAAACTGTTTCCCATCACCTAACCAGCCTAGCAGACCAAACTCACTGCTGATATGAAGTGTGTAATGTGTACATTTAAAAAAAACAACAACAAGAATGCACGTCGGGACGGGTCAAGTGGCTGTGCCAGAAAGGCTGAACATCTGTTACTTGCTCATAGTTACCTGGCTAAGCCAGCTGATGCACTAGTTGTATCGATCGTCGCGACGTCACGTGGCCATGGCACGCGCGCCGTCGCACGGCGCTGCGCTCACTGATGAGATATGACGTAGTTGCATATTTAAAGAGCGCGAGCCGCTCACAAAGACAGCGTGTTGACGCTGAAAGAGAAATTCAGCGCCGTGTTGTCATTTGGAGCGTGAAGTGGGCTGATGTTTTTGTTGAACGTAGAGTGGAAGGCGGGAGAATTTTAAAAAGGGGGGGGGGGAGAGAACTTCGTGGGGAAAAAACAAAAACAACCCCATTCCAGGTGTTCTTTCGTTGCTGAACGAAAGTTTAAGACACCCATATATATATATATATATATATATATATATATATATATATATATATATATATATATATATATATATATATAGGCGTAGCGAGGGGGGTGCGGACCGCACCGGGTGACACCATTTAAGGGGGGGGGGGGTGACACCAAGGCAAAAAATAGCAAAATATATAGAGAAAAACTTGAGGGGGGGGGGTGCAAATCGAAAGTTTGAGGGGGGGGTGCTAATCGAAAATTTGAAAGTTTGTCTCTGGGAAGGGTCGCTACGCCTTTGGGGGGTGACACCATTAAGTGCCGCACCGGGTGACACACGACCTCGCTACGCCACTGTATATATATATATATATATATATATATATATATATATATATATATATATATATATATATATATATATATATATATATATATATATATATATATATATATGGGGGGGGGGGTGATATTGAGCAAAATATGCACCTGTAAAAGTGTCAAGTATGGGGTATTATTGTGTTGAATAATGTAGGGGTATGGCATAGAGCGATGTAATTGTAGGATGCTATATTCCATCCGGAGAAACATAAGGAGCCATTTATTAGATTTAAATACAGGTTACACCGCAGAGGGGGGGGGGGGGGGGGGTTGGCGGACTAATTGACGAACGGTTCAAAGAGACAGACAACTTAGACAAGACAAACAATAATAGTATTTGTACTGACAAGTAGCAGTAGTCATGGTTTGCGCCGGGGTGGGGGGGGGATAATTTAGCTCATACGTGTCAACATTTTGATTCGATGGAAATAGTTTATGTGGGTATAAATAGTCAGGGGCGTAGCGAGGGGGCGGGGTGCGGACCGCACTGGATGAAACCATTTAGGGGGGTGACACCAAGGCAAAAAATAGCAAAATATACAGAGAAAAACTTGAGGGGGGGGGAAATGCAAATCGGAATTTTGAGGGGGGGGGGGGGGTGTGCAAATCGAAAACTTGAGGGGGGGGGGGGGGGTGCAAATCGAAAGTTTGAGGGGGAAAATTTGTCCCCGGGAAGGGTCGCTACGCCTCTGGGGGGTGACACCATTAAGTGCCGCACCGGGTGACACCCGACCTCGCTACGCCACTATAAATAGTCAGGTATGATATATGTATTATGATAAACTACTATTTAAATAACTATATAGACAAGTGTGGGTCACTATATTATCTATTGGATACCTTTACTAATATTTAGGAAGAGACTCACGGTTTCTTTATGTGAAAAAATTCTCAGTGTGACATAACAAATGTTGGTTCACATGTTGAAAAATGTTGCAACAATCAATACGTTTTTGTCTGTGTAAATGTTTGATTATTTCGATACTGTAGTCTTAGGCTAGTCAGGAAGAAGAGAATATTATTAAATCAGTCTGTAGTAGTAGTTCTATTGTCTGTCCTTTAACTGTTTATAATTTGGTACTACAGATCAGAATTAGATCATTATTTTCTCTATCTCGTTTGGCGTCCCCATAGGATCGGCCGCCCCACCCGTCCTCCCCTAGCTACGCCTCTACGTTTTGTAAGCATCTTTGGGGAATTCATGTTTGAGAAGTGTAACGACATTGCCGCCTCATTGCGTTCGACAATTTTGTATGATAATATTTCTATAATTATTTAAAACTGAATAAAAATGGTTTCGGTTACGTTGTATTGTTTAATTCGCTGCATTTAATTAATGGATAGATGTTTTTTTTCTTATAAATTATTAGGATAGCCGCCCTTTATGTCCCAACATTCCTATCGTCAACGCCGCCATGATTGACGCTTTGACAGGTGACAAAGGTGTTGAGATAGTAAACAAAGACTAATGCTGTTAAGTTAGCCTTTGGTCCTATGGTGATTTTGTGCAATAATTTTGTATAGATTCACAACTGTTTCATGATCATACATCATTTTTTAATCTGTTTTATAGTAAATAATTGTAAAGCTATATTTTAAAAAATGAGTTCCGAAGCAAAAACTTCAATGAAGAAAAAAGACGGATTTCTTCGCAGACAAGCAAAATCAAAAACAGACATTGTTACTGAAGACGAATTGTTAAAGAAAGATGTTGTGACCCCTGACGATGTACTAAGACTTGCGAAATGTACAGATAGTAAGTTGATCTAGATCTAGATTTAGAAAAATGCTGGTAAAACTCCATTTTAGATTTTTGCGTCCCAACTTCACGTTCACTCCCCTCCAGTTGAGCGTATTTTATTATAAATAAACACAACCAAAACACACAAAAACGTTAGGGAAACACGTGGACTAGAGCTAGATCTAATTATTTTTTTATAAATGTGATTTTTAATTAGAAAAGGTAAAAAAAAACATAAAAAAGCAATAGAACAGTTCCAATTAAATATCGTGTGATCGTCAGCGGGAGAAAAATCCACGGTCGCGAGTTCATCGTGAGTTAACATTGACTTTAATTATCAGCATACGTCATAGCTTGGGCAATAGCTGTGTGAAATTGTGTTGGCTGGAGTTTTGGGGTCATTGTAAGTCGTAAGCTCCTAAATGTTTATTTATAGTATCATGCCTGGGCGATACTTGTAACAATACAAACTTAACCGCCTTGCAATTGTGAGGTAAGTTTATTTACTTCACCCATTGCTATGAAAATCCTAACTGACACAAGAACATAGCACATTCAATATTCTAAATTTGGATTTTTCTCAAGTTTTGACAAAAGTATCAAAATCTAAAACGAAGTCAGTCTCCTTTTTTTTTTTGTTAATTTTTATTCATTTGATAAAACAAAAATACAATACAAATAAATAAATAATGTTTTCCTAATGTTTTGGTGAGTTTTGGCTATTATAATAAAATACACTCAACTCGAGGTAAACGAGAAGTGAGAATAAAATAAGATAAAATGGAGTTTTACCAAATTACTTAGGTTTGGTCCTGTACTGTAGCCTCTCTGTTACGTCTGTCTGCCACTGTTAGGCCTATGGCCTATAAAAATAAAATAGTTTAGTAAGTACATAGTACTTTCTTCTTCTTCTTCGTTCTTAATTATTAGTGTTGAGGTGGATCGAGATTTATCTGCCAGTGGGTTTTAACTCGAGACTTTTTCGAATTTATCAACCATGAGCTTTTTGCCGACTCGACCACGCCTCCAACACAATTAAGCGTTACGTGTCAACTGGTTATGCGCCATTGAGGCCATTGACTACGATTTCAGCCTGCTTTTCTTTTTGGATTTGCTTCCATAGCCTTTGTCCAACCAAGAACAAACTACAAGGCAGCAGTTGTTTGATTTTGGAGTTGTCTCTCCTAGAAGAGTGGCTGTCCCCAGCTAACGAGCCTCATCTGCCCGAGGGTTCGAACTCGAGACTTTTCGGTTTAGCAACCATGAGCTTTACCGACTCGACCACGCCGACCCCTATAGTAGTTAACCTAGGCCTTTTTTAAAAATTTAAAATCGAATACAAACAAGATTGGAATGGATGAAACAGTTACAGCAGGCCCAGCTACCTTTCATGACTTTTTAAATTACGTGTCATTTTGATTTAGCAAATTGGGCCTAGAACCCTAGATCTACCTGCCTAAATTAGATTAATAATTAGGTTTAGACTACATATAAATATAATAGATAGGCCTAGAGCCTACTGCTACTATTCATTATCTAGTATATCATTCTATTGGTTGTGCTTTTGTGCCTGTGTAAAATAAAAAATTAGATTCAAACGTGAAACAGTAGGCTACATTCATTAAGATGGGCTTTTTAACAATTCTTTTCAGGCCTAACTGCTTACAAAGATCTTAACAGTTTTTAAAAATTATTATTAATTAATTGGCCTAGCTATTAAAACATGTGGGGGAATTTTTATACCAGTGTCCGATAATAGAATCTTCTTTAAAAAAGTGGTGTTAGGTTACTGGTAGTTAACTAAATACACACATGGCTGGCTAATGTCAATGCTAACCCTGTCCCTAACCCCAACCCTGGTCCTACCATATGCCTAACCATAAAATTAGTCGAGATTACAATACTACTAACAACCCAACACACCTATTTTAGAGTCTATTATTGGACATTGGTATCTAAAATCATCCAAACATGTACATTTATAATTAGGCCTAGCCTACATTGACCATTCCTAGATTTTTATGGTAGATAGGACCTACGATTAATTATTGAAATAAATTTTTATAGGCTTATCCTATTTCGTTTATCTTTTTTTTCCAGAGTACTTGTGTCCTCCAGAGGCAAATATCTATGGCATCGACTTCACAAGATTTAAACTGAGGGATATTGATTCAAACCAGGTTTTGTTTGAAGTGGCTAAACCAGCGCCAGCTTATGATACAGGTTAGTTTTACTTTATCATAATTAATGCTTGTTTCATGCGCTGCAGTCTTTATAAATAGGCCTGTATTGTTATATATAGGCATATATATTTATTATTATTATATATAAGTGTGTGTATATATATGTGTATATATATGTGTATATATATAGGCCTATATATATATATATAGATAGATAGATAGATAGATATAGATATAATAGATATAGATATATCTAGATAACTAACATTAGGTCCTGTCATTTGTCCTTTAAATCTTTGTGTCCTATAATTTAGTCCTGCTAGTTTTTGTGTCCTGATTTTGTTTCCAGAAGAAGAAGAGCAAAACCTGGCAGAGCCTGAAGAAGACCCTAACTCCGGGAGGTTTGTGCGCTACCAGTTCACACCACATTTCTTGAAATTAAAAACAGTTGGAGCAACGTAAGCTTTTTCTTCTTTTTGTTGTTCAAATATGGCATTGGATTACTAAATGTACTATCTGACTGTAAAGGATAACTTGTTGAAATGTTTTACTTTGTTGACCAATCCACACAGTTGAATGTCTCATTGATAGATGACTCAAGATTGGTTTTATTTCTTTCAAAAATAGTCCCCCTTGTTTATTTCAGTGTTGAGTTTGTGGTTGGAGACAGGCCTGTGAATAAGTTCCGTATGATTGAGAAACATTACTTTAGAGATCGCGTCCTAAAATGTTTCGACTTTGAGTTTGGGTTTTGCATCCCACACAGTCGCAACACTGTGGAGCATATATATGAGTTCCCAAAACTTAATGAGGACACAAGTAAGTGGCTGGACAAAATAAGTATCATATAGTAAATATAATCAGTTCCTTCCCCCCCCCCCCCCCCCAAACGATTTTAATTGAAATAAATGTTGCTAGAGCGACGTTAATTGAAATAAATGTTTCTAGAGCGATTTTAATTGAAATAAATATTTCTAGAGCGATTTTAATTGAAATAAATATTTCTAGAGCGATTTTAATTGAAATAAATGTTGCTAGAGCGACGTTAATTGAAATAAATATTTCTAGAGCGATTTTAATTCAAATAAATATTTCTAGAGCGATTTTAATTGAAATAAATGTTTCTAGAGCGATTTTAATTGAAATAAATATTTCTAGAGCGATTTTAATTGAAATAAATATTTCTAGAGCGATTTTAATTGAAATAAATGTTGCTAGAGCGACGTTAATTGAAATAAATATTTCTAGAGCGATGTTAATTGAAATAAATGTTTCTAGAGCGATTTTAATTGAAATAAATATTTCTAGAGCGATTTTAATTGAAATAAATATTTCTAGAGCGATTTTAATTGAAATAAATGTTGCTAGAGCGACGTTAATTGAAATAAATATTTCTAGAGCGATGTTAATTGAAATAAATGTTTCTAGAGCGATTTTAATTGAAATAAATGTTTCTAGAGCGTTGTTAATTGAAATAAATGTTTCTAGAGCGATGTTAATTGAAATAAATGTTTCTAGAGCAATGTTAATTGAAATAAATGTTTCTAGAGCGATGTCAATTGAAATAAATGTTTCTAGAGCGATGTTAATTGAAATAAATGTTTCTAGAGCGACATTAATTGAAATAAATATTTCTAGAGCGATTTTAATTGAAATAAATGTTTCTAGAGCGATGTTAATTGAAATAAATGTTTCTAGAGCAATGTTAATTGCAATAAATTGTAAGGAGGGGCGTTGGAGTGGTCCATCACAGTAACTATAAAATTATTTGCAAATTAGGCTAATGTCATTTTCCTGCTCAACTAAGTAATGACTCCATTGGTCCATAGCTGATTGCCATTCAGCTCTCCTAGCTAGTATTTAATGAATGTCATTTTTTTGCTAAACTAAGTAATGACTGGCAACATTTTGATTTGTGCAGTTGATGAGATGGTACGCCACCCGTATGAAACAAGATCAGACAGTTTTTATTTTGTGGAGGATCGACTTATCATGCATAACAAGGCTGACTATGCCTACAATGGGGGGACCACTTCCTCTTAGTACACAGGCCTTGGATCTGATCAGCTAGGACATATACAACTATTTTATCTACTGTTTAACACCTTGAGTGGCTGAAGAAGAAAGTTTGTTTCACAGCTTTTCATTTCAGTTTTTTTATTAGCCATTGACAAGTCATGTATCCATCTCTCAATCAACTCCATTTGTTTTAGTGTAGGGCAATAAATTTGAGTCAACTCTAAAACCCATGGAATCAAAGATGTGCTTGCAAGTCATCCTTCTCATATGTTGCTCATCAACATTGCCAGTCTATTCATGATGGGGGAGTCCAGTGACAAAAGATGTTATATTTGTTTAGAGGTTTAATTTTCTTATTATATGATTGCAACAACTAACACCTAATTGCAAAACTGTTTTGTTTAAATCAAACTACTTAAACCATTCAGAAGGAATCATGGTGAATTTAAAAAATATTTTTGAGAGTTCTATTTTTACATAACTGAGAGAGCATCTACAGCAGTTCTTGCAGTTTCTGATCACACTTGATTTTACATTCCACCCAGCTCATATCATTTACAAGATTTTTTTCATTCATTGACTTGCCCCGCAGGGGTCACTTTTATAGGATGCTTGTCAATATTTTTACTTGCTCCAAAATATTGTGTAACAGGGATTCTCAAATATAAAGTATATTGTAGTAGGAATATCAAAATGTTGTTAAGTATTGTTAAGCAGGGATTCTCAAATACAATGTTTAAGTCAGTACATGATTATGTAGCAGGGATTCTCAAATACAATGTTTAAGTCAGTACATGATTATGTAGCAGGGATTCTCAAATACAATGTTGTAGTAAATATCTGGCAGTGTGCACTGTTGTAGTATATTCTTGGTTTATTTTTCAAAGCGTTGCCACTGTAAAATGATTTGCTTGGTGTTCCGTCCAGACTGTATCCATTATTTTCTTTTACTACACATGAAATAGTCAACTTGTTTCTTCATACATCATTTGTCTCACAATATTTTGTATTACACTTACACTTTTTTTAAAAAGTTATAGGATGTTTACTGGGGCCATCTGTACTTATTAGAGACAGCTGTATTTTCTCCACTACTTTTTTCAGTTGGGGTCAAAGCTGGATGTTTTTACAGATGTCTACAGGCATGGACTCCTCTAGTCTAGTGAAAAGTTTTTGACATTCCATATTCAGTTACCACAGGATTTTGGCTTTTGTTTAAAGAAATCTACCAGGAGATCTACAGTTGAAGTGACTATATTGTATAATTAAATTCACACCTGAACATAACTCAAAACATCTAGTGGATGGGAAAATTTGGCTGAAATATGCCCCACAATAAAATGAGGGGATTTGCTTCAAGAGCCATATTCAGCAAGAGCCAAAAATAAGAACTGGGTGTGTTGAATACACCATTGTGGTATTTTAAATTATTATTTTAGATTGATTCATATATCCACATATTTGTGATGTTAGTTTTTTTCTTAAATCTAATTTTAAACACTTAAATATGCTTTGTATACAGTTGCCTGATGGTAAATTGTTAATTTCTCAGACTCTCAATCAGCTGGCAGGGGACCATTGACACCATTTCTAGTTGTCACGTTTCTTATTTTAAGACCTGACTCCAACTGTTGGGCTGGGTTACATATGTTTACTTGGGATGGTCTGAAGTGACAACCAGTTAGTTGGGATAGCCTAATGTGACAACCAGTTAGTTGGGATAGCCTAATGTGACAACCAGTTAGTTGGGATAGTCTGAAGAGACAACCAGTTAGTTGGGATAGCCTAATGTGACAACCAGTTAGTTGGGATAGTCTGAAGAGACAACCAGTTAGTTGGGATAGTCTGAAGTAACAACCAGTTAGTTGGGATAGTCTGAAGTAACAACCAGTTAGTTGGGATAGCCTAATGTGACAACCAGTTAGTTGGGATAGTCTGAAGTGACAACCAGTTAGTTGGGATAGTCTGAAGTGACAACCAGTTAGTTGGGATAGTCTGAAGTAACAACCAGTTAGTTGGGATAGTCTGAAGTGACAACCAGTTAGTTGGGATAGTCTGAAGTGACAACCAGTTAGTTGGGATAGTTAGTTTGGATAGCCTAATGTAACTGAATGAAATCCACGTCTAGGCATGCCACCAAATGCTTTAGTTTTTTCATCATGCCTTCAATTTGATTTGAAATCTCTCTACAACTTATGAGACATGTACATGCTTTTTGTTTATTTAACAACTTGTGTCTTTTAAACCTCAAAATGTGTATTAAATGATGGCGTATTGAGAAGTGTTGCTGTAGTTTTTAAGCCCAGATCAGGGGGTCTTGAGTTCCATCAAGACACACTCTTCACTCGTATGACCTGCAATCATAGTTTTGTGGTTGTGTAGAATACAATTAGCTGCTGATGACAAATATGGCAGCACAAGCTCATAATACAGTGTGCCAGAGATAGATGACACATTGGTATCACGATTTTTCTATTTGGTCAAACTTTGACTTCTTACACAGGCGCATGTTGGTCTAGGTGCTGCTACAAGCATACTTTTTATTTCTCATGGCCCAGTAGTCAACTTCTGACTGTCAGGATGGTAAGTTGTTTGTGGGTTTTTTAAAAATCCCTTTATACTATGTCAAGTAAAAATAGAAAAAGTGGTTGAACGAATATGTACAATATGGATTCACATTTATAACAGAACTTAATGGAAGTCTGCATCTCAACTTTATGATTTGGAATGCCACGTTGATCAGTTCCAGATTCTAATTTCTAGTCTAGCACAGACAAAACTAAAAAAACACTTCCCTAAGCTGCATGGAGTGAAGAAAAAGGTCACAATTTTTGTTTGTATAGGGTGAGGCCACTCTATACTGGAGTCTGAAAGGTCACAATGTTTGTTTGTATAGGGGGAGGTCACTCAATACTGGAGTCTGAAAGGTCACAATGTTTGTTTGTATAGGGGGAGGTCACTCAATACTGGAGTCTGAAAGGTCACAATGTTTGCTTGTATAGGGTGATCTACTCTATACTGGAGTCTGAAAGGTCACAATAGATGTCCCTCTGGTGTGCAGTCGGCCATCTTTATTTTGTTTTTGTGTGAAAATAATATTTTAATGGTTTGGTTCTTTAAGGTCATGAAGCTGGTGAGATTCAGTACCTCCAAAAAGGTTAAGAACCACTGATTTTTTAATCAGCGTTTCTTTCAAACATTTTTTCTCCGGGAGGCGCGAATAGTGCCCCCCTCCAACTGGCTTTTGAGTAAATTATTTAGAATCAATTTATCGATGACGCCAATTAATAGTTAGGCAAATCTAGTTAGTCTGCAACATTGAGCATTTGTAGCACCTACCATACAGAATCCAATGAATTGCGGCAACATTGAGCATTTGTAGCACCTACCATACAGAATTCAATGAATTGCGGCAACATTGAGCATTTGTAGCACCTACCATACAGAATTCAATGAATTGCGGCAACATTGAGCATTTGTAGCACCTACCATACAGAATTCAATGAATTGCGGCAACATTGAGCATTTGTAGCACCTACCATACAGAATTCAATGAATTGCGGCAACATTGAGCATTTGTAGCACCTACCATACAGAATTCAATGAATTGCGACGACATTGAGCATTTGTAGCACCTACATTTAGGACTAGGTTGAAGACCTGGATATAAAACTAATTACATTTACATGTAGTAGGTATTCAAAATGAAATTTTCATAATGAAAATACATAAAATTTTATGATTCCCCCTGATAGTTTTCTTTAATCAGAACAAAAACAGCAAATTTATTGCTATATCTCAATTTTTAAGAAAGTTATGATTTTTTAAAAACTTAACGTGTTTGCTTTTTTAGCTCAAAAGTGTCTATTTGAGACCCCTACTAACTTAAAAAAAAAAAAATGAAACTTTCAAATTCAGTAAACATACAAACAGCTACACAAATAACAAGCCCAATTTTTTTCAAGGTTGTCAGAATGATGAAAATATATCATTTATTCACATAAAAATGAGCCGAAGCATAATTTCAACAAAAACTTAAAAGGGAGACAAAAAGTCAAATAACAGTCATTTACAAAAAATCATAAAAAATCAACTAATTGATCCACAATAAAAATACAAGTGTCATAAGAAAGGTATTTCAAAGCATTTTAGAGTAAACTAATAAGGATAATGAGAAAGTCAATACCTATTTAACAAGAATTATTTTAGCAGGCTATGTAAGAAAAAAACAAGAAATTTCATACATTTTTATAAAATCATACAAAATTAATTAATTAAGATATCTCAAAACATTTTATACCATTTTATAGCATATCATAATGGTTTCAATATAAAATATACATCTGAAGCAATAAACATAAACATTATGCGAAAAAAAATTCACCAATACGGTTCCTTATCACCGCAAATTGATAACTGTTTAAAAATTTACAAGTACAAGATCTCTTATTTATAAAAAAAGTATTACAAAGTATGCAGGAAACATAAGCTGCAATAATTTAGTAAATAAAATCAATTCACAACAAAGGATAGTCAATATGTATTACTACAGTAAGGTATGTTCACAGAAAATGAATAGGCAAATGCATAAATATTTTAATTAAAAATTATTTCAAACATAAGTATATAAATTAAATATGTGATTATTAACACAAATAGAAGTTTAATTTAAAAACTAGTGAATTATAAACAATGTTTTTCTAATTCTGACTTTAGCTGTGTAGTCATAAAATTTAAATCTCCAAATTGCAAACATTTTTTACCTAAAACCTATTTCATTTTTAATTATTTCCCTAATAATAGCTTTAGATTTGTTTTTGTTGTATAATCTCTTTAAAAGTTGATCAACATCCTGTGGTGTTTGACAAGGCCCACCATGTTTTGTTACTTTCTCTCTGAGCAAGGAATTTTTTTGCAATTAACTTAAGTTCTTGTGATATTTTTTTGTCCTGGTTAACTAAGAATTTTTGCCTAACATTATGCTTAACCTGCTGTTCTACTTCTCTACTTTCTATCTTTAAAGTTCTAGATAATTTTCTGGCCTTTCTAAATAAACTACCTTGATGACTACTCTTCTTCCCCCCTATAAATTTTACAGTCTTGTTTCTTTTAATACAGTGTGTGGCTGATCTATTGTGTAAAGATGTATGCCTTCTCTTATTACTATCAAAATCTAAATCCCCAAAAGCTCTTTCTCCTATCAAATTAGTGAGTGAACAATGTCTAAGCTGCTGACTATCTTTTTTATTTAAATTTGTAAAATAGCCTTCATTCAGAAAATCACTAAGCTGTCTTTTTGAGACAACTAAAGCTTCATGACAAAATTTAGATAAAATTTCATTAAGTAAAGATTCATCACACTGATGAATAAAGCAATGTACAGCATTATAAACATCTGACTTATGGTAAGAAGAAGTGAAGACATTTTGAAAAACAGATTTAAACTCAACATCTAACAACTGATGAGGATCATTCACACTGACTTCCAGAAAGTCAACCATACATTTGACATAATTGTGAAAATCAAAATATTTTATATCACAGCTAGTTACAATATCCCAATATGGGCCTGAAAGTTTTAAATAAAATATAGCTACACAACAAACAAATGTCATCAAAATATTATCTTTTAAATCCAACATAACACTTTGTAGTTTTAAATTTGGTGAGTTTAAAATTCCTGAAGTAAAGAAAGTAATTAATTTATCATAGTGAAAAATAATTGCAGATGCTGCTTAAAAAAAAAACAATTAAATCTATTATTTTTAAAGCTAGGAATTTTTGAATTATCACAATAAGTAACCCATTCTACCCTACACCCATTCTTTTGATCCCCCATTGGTCCCTAAACATCACAAATGGTTCTAATTATTCTATTTGTAGAAGTCTCTTTTACATTAGCATATGACTTTGTTTTATATTTGACTCTACAGATTTAATTGCAACTTCACAAGAGTGTGAAAGTCGTAATAAAAATGAGCATTACAAAATAAAAAATGTACAACAGTAGACTCACCAAGTTGAGTTTTAAGAAAATCTTCAAATTTTTTATCAAAACATTTCATTGTTGCTGCCCTATCAGACATAAAACTAGTAATTTTTAACAATAATTGTTTATGAGTTTCATCATTACATGTATTTTCATTTAAATTCAAACAATCATAATTAACAGCTAAATTCCTAAAACAATTTATAGCTACATCTAATAGAGTATTAGCATCTTCTGAAGCTACTGGTGTAAAACCAAGATAATATGATTAATTGGAATCTAAAGTTAGTTGATGACCAACAATCTTCTTGTGGTCTCTAGATGTCCCATCACTATGTAAAGTACATGAGTTTGATTGTAAAACAGCTTCAGCTACTTGAAAATTACTAATTACATACCCCTCCCCTAGCATATTAATACAAGTTTGAGTAGAAGGAAAATCTTTAAAGACATGATGAAAAATATTTTTAGAAACAATATCAATAACATTAGAAACATTCACAGCAGAAACTTTACCATCACACATAAGTGAAATAACACATTTACGAGTGTCATCAGAATAAACATTTTGTAAAGTTTTTAAGCTAAAATTAAAATCTTTATCTTTAACTCCCCCCACCCCCTGTTCTATAAGTCTACCAGAATCTTGCTGTGCTTTTTGCAAATCAACCCTTAATTTATTCACTTTTTTTATTAATATATTGTTTTTTCTTTGGACTTTCTTTAATGCAGTGGTCTGACTAATTAGATTTTCTCTTGTTTTAGCTAATCTCTTTTTAAAATTTATTTGAATATTTTCTTTAATTAGGTCAAGATTACAACAATGTTTCTCTAATTCTCTATTTTTTTTCTCTAAAATAATTTTTTCCTGTTTAATGGCTAACAATGATGCAGATAAATTAGAATTTTCAACAAGCAAATTATCACATTTATTACATTGAAGAAATTGAAATATCATTAGTTAATGTAGGACTGCTTACTGGAGTTAAATTTAAATGTAAAGAAAATTCAGACACAAGAAATTGTTTCAATGCTGTAGGATTCCTATGTGCCTGCTTATTTAGAAAAGTATACTTCTTAAAAACAGAATCAACAGCACTTGGTAATTTGCTTATATTTAGACCAGTTAAACAATGCAACCACCTAATTAAAAACTTTTTATTTAATAAATGAGAATGTGAACGTCTAAAAATTTCTAGATCAATAATTAATTCATTACAAATGTTCAAAGGAGGGTCAAGAGGTGTATCAGGAGGATTAGAAATGGTTGAACGGGTTATACCTAAACTGTCACAAGTTTTAGAAATGTAGTTAAAATCAATATCTTTGTTAAGAAAGTCCTCCTTGAGGTCAGGCTCTAGTGTAGAAAATGTAGATCTGGCAGCATCAATCATGTTTCGGAATCTTGTTAGGGCCCCTTCCATCAACCTTGATTCTGGAAAAATCTCCTCCACCCAAACATCTACCTGTTGATAAAGCTAATTCATTAGTATTTCATGTACTATCTAGATCTAGCATGCACTTATAGTTAAATACTAACCTGTGACCATGAGAAATGTCCTTCCTCTCTTAGATGTGATAACTGCACAAGGATCTTGTTGTTCCTTACAATATCTTTTGGGATGCCTTTTGGTCTACCCTTCCCCTTGTGCAGATATCTATCTTTGATAAACCTGTAAGTCTCATCCTCTGTATATTATTATTATATAAAACAAAGCTGTTATGAAGGTTTAAAGTAAATAAAGCTCCCAATATGGAAAATATACAAATCTATTGTTCGATGAACTATTAAATTAATATTATCAATTTATATTAAGTTGTTAAGGCAAGTCTCACTAAGTAAGAACACTAACTTCCTAAGTAACAACATCGAATTTGGACTGAACCATTATGAATGGGGCAAACAGTTTATTTATTTTAAATCACTAGCCTAGGTAAATCTATTAAACTCGATTCTTATTGTCGACCATGAAATTAAAAATACAATAAAACTATAATAATTATTTTTTTACATTAGTTACAAAACGAGAAAATACAAAGTTAACTACGCTTAACTAATTAGAACTGTAAGCTGTTAACCACTGCGCTTATTAATATAGAAGAACCCATCGCCGGCTGTGCGTAAAAAGAAAATGGCGGCCACGCGGCCCTTGACTATCGACAATTTGCTGACTGTTTAAGTAGTCGCTGATAATTTTTAACAAAACGCACAAATACAAATTAAATTCCATTAAATACTTTAACATGTCCTTGTTTTAATCGTGTATGCCTTTTTTATGTTAGTGTTCGTAAATTAAATACAGACGATTTTTAAAATAGGCTCTAAGTGTTTTTTGGTAAGCGTTTTTTCCCCGGTGAACGATTATCGATAAACTGACACTAAACTTTAAAAAATAAAAAAAGAAGCTATTTTTTAAATTAAATAAAATATTGTTAATAGAATATAAGCATTTAACTTACCTATAAAGGCTTTAAACTCCATGATTCATGAACAAAATAACGTAAAATCTTGTTTTTGACCGGAGTAGGGTGACTCAAAAAGTGAGAAAAATATCTTGAAGCCGACGAAACTCGAGCGCGCGGAAACTTTTTTTTAGCAGAAATCTACGGTGTCGATTCCGCTTTTGCGATCCGATACCAACCATCGACGGTACATAAAATCATAAGTTTTATGGTAAATTGGACGCCCGTTCAGAATATATAACTTTGCCGGCTGTAAAATAATTTTTTCACGTAAAACCAGCATTTCAAACTTTTTAATCGATCATTTTTAGCCTTAGATTATATTTTACAGCTCGCAAAAATATATCATCTTAAAGAGCTTCCATTCTACTTTCCAGATCAGATACTTGTTAATGCGTATGTATTATGGTATCGGATCTCCGCGAGTTGCCGCAACCCGACCAAAAAAAAAATGTTGCGCGCAGCACATTTTTTTGGACCATTTAGAATACCTACATGTAGAGTCCAGGTAGAAAATCTGGATATAATAAAAAATACTTACAATTACATGTAGGTAGAAGATCTGGATATAATAAATACTTACAATTACATGTAAGTAGAAGATCTGGATGTAATAAATACTTACAATTACATGTAGGTAGAAGATCTGATGAATAAAAGCCGATTGTGTCTGCTGGTCCTGTGAATGTCGTCTGGTGTTCAACTTCCTACTGCTGAGGAAGAAAGTTGTCGCTGATTTCAGTTGTTGAAGATTAAGTCACAACCAAAAATAATTTGGGCAATTGTTAGTTTCTAATTTCACTCCTGCTGTTAACATAATTTTTTGTGGGTTTGGACGGAAGATAGGCCGGTCTGATTAAGGGGGCGGGGGGGGGGGGGCGGTATGTTGGGTGGGGTTATATGGCGATCTGCTGGTGGGGGTGTAGGGTGGTCTCTTGGTGTTGGGAGGTGAGGTCTCCCATTTTAATTCTATTCCATTCGATTGAACAAAACTTAAATTATCCCAACATATGTTAGAACTAACAGGTCAACCCAGCACAGAAGAAATATACGCGGACCGTGAGGCTCACTAATTAGATCGGTGCTCGATTGACACGTACACATCAACCGTCCGGTCATCATAGCCTCAAGTGGCCTCACAACACGGACATCAAACATAAGGGCTCATTATAGATCCCAGGCCCATCAGCCCAGGTGACAATAACTCTCGGTTGATAAGTAGGCTTGGGCTTGGGCCTACCTATTTATTTATTTTGTACATAGTGTAGCCTAAATTTCGTTTGGGGTGAGGGTCGGTAGACCTGCTTCCCTTACATCGGAAATATGTATAATGAAAATTATATTAAATATGTATATTAGACTATACTTAAAAGAAAACGTGCAAAAAAGTTAATAAAATAAAATAATACAAATTCATGTGCACATTAAAAAGGCGAAAACTGCGATGAATCTTTCTTGCTTTCCCGTTATAAAATCGCTTGCAGCTCTAAAAATAATTTTATTGTTATTCTGTTTTTAGATCCAGATCTATGTTTTATATGCATCCTCTAACACACAGAATCAGAAGAACCATTCTTGTTAACCCTACAATGTTTTCGCTAACCTTAGTGAATAGGTTAAATAATATACTATGAAAGCCATTAGACATTAATGCATTATTATGGCTACCTCAGGTCCAGAAAGTTCCCAGTGGCTTTCAGTTACCGAGGGAACGTTATTTTTACATGATGGACTTCTGAGAGTGACTGATTTGGTGGAACTTCCCAAAAATGTAGAGTGCTGCGGCTCTCGGGAAAACGAAGTTGTCACCTTTGACTCTAAAGACCCAGAGGAATTGAGTGCCAAGCTTCTCGAAATATGTGGCACCAGAAACAATGCATTCAATACACTTCTAGAATATCGGCTAAATGCATTAAAAGGTCTATGGAAAGCACAAAAGCTTTATTTTCAAGAAGATCCAGGGGAAAGAGATTCAGCTAGTCAAGATGAAGCTATTGCAATTTTGAAAAAGCAAGGTTTACTTAAAGATTCTGATCAGGCCTCATTTTCTACCCGCATAAGTCTTCTGCTAATATTACCATTATTGCAATCTCAAAGTAATACCGATCCTGATCTTTGTGGTGTTACTTCAGGTGTAATTCTTACTTGTTTGCGTGATTGCCCCCCTCTAAGTTTAGCTAAGGAACCAAGTGATTGTTTAAATGGATTAGAATCATTGTTATGTGGATGGTTAGGAGAAAAATCTCTCAACACTCCTGCTGTGCATATTGTGAAAGAAAAAAAGCATCAAGAAAATGCAGCGTCAGCTTTGGTCGCCCTGGCATGTGCAAGGTATTCCACATATAGTGACATATAGATCTATTATATAATGTATACAGCTACATTTTTATCATTTATCATAGCCTACATGAAAAACAATTAAGACTTAAACACACAGACACACAAAAAGCAGTAAAATGATAAATATTTATTAAAAAATATGCTTACTTTTAGTTAGACCTGTTAAAATTAACTAACTTAATTTTAACAGACCAGCACATTAAACACTTACAGGGCTCCAAAGTAATATGTGTTGTGTTAAAAACCACATTACAATTTTTTAGGTTTAAGTAAATTTGAACAAATAATGTTAGCTTGATAAAATGTTATTATTAATTAGCATAAAATGTGTGTTTCCTTAGTCTAAGAAATTTGTATAACAAATGTTAGTTCAGGTTCAGAAAAATATTTTTGGTTTACACTTATTTGCATTTTCAAACACAAGCAAAATCTTAAAATTATTTATAAAATTTGCATCTTCTTTTGAAAGTTTTTCTGCACTAAATTGTGTCTGTCTTTCATGTTAAAACTTTGATCCACACTGTTGACTAAACTAAACTATGTCTGACTTTCAGGGGCCATGTTAAAACTTTGATCCACACTGTCCACTAAACTAAATTGTGTCTGACTTTCAGGGGCCATGTTAAAACTTTGATCCACACTGTCCACCTGCTCCAGCAACTTTCCACTCTTCCACCGCTGCCAGTGGCAGACATCCTGGCAGCACTGCTTGAGTGTGAGGGTGGCCAAGGACAGATCACATCATTTCTTGGCTCCAAATATATTGTTAGCTGGGGCCTAGATGACCTGCTTGGACCAACAAATGCTGACACTGTAGCTTCAGAATCTAAAGAGTCGAATGACAAAGATAAAGATAAAGGTATTTTAGTTAGAGACTAAAAGAATATAAATAAACAATAAAGTTTTTAAATTAGCTGTTATACCAAAATATTTTAAAAGTAATTTTCTCAACAAAGAAACAAGTGAATAAAACCATGTCTTATTTCATGTATTTTTTTGCTTCTTATTTTTGTGCGCTCCTAGGTATTTCATGGTTGAAATTTGTATACATTTAGAGTTATCAAACCTGAGTTTGTATTAGGCCAGTTGTATATTTTTCTTTTTTTTAAAGAACAAGATCTTGGTCGAAGTATCACAACAGATGGATGTTACCTTTATACAACAAACAGTTTTGGTAAAGGGATAGCAAAAGTTGGAACAGGCTTGCAGGGAACACTAAGGTAATGTTGTCGGTTACATCCCATTCTTTGTTTTATCACTTGAGTTTCTGATCCAAGCTACATCTGATAATGTGTACATTGACAGGGGCTTCATTTACAACAAGAACACAGAGCCTGGCCCAGGGCGTCTAGCCTTTGGTTCTGGCTTACTATTGTTTCGGCCTCAAAAATTTGACGCAGAATCAGAAGTTGACAATTTGATCCAGATATATGACAGGGACAAACTAGAAGTAAATTTCTTGTGCTTTCATTCTTAGCTTATGTTGTGTTTGTTGTAGTTGTTAAGTGGGTTGTTGATGTCCATGTGTAGCACTGTCTACCCTAGTCCATTTATTTCAGGCATTAAAAGTTGTGAGCAAGCCATCCGTATTTGTCCAGCCCGGTCCATGCACAACTGTTGGCTTCTGCAGTGATGGGGTCTATTTCTATTGGATGTGGTGCCCAACTCTTTTGCAAGATAAAAGCACAAAAAATGTCAATGTCAATCTAAGTGCATTCTATATGGAGGTAGTACACATAATAGTGGAATGGTCTTAAGCAAATAACTTGTTTGTTTGTTTGTTTAAGTTAATCCTTAGTGTTTGAGTGTTGTCAGTTGAGCTTAATGTTTGTGTTGAACTGTGAGCTTGTGTTGATCTGTGAGGTTGTGTTGATCTGTGAGCTTGTGTTGATCTGTGAGCTTGTGTTGATCTGTGAGCTTGTGTTGATCTGTGAGCTTGTGTTGATCTGTGAGCTTGTGTTGATCTGTGAGCTTGTGTTGATCTGTGAGCTTGTGTTGATCTGTGAGCTTGTGTTGATCTGTGAGCTTGTGTTGATCTGTGAGCTTGTGTTGATCTGTGAGCTTGTGTTGATCTGTGAGCTTGTGTTTAACATTGCAGAAAGAAGCTGAGGCCACAGCACTGAGACCTAGCGTGACACTACAAAAGAAGGAGGAGGCAGTGAGTAGAAATATGAACGAGGCCATCTTAAACAGGCTGAGACCCTTGCGGGGGTCCAACAGTGCCGCGACCCTTATGGCTCTGACAGGGGGTGAAGCTCTGGTGCCAACAAGGAAAGAAGATGGTGAGTCTAGTCTTGGTAGGCTTTAGTCTGTCTACAGTATTTGTCATGTCTGTCTATAGTATTTGTTATGTCTGTCTACAGTATTTGTTATGTCTGTCTACAGTATTTGTTATGTCTGTCTACAGTATTTGTTATGTCTGTCTACAGTATTTGTTATGTCTGTCTACAGTATTTGTTATGTCTGTCTACAGTATTTGTTATGTCTGTCTACAGTATTTGTTATGTCTGTCTACAGTATTTGTTATGTCTGTCTACAGTATTTGTTATGTCTGTCTACAGTATTTGTTATGTCTGTCTACAGTATTTGTTATGTCTGTCTACAGTATTTGTTATGTCTGTCTACAGTATTTGTTATGTCTGTCTACAGTATTTGTTATGTCTGTCTACATAAAGAAGATGGTGAGTCTAGTCCAGAGCTTCTTGCTGATAGGCTCCAGTCTGTCTAGTATTTGTTATGTCTGTCTACTTATTTTTGGATACAAAGTGTCTAGTTGATTGTACTTAAGCGTTCTTACTAGTCTAAAACAGTAGTAATACATTTATCTGACAGAGAGAGATTCAGACATAACGTATATGATATCATATATTACATTTCCAGTTTTATTAGTGTGACTTGTGTGTTTTATTGTGGTTAGGCCTGCAAGTTGAGCCTAATTTATTTTGATTTTGTATTTAACTTTTCCTTCATTAGTGATTGTTTGTTTGGGTGTCAGTTCTCTGTGTTTAGTCTAGTCTAGTGGTTCTGATGAAAGATGAACTTTGTGAATAGTGTAACAATATGACAGGCCAGCTGGTTGAGTATGTCATTCTGGTTTGAATGAGTTAAATGTCAGTACTGCTAGCACTGTGAGAGAAATGCTATGAATTTGTAGAATGTCCAGTCACTGCTTATGTCAAGGTTGTGTCTATGTTTCAGCTCCCAGTGCAGGGAGCACAATGTCTAGTCACTGCTTATGTCAAGGTTGTGTCTATGTTTCAGCTCCCAGTGCAGGGAGCACAAGCTGTGGTGTGCAGCTGAAGACCCTGGCTAAAACACCCCTGTACTGTGATGGCAACCATGTTGTCCTGCTGACTGTGCCCCCAGGGGCAGCCCCAGGGGGTGCGGGCAGGTCACTCTTTGGAGGGGGTCCTATTTCCAGTATCAGATGTAAGCCCAACACTATCTAAAAAACTTTCTTGGTTTTATACACTTTTATTTTCTCATACAGTGTTTTATACACTTTTATTTTATTGTGCAAGGTTTAATACATTTTTCTTAGATAAATGAATCTAATAAATATGTATATAATGATACATGACAATTGTAACTGGTGAAGAATTGAAGTAATGCCATAACATTTCAGCTTTGGCCAGTAACATGTGCTTCAATGTAAAAACTGGATTCTTTAGTGCACGAATGGATTTAATGGAAGCTAGTTCTAGTTCTGTAGGCAGGGGCACACCGCTCACACTTTTAGGTAAGTTCTAGTTCTCTAGGCAGGGGTACACCACTCACACTTTTAGGTAAGTTCTAGTTCTCTAGGCAGGGGTACACCACTCACACTTTTAGGTAAGTTCTAGTTCTTTGAATTCTGCGTTATCCTAAAAAAAAATGGCGGAAAGTTTTTGCCCCAACTTAAACTATATTTGATTGATGAGTGCACTGATCTTGAGGCCTACGTCGCAAGACCGTGCGAGCACATTCTACAAGTGCTTTTATTTAAATATCTAATTTTAACCTGGTTATTTTGAGTTTTGTACTAAAAAAAAACAACCCATGATGAGGTTACAGGATTGATCAGGGTCTAGGTCGAATAGTCTTTAAACTTGTTTAAAAAAAGCTGAATTTTTTGTGCGGTCATCATTGCACCACCTCCACCACCCTCCCTACCCATCTGTCACAGGTGCCTGTTTTGATATTGTAAACAACATGCTTTGGATGTCCAGTGGAGAGTATGTAGACCAGTTTTTTAACCCTGGGAACTTGCCACCCCACCACGTGTACTCCAGGCTGGGGATCCAAGATACATCACCTCCCTTCAATCTCACTGGTATGTACACAACTTGATAGTCTCCCTTCAATCTCACTGGTATGTACACAACTTGATAGTTTCCCTTCAATCTCACTGGTATGTACACAACTTGATAGTTTCCCTTCAATCTCACTGGTATGTACACAACTTGATAGTTTCCCTTCAATCTCACTGGTATGTACACAACTTGATAGTCTCCCTTCAATCTCACTGGTATGTACACAACTTGATAGTTTCCCTTCAATCTCACTGGTATGTACACAACTTGATAGTCTCCCTTCAATCTCACTGGTATGTACACAACTTGATAGTTTCCCTTCAATCTCACTGGTATGTACACAACTTGATAGTCTCCCTTCAATCTCACTGGTATGTACACAACTTGATAGTCTCCCTTCAATCTCACTGGTATGTACACAACTTGATAGTCTCCCTTCAATCTCACTGGTATGTACACAACTTGATAGTCTCCCTTCAATCTCACTGGTATGTACACAACTTGATAGTCTCCCTTCAATCTCACTGGTATGTACACAACTTGATAGTTTCCCTTCAATCTCACTGGTATGTACACAACTTGATAGTCTCCCTTCAATCTCACTGGTATGTACACAACTTGATAGTCTCCCTTCAATCTCACTGGTATGTACACAACTTGATAGTTTCCCTTCAATCTCACTGGTATGTACACAACTTGATAGTTTCCCTTTAATCTCACTGGTATGTACACAACTTGATAGTTTCCCTTCAATCTCACTGGTATGTACACAACTTGATAGTCTCCCTTCAATCTCACTGGTATGTACACAACTTGATAGTTTCCCTTCAATCTCACTGGTATGTACACAACTTGATAGTCTCCCTTCAATCTCACTGGTATGTACACAACTTGATAGTTTCCCTTCAATCTCACTGGTATGTACACAACTTGATAGTCTCCCTTCAATCTCACTGGTATGTACACAACTTGATAGTTTCCCTTTAATCTCACTGGTATGTACACAACTTGATAGTTTCCCTTCAATCTCACTGGTATGTACATAACTTGATAGTTTCCCTTCAATCTCACTGGTATGTACATAACTTGATAGTTTCCCTTCAATCTCACTGGTATGTACACAACTTGATAGTCTCCCTTCAATCTCACTGGTATGTACACAACTGTGTGTTGAGTGAATGTGTGACTAGTATGTTGAGTGACTGTGTGACTGGTATGTTGAGTGACTGTGTGACTGGTATGTTGAGTGACTGTGACTGGTGTGTTGAATGAATGTGTGACTAGTATTTTGAGTGACTGTATGTTGAGTGAACGTGTGACTTGTATGTTGAGTGAATGTGTGACTGGTATGTTAAGTGAATGTGTGACTAGTATGTTGAGTGACTGTGTGACTGGTATGTTGAGTGAATGTGTGACTGGTATGTTGAGTGACTGTGTGACTGGTATGTTGAGTGAATGTGTGACTGGTGTGTTGAGTGAATGTGTGACTGGTATGTTGAGTGAATGTGTGACTGGTATGTTGAGTGACTGTGTGACTGGTATGTTGAGTGACTGTGTGACTTGTATGTTGAGTGAATGTGTGACTAGTATGTTGAGTGACTGTGTGACTAGTATGTTGAGTGACTGTGTCACTGGTATGTTGAGTGCCTGTGTGACTTGTATGTTGAGTGAATGTGTGACTAGTATGTTGAGTGACTGTGTGACTAGTATGTTGAGTGACTGTGTCACTGGTATGTTGAGTGCCTGTGTGACTTGTATGTTGAGTGACTGTGTGACTAGTATGTTGAGTGACTGTGTCACTGGTATGTTGAGTGACTGTGTGACTAGTATGTTGAGTGACTGTGTGACTAGTATGTTGAGTGACTGTGTCACTGGTATGTTGAGTGACTGTGTGACTAGTATGTTGAGTGACTGTGTGACTAGTATGTTGAGTGACTGTGTGACTAGTATGTTGAGTGACTGTGTCACTGGTATGTTGAGTGAATGTGTGACTGGTATGTTGAGTGACTGTGTGACTGATGTGTTGAGTGCCTGTGTGACTGGTATGTTGAGTGCCTGTGTGACTAGTATGTTGAGTGACTGTGTGACTGGTATGTTGAGTGACTGTGTGACTAGTATGTTGAGTGACTGTGTGACTAGTATGTTGAGTGACTGTGTGACTAGTATGTTGAGTGACTGTGTCACTGGTATGTTGAGTGAATGTGTGACTGGTATGTTGAGTGACTGTGTGACTGATGTGTTGAGTGCCTGTGTGACTGGTATGTTGAGTGCCTGTTGAATCCCCAGACAAGCACCAGCTTCCTGTGAAGGTTGTGGTCAACACACTGCTGCACAATGTGGGCAGCATGTGCCTGCACCAGATGACTGTGGACAGCCCGCCTTCTTCTCAGCCAGAACAAACTGTTGACCTAAGTCACCTGACGCGAGTCACAGACATACTTGCCAGGGCAGTTCTAGACAAGGATGAGCAGGCAGTTCTGTGTTGCCTGGTTGTCCTGCAGGTAAGGTGCAGTTTTCTTGTTTGTAACCAGCTAGTTAAACACTGATAGATAGGTGGCAGCACTTGAAGCTTTACTCTACTTTCTGGCAGCTCATTTTTAAAACAAGTACAGCAGTGAGTGGAGACCAACCCACCAGTGAACAAATGAAAGTTACCAGGTAATCTATTGACACTCAGACCAAATACTTGCTAGACAAAGTTACCAGGTAATCTATTGACAGACAGACCAAATACTTGCTAGACAAAGTTACCAGGTAATCTATTGACAGACAGACCAAATACTTGCTAGACAAAGTTACCAGGTAATCCATTGACAGACAGACCAAATACTAGCTAGACAAAGTTACCCGGTAATCTATTGACAGACTAAATACTTGCTAGACAAAGTTACCAGGTAATCTATTGACGTACAGACTAAATACTTGCTAGACAAAGTTACCAGGTAATCTATTGACAGACTAAATACTTGCTAGACAAAGTTACCCGGTAATCTATTGACACTCAGACTAAATACTTGCTAGACAAAGTTACCAGGTAATCTATTGACAGACAGACCAAATACTTGCTAGACAAAGTTACCAGGTAATCTATTGACAGACAGACCAAATACTTGCTAGACAAAGTTACCAGGTAATCCATTGACAGACAGACCAAATACTAGCTAGACAAAGTTACCTGGTAATCTATTGACAGACTAAATACTTGCTAGACAAAGTTACCAGGTAATCTATTGACGTACAGACTAAATACTTGCTAGACAAAGTTACCAGGTAATCTATTGACAGACTAAATACTTGCTAGACAAAGTTACCCGGTAATCTATTGACACTCAGACTAAATACTTGCTAGACAAAGTTACCAGGTAATCTATTGACAGACAGACCAAATACTTGCTAGACAAAGTTACCAGGTAATCTATTGACAGACAGACTAAATACTTGCTAGACAAAGTTACCAGGTAATCTATTGACACTCAGACCAAATACTTGCTAGACAAAGTTACCAGGTAATCCATTGACAGACAGACCAAATACTTGCTAGACAAAGTTACCAGGTAATCCATTGACAGACAGACTAAATACTTGCTAGACAAAGGTACCCTGTTATCTATTGACAGACTAAATACTTGCTAGACAAAGTTACCAGGTAATCTATTGACAGACAGACCAAATAATTGCTAGACAAAGTTACCCGGTAATCTATTGACAGACAGACCAAATACTTGCTAAACAAAGTTACCAGGTAATCCATTGACAGACAGACTAAATACTTGCTAGACAAAGTTACCAGGTAATCTATTGACACTCAGACCAAATACTTGCTAGACAAAGTTACCAGGTAATCTATTGACAGACAGACCAAATACTTGCTAGACAAAGTTACCAGGTAATCCATTGACAGACAGACTAAATACTTGCTAGACAAAGTTACCAGGTAATCCATTGACAGACAGACCAAATACTTGCTAGACAAAGTTACCCGGTAATCTATTGACAGACAGACCAAATACTTGCTAGACAAAGTTACCAGGTAATCCATTGACAGACAGACTAAATACTTGCTAGACAAAGTTACCAGGTAATCTATTGACACTCAGACCAAATACTTGCTAGACAAAGTTACCAGGTAATCTATTGACAGACAGACCAAATACTTGCTAGACAAAGTTACCAGGTAATCCATTGACAGACAGACTAAATACTTGCTAGACAAAGTTACCAGGTAATCCATTGACAGACAGACCAAATACTTGCTAGACAAAGTTACCCGGTAATCTATTGACAGACAGACCAAATACTTGCTAGACAAAGTTATTTACTTTGAGTGAATCCCTACCCACCTTTTAAGTAAAGTTTATTTTTAGATCTTTGATCTGGAAACTTTTGAGCACTTCCTGCTTACCTGAAGGCCAACTGGATTTGTCCATGAAAAGAGAAGCTTGTCATGTGATCACTATAGGGCTGAGGTCTCTGTACCCCAGCACTGAAGACAGACACATCTTGCTGTATCAGCTGCTGACATCAGGTTAGCCCCTCCCTCATCTCTGCTCTTTAGTTCTCTATAGACAGACACATCTTGCTGTATCAGCTGCTGACATCAGGTTAGCCCCTCCTTCACCTCTGCTCTTTAGTTCTCTATAGACAGACACATCTTGCTGTATCAGCTGCTGACATCAGGTTAGCCCCTCCCTCATCTCTGCTCTTTAGTTCTCTATAGACAGACACATCTTGCTGTATCAGCTGCTGACATCAGGTTAGCCCCTCCCTCATCTCTGCTCTTAAGTTCTCTATAGACAGACACATCTTGCTGTATCAGCTGCTGACATCAGGTTAGCCCCTCCCTCATCTCTGCTCTTTAGTTCTCTATAGACAGACACATCTTGCTGTATCAGCTGCTGACATCAGGTTAGCCCCTCCTTCACCTCTGCTCTTTAGTTCTCTATAGACAGACACATCTTGCTGTATCAGCTGCTGACATCAGGTTAGCCCCTCCCTCATCTCTGCTCTTTAGTTCTCTATAGACAGACACATCTTGCTGTATCAGCTGCTGACATCAGGTTAGCCCCTCCCTCATCTCTGCTCTTTAGTTCTCTATAGACAGACACATCTTGCTGTATCAGCTGCTGACATCAGGTTAGCCCCTCCCTCATCTCTGCTCTTTAGTTCTCTATAGACAGACACATCTTGCTGTATCAGCTGCTGACATCAGGTTAGCCCCTCCCTCATCTCTGCTCTTTAGTTCTCTATAGACAGACACATCTTGCTGTATCAGCTGCTGACATCAGGTTAGCCCCTCCCTCATCTCTGCTCTTTAGTTCTCTATAGACAGAAACATCTTGCTGTATCAGCTGCTGACATCAGGTTAGCCCCTCCCTCATCTCTGCTCTTTAGTTCTCTATAGACAGACACATCTTGCTGTATCAGCTGCTGACATCAGGTTAGCCCCTCCCTCATCTCTGCTCTTTAGTTCTCTATAGACAGACACATCTTGCTGTATCAGCTGCTGACATCAGGTTAGCCCCTCCCTCATCTCTGCTCTTTAGTTCTCTATAGACAGACACATCTTGCTGTATCAGCTGCTGACATCAGGTTAGCCCCTCCCTCATCTCTGCTCTTTAGTTCTCTATAGACAGACACATCTTGCTGTATCAGCTGCTGACATCAGGTTAGCCCCTCCCTCATCTCTGCTCTTTAGTTCTCTATAGACAGACACATCTTGCTGTATCAGTTGCTGACATCAGGTTAGCCCCTCCCTCATCTCTGCTCTTTAGTTCTCTATAGACAGACACATCTTGCTGTATCAGCTGCTGACATCAGGTTAGCCCCTCCCTCATCTCTGCTCTTTAGTTCTCTATAGACAGACACATCTTGCTGTATCAGCTGCTGACATCAGGTTAGCCCCTCCCTCATCTCTGCTCTTTAGTTCTCTATAGACAGACACATCTTGCTGTATCAGCTGCTGACATCAAATTAGCCCCTCCCTCATCTCTGCTCTTTAGTTCTCTATAGACAGACACATCTTGCTGTATCAGCTGCTGACATCAGGTTAGCCCCTCCCTCATCTCTGCTCTTTAGTTCTCTATAGACAGACATTTCTTGCTGTATCAGCTGCTGACATCAGGTTAGCCCCTCCCTCATCTCTGCTCTTTAGTTCTCTATAGACAGACACATCTTGCTGTATCAGCTGCTGACATCAGGTTAGCCCCTCCCTCATCTCTGCTCTTTAGTTCTCTATAGACAGACACATCTTGCTGTATCAGCTGCTGACATCAGGTTAGCCCCTCCCTCTGCTCTGCTCTTTAGTTCTCTATAGACAGACACATCTTGCTGTATCAGCTGCTGACATCAGGTTAGCCCCTCCCTCATCTCTGCTCTTTAGTTCTCTATAGACAGACACATCTTGCTGTATCAGCTGCTGACATCAGGTTAGCCCCTCCCTCATCTCTGCTCTTTAGTTCTCTATAGACAGACACATCTTGCTGTATCAGCTGCTGACATCAGGTTAGCCCCTCCCTCATCTCTGCTCTTTAGTTCTCTATAGACAGACACATCTTGCTGTATCAGCTGCTGACATCAGGTTAGCCCCTCCCTCATCTCTGCTCTTTAGTTCTCTATAGACAGACACATCTTGCTGTATCAGCTGCTGACATCAGGTTAGCCCCTCCCACATCCCTGCTCTTTAGTTCTCTATAGACAGACACATCTTGCTGTATCAGCTGCTGACATCAGGTTAGCCCCTCCCTCATCTCTGCTCTTTAGTTCTCTATAGACAGACACATCTTGCTGTATCAGCTGCTGACATCAGGTTAGCCCCTCCCTCATCTCTGCTCTTTAGTTCTCTATAGACAGACACATCTTGCTGTATCAGCTGCTGACATCAGGTTAGCCCCTCCCTCATCTCTGCTCTTTAGTTCTCTATAGACAGACACATCTTGCTGTATCAGCTGCTGACATCAGGTTAGCCCCTCCCTCATCTCTGCTCTTTAGTTCTCTATAGACAGACACATCTTGCTGTATCAGCTGCTGACATCAGGTTAGCCCCTCCCACATCTCTGCTCTTTAGTTCTCTATAGACAGACACATCTTGCTGTATCAGCTGCTGACATCAGGTTAGCCCCTCCCTCTGCTCTTTAGTTCTCTATAGACAGACACATCTTGCTGTATCAGCTGCTGACATCAGGTTAGCCCCTCCCTCATCTCTGCTCTTTAGTTCTCTATAGACAGACACATCTTGCTGTATCAGCTGCTGACATCAGGTTAGCCCCTCCCACATCTCTGCTCTTTAGTTCTCTATAGACAGACACATCTTGCTGTATCAGCTGCTGACATCAGGTTAGCCCCTCCCTCATCTCTGCTCTTTAGTTCTCTATAGACAGACACATCTTGCTGTATCAGCTGCTGACATCAGGTTAGCCCCTCCCACATCCCTGCTCTTTAGTTCTCTATAGACAGACACATCTTGCTGTATCAGCTGCTGACATCAGGTTAGCCCCTCCCTCATCTCTGCTCTTTAGTTCTCTATAGACAGACACATCTTGCTGTATCAGCTGCTGACATCAGGTTAGCCCCTCCCTCATCTCTGCTCTTTAGTTCTCTATAGACAGACACATCTTGCTGTATCAGCTGCTGACATCAGGTTAGCCCCTCCCACATCTCTGCTCTTTAGTTCTCTATAGACAGACACATCTTGCTGTATCAGCTGCTGACATCAGGTTAGCCCCTCCCTCATCTCTGCTCTTTAGTTCTCTATAGACAGACACATCTTGCTGTATCAGCTGCTGACATCAGGTTAGCCCCTCCCTCATCTCTGCTCTTTAGTTCTCTATAGACAGACACATCTTGCTGTATCAGTTGCTGACATCAGGTTAGCCCCTCCCTCATCTCTGCTCTTTAGTTCTCTATAGACAGACACATCTTGCTGTATCAGCTGCTGACATCAGGTTAGCTCCTCCCTCATCTCTGCTCTTTAGTTCTCTATAGACAGACACATCTTGCTGTATCAGCTGCTGACATCAGGTTAGCCCCTCCCTCATCTCTGCTCTTTAGTTCTCTATAGACAGACACATCTTGCTGTATCAGCTGCTGACATCAGGTTAGCCCCTCCCTCATCTCTGCTCTTTAGTTCTCTATAGACAGACACATCTTGCTGTATCAGCTGCTGACATCAGGTTAGCCCCTCCCTCATCTCTGCTCTTTAGTTCTCTATAGACAGACACATCTTGCTGTATCAGCTGCTGACATCAGGTTAGCCCCTCCCACATCTCTGCTCTTTAGTTCTCTATAGACAGACACATCTTGCTGTATCAGCTGCTGACATCAGGTTAGCCCCTCCCTCTGCTCTTTAGTTCTCTATAGACAGACACATCTTGCTGTATCAGCTGCTGACATCAGGTTAGCCCCTCCCTCATCTCTGCTCTTTAGTTCTCTATAGACAGACACATCTTGCTGTATCAGCTGCTGACATCAGGTTAGCCCCTCCCACATCTCTGCTCTTTAGTTCTCTATAGACAGACACATCTTGCTGTATCAGCTGCTGACATCAGGTTAGCCCCTCCCTCATCTCTGCTCTTTAGTTCTCTATAGACAGACACATCTTGCTGTATCAGCTGCTGACATCAGGTTAGCCCCTCCCTCATCTCTGCTCTTTAGTTCTCTATAGACAGACACATCTTGCTGTATCAGCTGCTGACATCAGGTTAGCTCCTCCCTCATCTCTGCTCTTTAGTTCTCTATAGACAGACACATCTTGCTGTATCAGCTGCTGACATCAGGTTAGCCCCTCCCTCATCTCTGCTCTTTAGTTCTCTATAGACAGACACATCTTGCTGTATCAGCTGCTGACATCAGGTTAGCCCCTCCCTCATCTCTGCTCTTTAGTTCTCTATAGACAGACACATCTTGCTGTATCAGCTGCTGACATCAGGTTAGCCCCTCCCTCATCTCTGCTCTTTAGTTCTCTATAGACAGACACATCTTGCTGTATCAGCTGCTGACATCAGGTTAGCCCCTCCCACATCTCTGCTCTTTAGTTCTCTATAGACAGACACATCTTGCTGTATCAGCTGCTGACATCAGGTTAGCCCCTCCCTCATCTCTGCTCTTTAGTTCTCTATAGACAGACACATCTTGCTGTATCAGCTGCTGACATCAGGTTAGCCCCTCCCACATCTCTGCTCTTTAGTTCTCTATAGACAGACACATCTTGCTGTATCAGCTGCTGACATCAGGTTAGCCCCTCCCTCATCTCTGCTCTTTAGTTCTCTATAGACAGACACATCTTGCTGTATCAGCTGCTGACATCAGGTTAGCCCCTCCCACATCCCTGCTCTTTAGTTCTCTATAGACAGACACATCTTGCTGTATCAGCTGCTGACATCAGGTTAGCCCCTCCCTCATCTCTGCTCTTTAGTTCTCTATAGACAGACACATCTTGCTGTATCAGCTGCTGACATCAGGTTAGCCCCTCCCACATCTCTGCTCTTTAGTTCTCTATAGACAGACACATCTTGCTGTATCAGCTGCTGACATCAGGTTAGCCCCTCCCTCATCTCTGCTCTTTAGTTCTCTATAGACAGACACATCTTGCTGTATCAGCTGCTGACATCAGGTTAGCCCCTCCCTCATCTCTGCTCTTTAGTTCTCTATAGACAGACACATCTTGCTGTATCAGCTGCTGACATCAGGTTAGCCCCTCCCTCATCTCTGCTCTTTAGTTCTCTATAGACAGACACATCTTGCTGTATCAGCTGCTGACATCAGGTTAGCCCCTCCCTCATCTCTGCTCTTTAGTTCTCTATAGACAGACACATCTTGCTGTATCAGCTGCTGACATCAGGTTAGCCCCTCCCTCATCTCTGCTCTTTAGTTCTCTATAGACAGACACATCTTGCTGTATCAGCTGCTGACATCAGGTTAGCCCCTCCCTCATCTCTGCTCTTTAGTTCTCTATAGACAGACACATCTTGCTGTATCAGCTGCTGACATCAGGTTAGCCCCTCCCACATCTCTGCTCTTTAGTTCTCTATAGACAGACACATCTTGCTGTATCAGCTGCTGACATCAGGTTAGCCCCTCCCTCATCTCTGCTCTTTAGTTCTCTATAGACAGACACATCTTGCTGTATCAGCTGCTGACATCAGGTTAGCCCCTCCCTCATCTCTGCTCTTTAGTTCTCTATAGACAGACACATCTTGCTGTATCAGTTGCTGACATCAGGTTAGCCCCTCCCTCATCTCTGCTCTTTAGTTCTCTATAGACAGACACATCTTGCTGTATCAGCTGCTGACATCAGGTTAGCTCCTCCCTCATCTCTGCTCTTTAGTTCTCTATAGACAGACACATCTTGCTGTATCAGCTGCTGACATCAGGTTAGCCCCTCCCTCATCTCTGCTCTTTAGTTCTCTATAGACAGACACATCTTGCTGTATCAGCTGCTGACATCAGGTTAGCCCCTCCCTCATCTCTGCTCTTTAGTTCTCTATAGACAGACACATCTTGCTGTATCAGCTGCTGACATCAGGTTAGCCCCTCCCTCATCTCTGCTCTTTAGTTCTCTATAGACAGACACATCTTGCTGTATCAGCTGCTGACATCAGGTTAGCCCCTCCCACATCTCTGCTCTTTAGTTCTCTATAGACAGACACATCTTGCTGTATCAGCTGCTGACATCAGGTTAGCCCCTCCCACATCTCTGCTCTTTAGTTCTCTATAGACAGACACATCTTGCTGTATCAGCTGATGACATCAGGTTAGCCCCTCCCTCTGCTCTTTAGTTCTCTATAGACAGACACATCTTGCTATATCAGCTGCTGACATCAGGTTAGCCCCTCCCACATCTCTGCTCTTTAGTTCTCTATAGACAGACACATCTTGCTGTATCAGCTGCTGACATCAGGTTAGCCCCTCCCTCATCTCTGCTCTTTAGTTCTCTATAGACAGAAACATCTTGCTGTATCAGCTGCTGACATCAGGTTAGCCCCTCCCTCATCTCTGCTCTTTAGTTCTCTATAGACAGACACATCTTGCTGTATCAGCTGCTGACATCAGGTTAGCCCCTCCCACATCTCTGCTCTTTAGTTCTCTATAGACAGACACAGTCATGATACTGTAAGTGTTGAAGTGTTGGGGTGTTGATAAATGAAGTGTTTAACCTTTAGGTGATGAGAGCCCAGCCTTAAGACAGCTGAGGGATATGATACTGACAGAGTTTTCACTACAACTCAACTCCCTCCAGCCATCAGCTAAAGAAGAAGAAGTTTTACAGTAAGATTGTTTGCCTGACAACTTTGACAAATCTTCTTTATCAAACCACCTTTGTGTCTCCCAACATTTCTCTTGTCCAGGGTGTATTTATTTGTCCAGGGTGTATTTATTTGTCCAGGGTGTATTTATTTGTCCATGATGTATTTATTTGTCCATGATGTATTTATTTGTCCATGATTTTATTTGTCCAGGGTGTATTTATTTGTCCAGGGTGTATTTATTTGTCCATGGTGTATTTATTTGTCCAGGGTGTATTTATTTGTCCAGGGTGTATTTATTTGTCCATGATGTATTTATTTGTCCATGATGTATTTATTTGTCCATGATGTAATTATTTGTCCAGGGTGTATTTATTTGTCCAAGATGTATTTATTTGTCCATGATGTATTTATTTGTCCATGATTTTATTTGTTCATGATGTATTTATTTGTCCAGGGTGTAAGTTTTAGTCCAAGTTGAGGGGATAACTAATGTCTATTTGTCCAGGGGTTTACTGTGAGGGGATAACTAATGTCTGACATGATGTATTTGTCCAGGGGTTTACTGTGAGGGGATAACTAATGTCTGACATGATGTATTTGTCCAGGGGTTTACTGTGAGGGGATAACTAATGTCTGACATGATGTATTTGTCCAGGGGTTTACAGTGATAACTAATGTCTGACATGATGTATTTGTCCAGGGGTTTACTGTGAGGGGATAACTAATGTCTGACATGATGTATTTGTCCAGGGGTTTACTGTGAGGGGATAACTGTCTAACATGATGTATTTGTCCAGGGGTTTACTGTGAGGGGATAACTAATGTCTGACATGATGTATTTGTCCAGGGGTTTACTGTGAGGGGATAACTAATGTCTGACGTGATGTATTTGTCCAGGGGTTTACTGTGAGGGGATAACTAATGTCTGACATGATGTATTTGTCCAGGGGTTTACTGTGAGGGGATAACTAATGTCTGACATGATGTATTTGTCCAGGGGTTTACTGTGAGGGGATAACTAATGTCTGACATGATGTATTTGTCCAGGGGTTTACTGTGAGGGGATAACTAATGTCTGACATGATGTATTTGTCCAGGGGTTTACTGTGAGGGGATAACTAATGTCTGACATGATGTATTTGTCCAGGGGTTTACTGTGAGGGGATAACTAATGTCTGACATGATGTATTTGTCCAGGGGTTTACTGTGAGGGGATAACTAATGTCTGACATGATGTATTTGTCCAGGGGTTTACTGTGAGGGGATAACTAATGTCTGACATGATGTATTTGTCCAGGGGTTTACAGTGATAACTAATGTCTGACGTGATGTATTTGTCCAGGGGTTTACTGTGAGGGGATAACTAATGTCTGACATGATGTATTTGTCCAGGGGTTTACAGTGATAACTAATGTCTGACATGATGTATTTGTCCAGGGGTTTACTGTGAGGGGATAACTAATGTCTGACATGATGTATTTGTCCAGGGGTTTACAGTGATAACTAATGTCTGACATGATGTATTTGTCCAGGGGTTTACTGTGAGGGGATAACTAATGTCTGACATGATGTATTTGTCCAGGGGTTTACTGTGAGGGGATAACTGTCTGACATGATGTATTTGTCCAGGGGTTTACTGTGAGGGGATAACTGTCTGACATGATGTATTTGTCCAGGGGTTTACTGTGAGGGGATAACTAATGTCTGACATGATGTATTTGTCCAGGGGTTTACAGTGATAACTAATGTCTGACATGATGTATTTGTCCAGGGGTTTACTGTGAGGGGATAACTAATGTCTGACATGATGTATTTGTCCAGGGGTTTACTGTGAGGGGATAACTGTCTGACATGATGTATTTGTCCAGGGGTTTACTGTGAGGGGATAACTAATGTCTGACATGATGTATTTGTCCAGGGGTTTACTGTGAGGGGATAACTGTCTGACATGATGTATTTGTCCAGGGGTTTACTGTGAGGGGATAACTAATGTCTGACATGATGTATTTGTCCAGGGGTTTACTGTGAGGGGATAACTAATGTCTGACATGATGTATTTGTCCAGGGGTTTACTGTGAGGGGATAACTAATGTCTGACATGATGTATTTGTCCAGGGGTTTACTGTGAGGGGATAACTAATGTCTGACATGATGTATTTGTCCAGGGGTTTACTGTGAGGGGATAACTAATGTCTGACGTGATGTATTTGTCCAGGGGTTTACTGTGAGGGGATAACTAATGTCTGACATGATGTATTTGTCCAGGGGTTTACTGTGAGGGGATAACTAATGTCTGACATGATGTATTTGTCCAGGGGTTTACTGTGAGGGGATAACTAATGTCTGACATGATGTATTTGTCCAGGGGTTTACTGTGAGGGGATAACTAATGTCTGACATGATGTATTTGTCCAGGGGTTTACAGTGATAACTAATGTCTGACATGATGTATTTGTCCAGGGGTTTACTGTGAGGGGATAACTGTCTGACATGATGTATTTGTCCAGGGGTTTACTGTGAGGGGATAACTAATGTCTGACATGATGTATTTGTCCAGGGGTTTACTGTGAGGGGATAACTAATGTCTGACATGATGTATTTGTCCAGGGGTTTACTGTGAGGGGATAACTAATGTCTGACATGATGTATTTGTCCAGGGGTTTACTGTGAGGGGATAACTAATGTCTGACATGATGTATTTGTCCAGGGGTTTACTGTGAGGGGATAACTAATGTCTGACATGATGTATTTGTCCAGGGGTTTACTGTGAGGGGATAACTAATGTCTGACGTGATGTATTTGTCCAGGGGTTTACTGTGAGGGGATAACTAATGTCTGACATGATGTATTTGTCCAGGGGTTTACTGTGAGGGGATAACTAATGTCTGACATGATGTATTTGTCCAGGGGTTTACTGTGAGGGGATAACTAATGTCTGACATGATGTATTTGTCCAGGGGTTTACTGTGAGGGGATAACTAATGTCTGACATGATGTATTTGTCCAGGGGTTTACAGTGATAACTAATGTCTGACATGATGTATTTGTCCAGGGGTTTACTGTGAGGGGATAACTAATGTCTGACATGATGTATTTGTCCAGGGGTTTACAGTGATAACTAATGTCTGACATGATGTATTTGTCCAGGGGTTTACTGTGAGGGGATAACTAAAGTCTGACATGATGTATTTGTCCAGGGGTTTACAGTGATAACTAATGTCTGACGTGATGTATTTGTCCAGGGGTTTACTGTGAGGGGATAACTAATGTCTGACATGATGTATTTGTCCAGGGGTTTACTGTGAGGGGATAACTAATGTCTGACATGATGTATTTGTCCAGGGGTTTACAGTGATAACTAATGTCTGACATGATGTATTTGTCCAGGGGTTTACTGTGAGGGGATAACTAATGTCTGACATGATGTATTTGTCCAGGGGTTTACAGTGATAACTAATGTCTGACATGATGTATTTGTCCAGGGGTTTACTGTGAGGGGATAACTAATGTCTGACATGATGTATTTGTCCAGGGGTTTACTGTGAGGGGATAACTGTCTGACATGATGTATTTGTCCAGGGGTTTACTGTGAGGGGATAACTAATGTCTGACATGATGTATTTGTCCAGGGGTTTACAGTGATAACTAATGTCTGACATGATGTATTTGTCCAGGGGTTTACTGTGAGGGGATAACTGTCTGACATGATGTATTTGTCCAGGGGTTTACTGTGAGGGGATAACTAATGTCTGACATGATGTATTTGTCCAGGGGTTTACTGTGAGGGGATAACTAATGTCTGACATGATGTATTTGTCCAGGGGTTTACTGTGAGGGGATAACTAATGTCTGACATGATGTATTTGTCCAGGGGTTTACTGTGAGGGGATAACTAATGTCTGACATGATGTATTTGTCCAGGGGTTTACTGTGAGGGGATAACTAATGTCTGACATGATGTATTTGTCCAGGGGTTTACAGTGATAACTAATGTCTGACATGATGTATTTGTCCAGGGGTTTACTGTGAGGGGATAACTAATGTCTGACATGATGTATTTGTCCAGGGGTTTACTGTGAAGGGATAACTGTCTGACATGATGTATTTGTCCAGGGGTTTACTGTGAGGGGATAACTAATGTCTGACATGATGTATTTGTCCAGGGGTTTACTGTGATGGGATAACTAATGTCTGACATGATGTATTTGTCCAGGGGTTTACTGTGAGGGGATAACTAATGTCTGACATGATGTATTTGTCCAGGGGTTTACTGTGAGGGGATAACTAATGTCTGACATGATGTATTTGTCCAGGGGTTTACTGTGAGGGGATAACTAATGTCTGACATGATGTATTTGTCCAGGGGTTTACTGTGAGGGGATAACTAATGTCTGACATGATGTATTTGTCCAGGGGTTTACTGTGAGGGGATAACTAATGTCTGACATGATGTATTTGTCCAGGGGTTTACTGTGAGGGGATAACTAATGTCTGACATGATGTATTTGTCCAGGGGTTTACTGTGAGGGGATAACTAATGTCTGACCTCTGCATGTGACAGGCTGTCTGATGATCTGGTCTGGTACATCCTGAAACTGGCTGTCAAAGAATCCTGCACATTGCTCAACCACGCTCGCTCCTGGTCCAAACTGAACTTCCAGAAAACTATTTCAAACATGCCAGTCAGTTGATTCAATTTTACATGCTAATACAACTTAAATCTGTTGGTTAAATCTCTGTATCAAAACATTAAACAGCATAAGTAACTCTGTTCATGAAATTCTTGTATCAAAACATTAAACAGCCTAACTCTGTTAATGAAATTCTTGTATTAAAACATAGCGCAGCATAAATCTATGTATTAAAAGACTTGTATTAAAACATACAGCAGCATAAATCTATGTATTAAAAAACTTGTATTCAAACATAGCGCAGCATAAATCTATGTATTAAAAGACTTGTATTCAAACATAGCGCAGCATAAATCTATGTATTAAAAGACTTGTATAAAAACATAGCGCAGCATAAATCTATGTATTAAAAGACTTGTATTCAAACATACAGCAGCATAAATCTATGTATTAAAAGACTTGTATGCAAACATAGCACAGCATAAATCTATGTATTAAAAGACTTGTATGCAAACATAGCACAGCATAAATCTATGTATTAAAAGACTTGTATTCAAACATAGCGCAGCATAAATCTATGTATTAAAAGACTTGTATTCAAACATAGAGCAGCATAAATCTATGTATTAAAAGACTTGTATTCAAACCTTTCAGTTGGCCTCCCCTGCTGTCTTGTACCTCTCAGCCCTGCGCTCCTACTACCTGAGGTCTGCTGTACTGTATGACACATCCCACACCACCAGCTCTGGAGACTTGCTACCACTAGAGGTTCATTGCTTCCTTTCTTTCTCTTGAACAAATAAGCAGCTGTAGCACTAGAAAGATGTCTAAAAACTCTTGATTTGTGCAGGCCATTCAAGCCAAAGTGTTGGCTCTGTCCTCCAAGCTGATCACTGGGGCCTGCGAGGTGCTGGAGAGTTTCCTGGACACCTGCAACATTGTGCTGGCGGCCTCACAGACAGAGGAGCTGGAGGCCTGGCTGGCTGGCCTGGAGAGGCTGGCCAAAAGTACCATCCTGGGCTCTCTCATGCCTGTCCTCATCACTGCCCTCACCCACCCCAACCTGCAGTCTCTCAGTCTGGCGGGTGCCCTCATGCCCTCGCTGGTCACCCTCAGCCTCTTGGCCAGTCAAGTAAGTCAATTTTAGCCAGTCAAGTCAATTTTAGCCAGTCAAGTCAATTTTAGCCAGTCAAGTAAGTCAGCCAGTCAAGTAAGTCAATTTTAGCCAGTCAAGTAAGTCAGCCAGTCAAGTAAGTCAGCCAGTCAAGTAAGTCAGCCAGTCAAGTAAGTCAGCCAGTCAAGTAAGTAAGTCAATTTTAGCCAGTCAAGTAAGTAAGTCAATTTTAGCCAGTCAAGTAAGTCAATTTTAGCCAGTCAAGTAAGTCAATTTTAGCCAGTCAAGTAAGTCAGCCAGTCAAGTAAGTCAGCCAGTCAAGTAAGTCAATTTTAGCCAGTCAAGTAAGTAAGTCAATTTTAGCCAGTCAAGCAAGTCAATTTTAGCCAGTCAAATAAGTCAATTTTAGCCAGTCAAGTAAGTCAATTTTAGCCAGTCAAGTAAGTCAAACAATTTTAGCCAGTCAAGTAAGTCAATTTTAGCCAGTCAAGTAAGTCAATTTTAGCCAGTCAAGTAAGTCAAACAATTTTAGCCAGTCAAGTAAGTCAATTTTAGCCAGTCAAGTAAGTCAAACAATTTTAGCCAGTCAAGTAAGTCAAACAATTTTAGCCAGTCAAGTAAGTCAATTTTAGCCAGTCAAGTAAGTCAAACAATTTTAGCCAGTCAAGTAAGTCAATTTTAGCCAGTCAAGTAAGTCAATTTTAGCCAGTCAAGTAAGTCAATTTTAGCCAATCAAGTAAGTCAATTTTAGCCAGTCAAGTAAGTCAAACAATTTTAGCCAGTCAATTTTAGCCAGTCAAGTAAGTCAATTTTAGCCAGTCAAGTAAGTCAATTTTAGCCAGTCAAGTAAGTCAATTTTAGCCAGTCAAGTAAGTCAATTTTAGCCAGTCAAGTAAGTCAATTTTAGCCAGTCAAGTAAGTCAAACAATTTTAGCCAGTCAATTAAGTCAAACAATTTTGGCAAGTCAAGTAAGTCTTCTGTTGATGTGGTGTGTGGGTGATGTACAAAATTAAACAGTGAATGTTGATCTTGCTGTCATGTCATTGTTGAGCCTGCTGATTTCAGGCTGCCTTAAAGATGAAAAGCCAAGAACTGGCAGCAAGTGCATCTCTGACAGCAAACAGTGACCTTGACCTAGACTCTGATAAAGAAATGGCAGAGTTTATTGGAGAAGCCCTACACAGAGATGAGTAAGTGAAACCCAACTGTTGGAACTTCAGCTTGGTTTTCTTTAGATTGTTATACACCATTTTATTCTAAATCTACCCAAGTATCATGCTAAAACACAATTCAATTTGTTTTCAAGTTCATTTAAGTAAAATAAAACTTTAAAACCTTGTTCTGAACAATTTTAAAAACTGAAGTTAGATCATTCTAGTTCTGGGATAGCAATTTGTCTCAGTTGTGTAACAATGAAATGGAGGAGTAATTAGATATTTGTCACAGTTATGTAACAATGAATTGAAGGAGTAATTAGATATTTGTCTTAGTTATGTAACAATGAAATGGAGTAATTAGATATTTGTCTCAGTTATGTAACAATGAATTGAAGGAGTAATTAGATATTTGTCTCAGTTGTGTAACAATAAATTGAAGGAGTAATTAGATATTTGTCTCAGTTGTGTAACAATGAATTGAAGGAGTAATTAGATATTTGTCTCAGTTGTGTAACAATGAATTGAAGGAGTAATTAGATATTTGTCTCAGTTATGTAACAATGAATTGAAGGAGTAATTAGATATTTGTCACAGTTATGTAACAATGAATTGAAGGAGTAATTAGATATTTGTCTCAGTTGTGTAACAATAAATTGAAGGAGTAATTAGATATTTGTCTCAGTTATGTAACAATGAATTGAAGGAGTAATTAGATATTTGTCACAGTTGTGTAACAATGAATTGAAGGAGTAATTAGATATTTGTCTCAGTTATGTAACAATGAATTGAAGGAGTAATTAGATATTTGTCTCAGTTATGTAACAATGAATTGTAGGAGTAATTAGATATTTGTCACAGTTATGTAACAATGAATTGAAGGAGTAATTAGATATTTGTCTCAGTTATGTAACAATGAATTGAAGGAGTAATTAGATATTTGTCTCAGTTGTGTAACAATAAATTGAAGGAGTAATTAGATATTTGTCTCAGTTATGTAACAATTAAATGAAGGAGTAATTAGATATTTGTCTCAGTTATGTAACAATGAATTGAAGGAGTAATTAGATATTTGTCACAGTTATGTAACAACTTAAGTTTGAATCTGGGTTCAAGTCAATATATGTCCCTGAGTCAACCCAGCTAGATGGGTACCTAACTCTTGTTAGGGAAAGTAACTAAAGGCAGCTGGGCATAGTGCTGACCACACTATCCCTTCCTATGCCGAGGTCACAGAAACAGGTGAACTCTACTTCACTTGCCCCATGGACCTTCAGGCTTGACTTTTGTATGTACATGAAGCAGTGAATAGAATGTGATCATTGTGTGACCATCTTTCTGTCAGTGCTGGCATGAGCATGGAGGAAGAAGAAGGTTTCCTGACTGGCCTCAAGATCCCCACACCCTGGGCCTCGGGTAAGACAGTGGAGACCATCCACCCAGTCAGGGACAACTACAAATTCAAGGAAACTATTCACATCCCTGGGGCACGCTGCTTATATCTCAGATTTGACAGCAGATGTTCATCTCAGTATGATTACGATAAGGTAAGTAACTGATCACATGCCTGCTGCACGGACTATACCTTTAAAGAACAACTATTAAAATATAGTGATATGCATCTATCCTGCCACTACCCCTCTGATCCTGCAACTACCCCTCCTATCACTACCTGTCTGATCCTGCCACTACCTGTCTGATCCTGCCACTACCCCTCTGATCCTGTCACTACCTGTTCTCTACCTGCCTGATCCTGTCACTACCTGTCTGATCCTGTCACTACCTGTCCTGCCACTACCTGTCTGATCCTGTCACTACCTGTCTGATCCTGTCACTACCTGTCCTGTCACTACCTGTCTGATCCTGCAACTACCTGTCTGATCCTGTCACTACCTGTCTGATCCTGTCACTACCTGTCCTGCCACTACCTGTCTGATCCTGTCACTACCTGTCTGATCCTGTCACTACCTGCCTGATCCTGCCACTACCTGTCTGATCCTGCCACTACCTGTCTGATCCTGTCACTACCTGTCCTGCCACTACCTGTCTGATCCTGCCACTACCTGTCTGATCCTGTCACTACCTGTCCTGCCACTACCTGTCTGATCCTGTCACTACCTGTCCTGTCACTACCTGTCTGATCCTGTCACTACCTGTCTGATCCTGCCACTACCTGTCTGATCCTGCCACTACCTGTCTGATCCTGTCACTACCTGTCCTGACACTACCTGTCTGATCCTGTCACTACCTGTCCTGTCACTACCTGTCTGATCCTGTCACTACCTGTCTGATCCTGTCACTACCTGTCTGATCCTGTCACTACCTGTTCTCTACCTGCCTGATCCTGTCACTACCTGTCTGATCCTGTCACTACCTGTCTGATCCTGTCACTACCTGTCTGATCCTGTCATTACCTGTCCTGCCACTACCTGTCTGATCCTGTCATTACCTGTCCTGTCACTACCTGTCTGATCCTGTCACTACCTGTCTGATCACCTACACAGTGTGATGTTGCTGATGTTTTGTGTTGTCCTCTCCTGCAGGTAGTGGTCTATGCTGGTGCTGGCATCAATGGCAAGAAGGTTGTGGAATACGGTGGAAACTCTTTTGGTTACGGCAGTCGTAGTGTACTGGGTAGTGGTTGGCCCAAAGATTTGGTTAAGGTGAGGTTGGCCCAAAGATTTGGTTAAGGTGAGGTTGGCCCAAAGATTTGGTTAAGGTGAGGTTGGCCCAAAGATTTGGTTAAGGTGAGGTTGGCCCAAAGATTTGGTTAAGGTGAGGTTGGCCCAAAGATTTGGTTAAGGTGAGGTTGGCCCAAAGATTTGGTTAAGGTGAGGTTGGCCCAAAGATTTGGTTAAGGTGAGGTTGGCCCAAAGATTTGGTTAAGGTGAGGTTGGCCCAAAGATTTGGTTAAGGTGAGGTTGGCCCAAAGATTTGGTTAAGGTGAGGTTGGCCCAAAGATTTGGTTAAGGTGAGGTTGGCCCAAAGATTTGGTTAAGGTGAGGTTGGCCCAAAGATTTGGTTAAGGTGAGGTTGGCCCAAAGATTTGGTTAAGGTGAGGTTGGCCCAAAGATTTGGTTAAGGTGAGGTTGGCCCAAAGATTTGGTTAAGGTGAGGTTGGCCCAAAGATTTGGTTAAGGTGAGGTTGGCCCAAAGATTTGGTTAAGGTGAGGTTGGCCCAAAGATTTGGTTAAGGTGAGGTTGGCCCAAAGATTTGGTTAAGGTGAGGTTGGCCCAAAGATTTGGTTAAGGTGAGGTTGGCCCAAAGATTTGGTTAAGGTGAGGTTGGCCCAAAGATTTGGTTAAGGTGAGGTTGGCCCAAAGATTTGGTTAAGGTGAGGTTGGCCCAAAGATTTGGTAATGTGAGGTTGGCCCAAAGATTTGGTTAAGGTGAGGTTGGCCCAAAGATTTGGTTAAGGTGAGGTTGGCCCAAAGATTTGGTTAAGGTGAGGTTGGCCCAAAGATTTGGTTAAGGTGAGGTTGGCCCAAAGATTTGGTTAAGGTGAGGTTGGCCCAAAGATTTGGTTAAGGTGAGGTTGGCCCAAAGATTTGGTTAAGGTGAGGTTGGCCCAAAGATTTGGTAATGTGAGGTTGGCCCAAAGATTTGGTTAAGGTGAGGTTGGCCCAAAGATTTGGTAATGTGAGGTTGGCCCAAAGATTTGGTTAAGGTGAGGTTGGCCCAAAGATTTGGTAATGTGAGGTTGGCACAGAAATGACCTAGTCAGCACTAATAATTTCTGTTTGACCTTTGAACTTCAACAGGTAGATGGAGACACTGTCACATTGACTTTTGAAATGCGCAGCGGACGGGAACATAACACACCTGACAAGGCCATGTGGGGATTTGCTTGTACAATTAGAGCACAGGTCAGCTTATTTTAGACCCCCCCCCTAACAGCACAGGTCAGCCCAGTCAGTAAAAGATATTGTACCCTCCCATCAGTACTGGATTCTAATTAATCTATTTGCCTGTTCTTTTTGAAGACCATACAAACATTGCTGTATCTCAAAGTTATGTTCATCTAGTGGTCTGGCCAGTCTTTACAAAGTTTTCCTTTTTCAATGTGTATTTCCTTTGAACATACTTAAAGCAAGGTCCAAATGTCCCCAGGAATCAGCGGAGGAAGTGACCCCAGGACTCCCCTTCTTGTCTGACCTGGCTCTAGGGCTGTCAGTCCTGTTGTGCACCCAGTTGGCCCAGTTGTACCACGGCTCCCCCGCCAGTCAGGACGAGGCAGATTGTCAGCACCTCCTCAAGTCCAGGATATTGCAGAGGTGGCCAGATAAGTTGTTACATGGGAGCTGGGCTAGCAGAGGTGGCCAGATAAGTTGTTACATGGGAGCTGGGCTAGTACAGAGGTGGCCAGATAAGTTGTTACATGGGAGCTGGGCTAGCAGAGGTGGCCAGATAAGTTGTTACATGGGAGCTGGGCTAGCAGAGGTGGCCAGATAAGTTGTTACATGGGAGCTGGGCTAGTACAGAGGTGGCCAGATCAGTTGTTACATGGGAGCTGGGCTAGTACAGAGGTGGCCAGATAAGTTGTTACATGGGAGCTGGGCTAGTAGAGGTGGCCAGATAAGTTGTTACATGGGAGCTGGGCTAGTACAGAGGTGGCCAGATAAGTTGTTACATGGGAGCTGGGCTAGCAGAGGTGGCCAGATAAGTTGTTACATGGGAGCTGGGCTAGCAGAGGTGGCCAGATAAGTTGTTACATGGGAGCTGGGCTAGTACAGAGGTGGCCAGATAAGTTGTTACATGGGAGCTGGGCTAGCAGAGGTGGCCAGATAAGTTGTTACATGGGAGCTGGGCTAGTAGAGGTGGCCAGATAAGTTGTTACATGGGAGCTGGGCTAGTACAGAGGTGGCCAGATAAGTTGTTACATGGGAGCTGGGCTAGCAGAGGTGGCCAGATAAGTTGTTACATGGGAGCTGGGCTAGCAGAGGTGGCCAGATAAGTTGTTACATGGGTGCTAGACTTACAGATGAGATCCATATAAGACACTCTTTAGTTAATGCCACTTGAGTTGATGAACTGCCATTGAATGAGGGTGTTAGGACCCTAGCTGGACGTAGTGAGCTACTTGCCCATGGACTTGTAGCCACCAGATTCTGCCTATGTTGGTTGCTGGCTACAGTTGAACAATTTCCTCCCCCAGATGTATCTGGAAGACTGAAAGATGTGCTGATGGTGTTGAGAGATCTTCTGAAGCCTCAAGTGCTGCCCTGGCCTCCCCTCCCAGAGCTGATGAGCCGGAGCTGTCTGGGGCCCTGATGAGTGCCCGCCTGCCCCGCATCAAGCTCTCCTCAGACATCATGGACAGGCTGAGGAGGCTCATCAAACGCCAGCCTGTCAGACTCAGGGCCTCAATCAAGTCAGTCCTATTCTTTTCTTGTACCCTTTTCACCATCTAGGGCAGCTCAAGTAGATTTCCCAAAGACAAGCCATCATTGCTTTATCTAACATGAGTCAGTTAGCCATTAGAATTGAGTGGACTCAGGAATATTATAACTATCTTATAAGATGTGAAGTTTAGACCTTCAAGGTTAGCAGTGAGTGTTGAAAGAAATTCTCTCCCCTGAAAGACATGAACTGTTTGAATAAAGATGTTTTGTCCTGACCAATCAGATCAGCCATTGAGATGGAGGTTGTTGAAGAGAGTATCATATCAGCTGTGGCCAAGCACCTGGGTTTGACCGATTCACTGCGAGACTTGAGAACTGTTGTAGACAAACAAGGGGATGAGCTTGCTGCCCTCATGGCCATTTTAGAAGAAACCTATAGAAGATTTGAAGTTTTGATTCGACAACTTCAGGTAATATACCTCAACTTTGTAATATCTTAGATTGTTTGTTAAATACCCGAACTTTACACGGCTGCTGTTTTAGATGGTTAGTTATATATCGGAACTTTGTACCTTACTTTGCACTTATTTTATTAATGTTCTTTTTTTGCTGTTGAAATTTGAGGTTGTGTTTATTAGATGAAATAAGTACAATTGTTTAATTAAGATGTGTTGATGTACAGTTGATGGTTTGTGTTGATGTACAACTGATGGTTTGTGTTGATTGGTTTGTGTTGATTGGTTTGTGTTGATGTACAGCTGATGGTTTGTGTTGATTGGTTTGTGTTGATGTACAGCTGATGGTTTGTGTTGATTGGTTTGTGTTGATGTACAGCTGATGGTTTGTGTTGATTGGTTTGTGTTGATTGGTTTTGTTTTGATGTACAGCTGATGGTTTGTGTTGATTGGTTTGTGTTGATTGGTTTGTGTTGATTGGTTTGTGTTGATTGGTTTGTGTTGATGTACAGCTGATGGTTTGTATTGATGTACAGCTGATGGTTTGTGTTGATGTACAGCTGATGGTTTGTGTTGATTGGTTTGTGTTGATTGGTTTGTGTTGATTGGTTTGTGTTGATGTACAGTTGATGGTTTGTGTTGATGTTCAGCTGATGGTTTGTGTTGATTGGTTTGTGTTGATTGGTTTGTGTTGATGTACAGCTGATGGTTTGTGTTGATTGGTTTGTGTTGATTGGTTTGTGTTGATTGGTTTGTGTTGATGTACAGCTGATGGTTTGTGTTGATTGGTTTGTGTTGATTGGTTTGTGTTGATGTACAGCTGATGGTTTGTGTTGATTGGTTTGTGTTGATGTACAGTTGATGGTTTGTGTTGATGTACAGCTGATGGTTTGTGTTGATGTACAGCTGTTGGTTTGTGTTGATTGGTTTGTGTTGATGTACAGTTGATGGTTTGTGTTGATGTACAGCTGATGGTTTGTGTTGATGTACAGCTGTTGGTTTGTGTTGATTGGTTTGTGTTGATTGGTTTGTGTTGATGTACAGCTGATGGGTGAGCTGGAGAAACGCTGGGAGACGGAGGTTGAAGAGAGAGCTCTAGGTCCGGGCTCCAAGTGTGTCGGCCTTGAGGAATTGACTGTCTCAAGTCCGTCAAATGATCCACCTTTTTTCCATGATTATCACTTGCAAGAGGTAATCATTTTTAGAATTATTCCTCCCAACTATTTTATTTATTTTATGGTATTTACTTTTTGCATATTAATAAGACATGCGATTAAATTTTTTTAGATTCGTTACAAAGAGCTGACCATATTGTCTTTCCTAAAAGAGGTTGCCATGGAAACCAATGACATGGAAGCCACGATAAAAAATTTGCTGTAAGATTTTTGTGTTCGTGTGTTGATCTTTTATACCTGTCAAAGTCTTGTTTGTGTGTTGATCTTTTGTCAAAGTCTTGTTTGTGTATTGATCTTTTATACCTGTCAGTCTTGTTCATGTGTTGATCTTTTGTCAGTCTTGTTGATGTGTTGATCTTTTATCAAAGTCTTGTTCATGTGTTGATCTTTTATCAAAGTCTTGTTCATGTGTTGATCTTTTATATCAGTCAAAGTCTTGTTCGTGTGTTGATCTTTTGTCAAAGTCTTGTTCATGTTTATAATTTTACCCAGTGAAAAGTTTGCATCAGACGTTGAGGCAACCCGAGGGTGCCAGAAAAAAGAAAGCTTGCCTAAAACCAAGCAGGTGGTGTCCGGCATTCTCTCTCGTCTGGAGCTTCTGCTGCATGTCAACAGTGTGCCAGTGGACGCCCAGTCAGCCCTGACCCGCACAATGTCACACACCCAGGGATTTAGTGGTAAGTTGTTCCATGGTTTCATGGACTAATGGTCTCATGGACTCATGGTCTCATGGACTCATGGTCTCATGGACTAATGGTCTCATGGACTAATGGTCTCATGGACTAATGGTCTCATGGACTAATGGTCTCATGGACTAATGGTCTCATGGACTAATGGTATCATGGACAAATGATCTCATGGACTAATGGTCTCATGGACTAATGGTCTCATGGTCTCATGGACTAATGGTCTCATGGTCTAATGGACTAATGGTCTCATGGACTAATGGTCTCATGGACTAATGGTCTCATGGACTAATGGTCTAATGGTCTCATGGACTAATGGTCTCATGGACTAATGGTCTCATGGACTAATGGTCTAATGGACTAATGGTCTCATGGATTAATGGTCTAATGGACTAATGGTCTCATGGACTAATGGTCTAATGGACAAAAGATATCAGGATAAAATATATTATGGACAAATGGTCTCATGGACTAATGGTCTAATGGACAAAGATATCAGGATAAAATATATTATGGACAAATGGTCTCATGGACTAATGGTCTAATGGACTAATGGTCTCATGGACTAATGGTCTCATGGACTAATGGTCTAATGGACTAATGGTCTCATGGACTAATGGTCTCATGGACTAATGGTCTAATGGTCTAATGAACTAATGGTCTCATGGACTAATGGTCTCATGGACTAATGGTCTCATGGACTAATGGTCTAATGGACTAATGGTCTCATGGACTAATGGTCTAATGGACTAATGGTCTCATGGACTAATGGTCTAATGGACTAATGGTCTCATGGACTAATGGACTAATGGTCTAATGGACTAATGGTCTCATGGACTAATGGTCTAATGGACTAATGGTCTCATGGACAAATGATCTCATGGTCTAATGGACAAAAGATATCAGGATAAAATATATTATGGACAAATGATCTCATGGACTAATGGTCTAATGGACAAAAGATATCAGGATAAAATATATTATGGACATATGATCTCATGGACTAATGGTCTAATGGACAAAAGATGTCAGGATAAAATATATTATGGACAAATGATCTCATGGTCTAATGGACAAAATATATCAGGAGAAACTATATTAAGGACAAATGATCTCATGGACTAATGGTCTAATGGACAAAAGATATCAGGATAAAATATATTATGGACAAATGATCTCAGGCAAAATATCCCAGAGAAAATATCTCACAGAGAAATATTTTTAAGGTTTCCCTATTGTCATTAAGGAGATGAAAAACACAATCGGGTTGACGAATTGTGACATTGATGGACTATCTATAAAAATTGTGACAGGAATGGACTTTGTTTGATGACTTTGTTTGATGACTTCGTTTGATGACTTGATGACTTTGTTTGATGACTTTGTTGGATGACTTTGTTTGATGACTTTGTTTGATGACTATGTTTGATGACTTTGTTTGATGACTTTGTTTGATGACTTTGTTTGATGACTTTGTTTGATGACTTTGTTTGATGACTATGTTTGATTACTTTGTTTGATGACTTTGTTTGATGACTTGATGACTTTGTTTGATGACTTTGTTTGATGACTTTGTTTGATGACTTTGTTTGATGACTTTGTTTGATGACTTTGTTTGATGACTTGATGACTTTGTTTGATGACTTTGTTTGATGACTTTGTTTGATGACTTGATGACTTTGTTTGATGACTTGATGACTTTGTTTGATGACTTTGTTTGATGACTTGATGACTTTGTTTGATGACTTTGTTTGATGACTTAGTTTGATGACTTTGTTTGATGCTTATCTTTGATGACTTTGTTTGATGCTTATCTTTGATGACTTTGTTTGATGCTTATCTTTGATGACTTTGTTTGATGCTAATCTTTGATGACTTTGTTTGATGACTTGATGACTTTGTTTGATGACTTTGTTTGATGCTAATCTTTGATAAATTTGTTTTTGATGACTGTCACTAGAAGACCTGATGGTCAAATCTGACACAGATGTGTGTCGCCCACTGCAAGGCTTTAGTCGCAGCATGTCAGCCCCCATTTGTATTGACCCTGATGACACGGGTCTATTCAAACACATCAGGTAGTTATGACACATGTCTATTCAAACATCAGGTAGTTATGGCACGGGTCTATTCAAACATCAGGTAGTTATGGCACATGTCTATTCAAACATCAGGTAGTTATGGCACGGGTCTATTCAAACATCAGGTAGTTATGGCACATGTCTATTCAAACATCAGGTAGTTATGGCACGGGTCTATTCAAACATCAGGTAGTTATGGCACGGGTCTATTCAAACATCAGGTAGTGATGGCACATGTCTATTCAAACACATCAGGTAGTGATGGCATGGGTCTATTGAAACATCAGGTAGTTATGGCACGGGTCTATTCAAACATCAGGTAGTTATGGAACGGGTCTATTCAAACATCAGGTAGTTATGGCACATGTCTATTCAAACACATCAGGTAGTGATGGCATGGGTCTATTGAAACATCAGGTAGTTATGACACATGTCTATTCAAACATCAGGTAGTTATGGCACGGGTCTATTCAAACATCAGGTAGTTATGGCACGGGTCTATTCAAACATCAGGTAGTTATGGCACGGGTCTATTCAAACATCAGGTAGTTATGGCACATGTCTATTCAAACACATCAGGTAGTTATGGCATGGGTCTATTGAAACATCAGGTAGTTATGGCACGGGTCTATTCAAACATCAGGTAGTTATGGCACGGGTCTATTCAAACATCAGGTAGTTATGGCATGGGTCTATTCAAACATCAGGTAGTTATGGCATGGGTCTATTCAAACATCAGGTAGTTATGGCATGGGTCTATTCAAACATCAGGTAGTTATGGCATGGAACATCAGGTAGTTATAGCATGGGTCTATTGAAACATCAGGTAGCTATGGCACGGGTCTATTCAAACATCAGGTAGTTATGGCATGGGTCTATTCAAACATCAGGTAGTTATGGCATGGGTCTATTCAAACATCAGGTAGTTATGGCATGGGTCTATTCAAACATCAGGTAGTTATGGCATGGGTCTATTCAAACATCAGGTAGTTATGGCATGGGCCTATTCAAACATCAGGTAGTTATGGCATGGGTCTATTCAAACATCAGGTAGTTATGGCATGGAACATCAGGTAGTTATGGCATGGGTCTATTGAAACATCAGGTAGTTATGGCACGGGTCTATTCAAACATCAGGTAGTTATGGCATGGGTCTATTCAAACATCAGGTAGTTATGGCATGGAACATCAGGTAGTTATGGCATGGGTCTATTGAAACATCAGGTAGTTATGGCACATGTCTATTCAAACACATCAGGTAGTGATGGCATGGGTCTATTGAAACATCAGGTAGTTATGGCACGGGTCTATTCAAACATCAGGTAGTTATGGAACGGGTCTATTCAAACATCAGGTAGTTATGGCACATGTCTATTCAAACACATCAGGTAGTGATGGCATGGGTCTATTGAAACATCAGGTAGTTATGACACATGTCTATTCAAACATCAGGTAGTTATGGCACGGGTCTATTCAAACATCAGGTAGTTATGGCACGGGTCTATTCAAACATCAGGTAGTTATGGCACGGGTCTATTCAAACATCAGGTAGTTATGGCACATGTCTATTCAAACACATCAGGTAGTTATGGCATGGGTCTATTGAAACATCAGGTAGTTATGGCACGGGTCTATTCAAACATCAGGTAGTTATGGCACGGGTCTATTCAAACATCAGGTAGTTATGGCATGGGTCTATTCAAACATCAGGTAGTTATGGCATGGGTCTATTCAAACATCAGGTAGTTATGGCACGGGTCTATTCAAACATCAGGTAGTTATGGCATGGGTCTATTCAAACATCAGGTAGTTATGGCACGGGTCTATTCAAACATCAGGTAGTTATGGCATGGGTCTATTCAAACATCAGGTAGTTATGGCACATGTCTATTCAAACATCAGGTAGTTATGGCATGGGTCTATTCAAACATCAGGTAGTTATGGCATGGGTCTATTCAAACATCAGGTAGTTATGGCATGGGTCTATTCAAACATCAGGTAGTTATGGCATGGGTCTATTCAAACATCAGGTAGTTATGGCATGGAACATCAGGTAGTTATGGCATGGGTCTATTGAAACATCAGGTAGCTATGGCACGGGTCTATTCAAACATCAGGTAGTTATGGCATGGGTCTATTCAAACATCAGGTAGTTATGGCATGGGTCTATTCAAACATCAGGTAGTTATGGCATGGGTCTATTCAAACATCAGGTAGTTATGGCATGGGTCTATTCAAACATCAGGTAGTTATGGCATGGGCCTATTCAAACATCAGGTAGTTATGGCATGGGTCTATTCAAACATCAGGTAGTTATGGCATGGAACATCAGGTAGTTATGGCATGGGTCTATTGAAACATCAGGTAGTTATGGCATGGGTCTATTCAAACATCAGGTAGTTATGGCATGGGTCTATTCAAACATCAGGTAGTTATGGCATGGAACATCAGGTAGTTATGGCATGGGTCTATTGAAACATCAGGTAGTTATGGCATGGGTCTATTCAAACATCAGGTAGTTATGGCAGGGGTCTATTGAAACATCAGGTAGTTATGGCACATGTCTATTCAAACATCAGGTAGTTATGGCACGGGTCTATTCAAACATCAGGTAGTTATGGCATGGGTCTATTCAAACATCAGGTAGTTATGGCACATGTCTATTCAAACATCAGGTAGTTATGGCACGGGTCTATTCAAACATCAGGTAGTTATGGCATGGGTCTATTCAAACATCAGGTAGTTATGGCACATGTCTATTCAAACATCAGGTAGTTATGGTACGGGTCTATTCAAACATCAGGTAGTTATGGCATGGGTCTATTCAAACATCAGGTAGTTATGGCACATGGGTCTATTCAAACATCAGGTAGTTATGGCACACTGGTCTATTCAAGCATCAGGTAGTTATGGCACATGTCTATTCAAACATCAGGTAGTTATGGCATGGGTCTATTCAAACATCAGGTAGTTATGGCACATGTCTATTCAAAGATCAGGTAGTTATGACACATGTCTATTCAAACATCAGGTAGTTATGGCACATGTCTATTCAAAGATCAGGTAGTTATGGCACACGGGTCTATTCAAACATCAGGTAGTTATGGCACATGTCTATTCAAAGATCAGGTAGTTATGGCACATGTCTATTCAAAGATCAGGTAGTTATGGCTGAGTACTGTATATTATCTTTGTGTACCTGAGGGTTGTACATTTTGTCCTCCCAGGAGAAGACACGGGGACAAAGGCAGACATCCAAGCTCTATCCTGCAGGACTTTGTTGATGACGGAGAGGAAGACAAGCCTCCCCATGTCATTGTCATAGACCAGCTGTTTGCCTTCATTGGGACTGACCCAGAGAAAGCTGTAAGTGCCCTAATGTCAGAAAGCTGAGAGTGCCCTAATGTCAGAAAGCTGTAAGTGCCCTAATGTCAGAAAGCTGAGAGTGCCCTAATGTCAGAAAGCTGTAAGTGCCCTAATGTCAGAAAGCTGAGAGTGCCCTAATGTCAGAAAGCTGTAAGTGCCCTAATGTCAGAAAGCTGTAGTGCCCTAATGTCAGAAAGCTGTGAGTGCCCTAATGTCAGAAAGATGTCAGTGCCCTAATGTCAGAAAGCTGAGAGTGCCCTAATGTCAGAAAGCTTTAAGTGCCCTAATGTCAGAAAGCTGAGAGTGCCCTAATGTCAGAAAGCTGTAAGTGCCCTAATGTCAGAAAGCTGTAAGTGCCCTAATGTCAGAAAGCTGAGAGTGCCCTAATGTCAGAAAGCTGTAAGTGCCCTAATGTCAGAAAGCTGAGAGTGCCCTAATGTCAGAAAGCTGAGAGTGCCCTAATGTCAGAAAGCTGAGAGTGCCCTAATGTCAGAAAGCTGAGAGTGCCCTAATGTCAGAAAGATGTCAGTGCCCTAATGTAAGAAAGATGTAGTGCCCTAATGTCAGAAAGCTGAGAGTGCCCTAATGTCAGAAAGATGTCAGTGCCCTAATGTCAGAAAGATGTCAGTGCCCTAATGTCAGAAAGCTGTAAGTGCCCTAATGTCAGAAAGCTGAGAGTGCCCTAATGTCAGAAAGATGTCAGTGCCCTAATGTAAGAAAGATGTAGTGCCCTAATGTCAGAAAGCTGAGAGTGCCCTAATGTCAGAAAGCTGTCAGTGCCCTAATGTCAGAAAGATGTCAGTGCCCTAATGTCAGAAAGATGTCAGTGCCCTAATGTCAGAAAGATGTCAGTGCCTTATTGTTTGCAGGTATCCTGCATCAAGTTTCTAAAAGCTGCTGAAGAAAGACGCAAACGCGGCACCATCCGCAAAGCTGCATTGTCCCACATCAAAGATCTCTTGGCTGCTGCGTCGCGTGTAGGTGGTGCTACACACCTTGTGGCTGCTGTTGCTTCAGTCCTAAGACATGGGCCCAAGTAAGTCTCACTTAAGTATCACATAAATGTCAACTTATCACATGTCATCTTGCTACATAAATGTCAACCTATCACATGTAATGTCAACTTGCTATATAAATATCAACTCACCACATAAATGTCACCTTATTACCTAAATGTTAACTTGCTACATAGATTCGAAACCATTTGTTTGTATGCGCAGGGTGGAGGACTTGCTGTGTGGGGGAATGCAGAATGAAGTCAGGGATGCTTTTGCTGAGGCCATGAGCTGTGTGGTCCAGTTGGCAGCCCACCACCCACTGGCCAGTGCCAGCAGTATAGGCTTGTTGTGTACCATACCCTACACCAGGTCAGTAGAGGCTTGTTGTGTCAGTAGAGGCTTGTTGTGTACCATACCCTACACCAGGTCAGTAGAGGCTTGTTGTGTCAGTAGAGGCTTGTTGTGTACCATACCCTACACCAGGTCAGTACAGGCTTGTTGTGTACCATACCCTACACCAGGTCAGTACAGGCTTGTTGTGTCAGTAGAGGCTTGTTGTGTCAGTATAGGCTTGTTGTGTACCATACCCTACACCAGGTCAGTACAGGCTTGTTGTGTCAGTATAGGCTTGTTGTGTCAGTATAGGCTTGTTGTGTACCATACCCTACACCAGGTCAGTACAGGCTTGTTGTGTCAGTAGAGGCTTGTTGTGTACCATACCCTACACCAGGTCAGTACAGGCTTGTTGTGTCAGTAGAGGCTTGTTGTGTCAGTAGAGGCTTGTTGTGTCAGTAGAGGCTTGTTGTGTCAGTAGAGGCTTGTTGTGTACCATACCCTACACCAGGTCAGTACAGGCTTGTTGTGTCAGTAGAGGCTTGTTGTGTACCATACCCTACACCAGGTCAGTACAGGCTTGTTGTGTCAGTAGAGGCTTGTTGTGTACCATACCCTACACCAGGTCAGTATAGGCTTGTTGTGTACCATACCCTACACCAGGTCAGTATAGGCTTGTTGTGTCAGTAGAGGCTTGTTGTGTACCATACCCTACACCAGGTCAGTACAGGCTTGTTGTGTCAGTAGAGGCTTGTTGTGTACCATACCCTACACCAGGTCAGGTCAGTACAGGCTTGTTGTGTCAGTAGAGGCTTGTTGTGTACCATACCCTACACCAGGTCAGTACAGGCTTGTTGTGTCAGTAGAGGCTTGTTGTGTACCATACCCTACACCAGGTCAGGTCAGTACAGGCTTGTTGTGTCAGTAGAGGCTTGTTGTGTACCATACCCTACACCAGGTCAGTACAGGCTTGTTGTGTCAGTACAGGCTTGTTGTGTACCATACCCTACACCAGGTCAGGTCAGTACAGGCTTGTTGTGTCAGTAGAGGCTTGTTGTGTACCATACCCTACACCAGGTCAGTACAGGCTTGTTGTGTCAGTAGAGGCTTGTTGTGTACCATACCCTACACCAGGTCAGTACAGGCTTGTTGTGTCAGTAGAGGCTTGTTGTGTACCATACCCTACACCAGGTCAGGTCAGTACAGGCTTGTTGTGTCAGTACAGGCTTGTTGTGTACCATACCCTACACCAGGTCAGTACAGGCTTGTTGTGTCAGTAGAGGCTTGTTGTGTCAGTAGAGGCTTGTTGTGTACCATACCCTACACCAGGTCAGGTCAGTACAGGCTTGTTGTGTCAGTACAGGCTTGTTGTGTACCATACCCTACACCAGGTCAGTACAGGCTTGTTGTGTCAGTAGAGGCTTGTTGTGTACCATACCCTACACCAGGTCAGTATAGGCTTGTTGTGTACCATACCCTACACCAGGTCAGTATAGGCTTGTTGTGTACCATACCCTACACCAGGTCAGTATAGGCTTGTTGTGTCAGTAGAGGCTTGTTGTGTACCATACCCTACACCAGGTCAGTATAGGCTTGTTGTGTACCATACCCTACACCAGGTCAGGTCAGTACAGGCTTGTTGTGTCAGTAGAGGCTTGTTGTGTACCATACCCTACACCAGGTCAGTACAGGCTTGTTGTGTCAGTATAGGCTTGTTGTGTCAGTATAGGCATGTTGTGTACCATACCCTACACCAGGTCAGTACAGGCTTGTTGTGTCAGTAGAGGCTTGTTGTGTCAGTAGAGGCTTGTTGTGTCAGTAGAGGCTTGTTGTGTCAGTAGAGGCTAGTTGTGTCAGTAGAGGCTTGTTGTGTACCATACCCTACACCAGGTCAGTACAGGCTTGTTGTGTACCATACCCTACACCAGGTCAGTATAGGCTTGTTGTGTCAGTATAGGCTTGTTGTGTACCATACCCTACACCAGGTCAGTACAGGCTTGTTGTGTACCATACCCTACACCAGGTCAGTACAGGCTTGTTGTGTCAGTAGAGGCTTGTTGTGTCAGTATAGGCTTGTTGTGTACCATACCCTACACCAGGTCAGTACAGGCTTGTTGTGTACCATACCCTACACCAGGTCAGTATAGGCTTGTTGTGTCAGTAGAGGCTTGTTGTGTACCATACCCTACACCAGGTCAGTACAGGCTTGTTGTGTACCATACCCTACACCAGGTCAGTATAGGCTTGTTGTGTCAGTAGAGGCTTGTTGTGTCAGTAGAGGCTTGTTGTGTACCATACCCTACACCAGGTCAGTACAGGCTTGTTGTGTCAGTAGAGGCTTGTTGTGTCAGTATAGGCTTGTTGTGTACCATACCCTACACCAGGTCAGTACAGGCTTGTTGTGTCAGTAGAGGCTTGTTGTGTCAGTATAGGCTTGTTGTGTACCATACCCTACACCAGGTCAGTACAGGCTTGTTGTGTCAGTAGAGGCTTGTTGTGTCAGTAGAGGCTTGTTGTGTCAGTATAGGCTTGTTGTGTACCATACCCTACACCAGGTCAGTACAGGCTTGTTGTGTCAGTAGAGGCTTGTTGTGTCAGTAGAGGCTTGTTGTGTACCATACCCTACACCAGGTCAGTACAGGCTTGTTGTGTACCATACCCTACACCAGGTCAGTACAGGCTTGTTGTGTCAGTATAGGCTTGTTGTGTCAGTAGAGGCTTGTTGTGTACCATACCCTACACCAGGTCAGGTCAGTACAGGCTTGTTGTGTCAGTAGAGGCTTGTTGTGTCAGTATAGGCTTGTTGTGTACCATACCCTACACCAGGTCAGTACAGGCTTGTTGTGTACCATACCCTACACCAGGTCAGTACAGGCTTGTTGTGTCAGTAGAGGCTTGTTGTGTCAGTATAGGCTTGTTGTGTACCATACCCTACACCAGGTCAGTACAGGCTTGTTGTGTCAGTAGAGGCTTGTTGTGTCAGTAGAGGCTTGTTGTGTCAGTACAGGCTTGTTGTGTACCATACCCTACACCAGGTCAGTATAGGCTTGTTGTGTCAGTAGAGGCTTGTTGTGTACCATACCCTACACCAGGTCAGTACAGGCTTGTTGTGTACCATACCCTACACCAGGTCAGTACAGGCTTGTTGTGTCAGTAGAGGCTTGTTGTGTACCATACCCTACACCAGGTCAGTACAGGCTTGTTGTGTCAGTAGAGGCTTGTTGTGTACCATACCCTACACCAGGTCAGTATAGGCTTGTTGTGTACCATACCCTACACCAGGTCAGTACAGGCTTGTTGTGTACCATACCCTACACCAGGTCAGTACAGGCTTGTTGTGTCAGTATAGGCTTGTTGTGTACCATACCCTACACCAGGTCAGTACAGGCTTGTTGTGTCAGTAGAGGCTTGTTGTGTACCATACCCTACACCAGGTCAGTACAGGCTTGTTGTGTACCATACCCTACACCAGGTCAGTATAGGCTTGTTGTGTACCATACCCTACACCAGGTCAGTATAGGCTTGTTGTGTCAGTATAGGCTTGTTGTGTACCATACCCTACACCAGGTCAGTACAGGCTTGTTGTGTACCATACCCTACACCAGGTCAGTACAGGCTTGTTGTGTCAGTAGAGGCTTGTTGTGTCAGTATAGGCTTGTTGTGTACCATACCCTACACCAGGTCAGTACAGGCTTGTTGTGTCAGTAGAGGCTTGTTGTGTACCATACCCTACACCAGGTCAGTACAGGCTTGTTGTGTACCATACCCTACACCAGGTCAGTACAGGCTTGTTGTGTACCATACCCTACACCAGGTCAGTACAGGCTTGTTGTGTCAGTAGAGGCTTGTTGTGTACCATACCCTACACCAGGTCAGGTCAGTACAGGCATCAGTTGTTGAAGTAAATTTGATGGCGTCTACTGTTGTGCTCAAGTTATGTTATCATGTGATCTGTGTGTACAAGGTATGCTATCTTTTGATCTGTGTGTACAAGTTATGTAATCTTTTGATCTGTGTGTACAAGTTATGTAATCTTTTGATCTGTGTGTACAAGTTATGTAATCTTTTGATCTGTGTGTACACGGTATGCTATCTAGTGATCTGTGTGTACAAGTTATGTAATCTTATGATCTGTGTGTACAAGTTATGTAATCTTATGATCTGTGTGTACAAGTTATGTAATCTTATGATCTGTGTGTACAAGTTATGTAATCTTGTGATATATGTGTACAAGTTATATAATCTTGTGATCTGTGTGTACAAGTTATGTAATCTTATGATCTGTGTGTACAAGTTATGTACTCTTGTGATATATGTGTACAAGTTATGTGATCTTATGATCTGTGTACAAGTTATGTGATCTTATGATCTGTGTGTACAAGTAATGTTTTAATCTTGTGATCTGTGTACAAATTATGTAATCTTGTGATCTGTGTGTACAAGTTATGTAATCTTGTGATATGTGTACAAGGTATGCTATCTTGTGATATGTGTGTACAAGTTATGTAATCTTATGATCTGTGTGTACAGGTTATATAATCTTGTGATCTGTTTGTACAAGGTATGCTATCTAGTGATCAGTGTGTACAAGTTATGTAATCTTGTGATATGTGTACAAGTAATATTTGAATCTTGTGATGTGTGTACAAGTAATATTTGAATCTTGTGATGTGTGTACAAGTAATATTTGAATCTTCTTGTGATCTGTGTGTACAAGTTATGTAATCTTGTGATATGTGTACAAGTAATATTTGAATCTTGTGATCTGTGTGTACAAGTTATGTAATCTTGTGATATGTGTACAAGTAATATTTGAATCTTGTGATCTGTGTGTACAAGTTATGTAATCTTGTGATATGTGTACAAGTAATATTTGAATCTTGTGATGTGTGTACAGGTAATATTTGAATCTTGTGATGTGTGTGTACAAGTTATATTTGAATCTTGTGATATGTGTACAAGTAATATTTGAATCTTGTGATGTGTGTACAGGGCTGAAGAGAAATGTCTGGTGCGATCTCACCTGGTGTACCTGCTGGACAAGCTCTGCAGCCTGGGGAGCCACAGGGCCGACGGACTGGGTGGGGAGACCCAGAGCCCACGCCAGAAGGTCTCTGCCCTGGCATGGGCTGGGTTTCAGGTGCTGGCCTCACGCTGTGTCAAGTGGGAAAATGAGGATGGTCAGTTGATGCTGCTTTTATGCTTTAATGCTTAGTTCACTTGACATGTATACTTTCTACTGGCTACTTGTAAGAGTTGACATGTATACTTTCTACTGGCTACTTGTAAGAGTTGACATGTATACTTTCTACTGACTACTTGTAAGAGTTGACATGTATACTTTCTACTGGCTACTTGTAAGAGTTGACATGTATACTTTCTACTGGCTACTTGTAAGAGTTGACATGTATACTTTCTACTGGCTACTTGTAAGAGTTGACATGTATACTTTCTACTGGCTACTTGTAAGAGTTGACATGTATACTTTCTACTGGCTACTTGTAAGAGTTGACATGTATACTTTCTACTGGCTACTTGTAAGAGTTGACATGTATACTTTCTACTGGCTACTTGTAAGAGTTGACATGTATACTTTCTACTGGCTACTTGTAAGAGTTGACATGTATACTTTCTACTGGCTACTTGTAAGAGTTGACATGTATACTTTCTACTGGCTACTTGTAAGAGTTGACATGTATACTTTCTACTGGCTACTTAGTTGACATGTATACTTTCTACTGGCTACTTGTAAGAGTTGACATGTATACTTTCTACTGGCTACTTGTAAGAGTTGACATGTATACTTTCTACTGGCTACTTGTAAGAGTTGACATGTATACTTTCTACTGGCTACTTAGTTGACATGTATACTTTCTACTGGCTACTTGTAAGAGTTGACATGTATACTTTCTACTGGCTACTTGTAAGAGTTGACATGTATACTTTCTACTGGCTACTTAGTTGACATGTATACTTTCTACTGGCTACTTGTAAGAGTTGACATGTATACTTTCTACTGGCTACTTAGTTGACATGTATACTTTCTACTGGCTACTTGTAAGAGTTGACATGTATACTTTCTACTGGCTACTTGTAAGAGTTGACATGTATACTTTCTACTGGCTACTTGTAAGAGTTGACATGTATACTTTCTACTGGCTACTTGTAAGAGTTGACATGTATACTTTCTACTGGCTACTTGTAAGAGTTGACATGTATACTTTCTACTGGCTACTTAGTTGACATGTATACTTTCTACTGGCTACTTGTAAGAGTTGACATGTATACTTTCTACTGGCTACTTGTAAGAGTTGACATGTATACTTTCTACTGGCTACTTAGTTGACATGTATACTTTCTACTGGCTACTTGTAAGAGTTGACATGTATACTTTCTACTGGCTACTTAGTTGACATGTATACTTTCTACTGGCTACTTGTAAGAGTTGACATGTATACTTTCTACTGGCTACTTGTAAGAGTTGACATGTATACTTTCTACTGGCTACTTGTAAGAGTTGACATGTATACTTTCTACTGGCTACTTGTAAGAGTTGACATGTATACTTTCTACTGGCTACTTGTAAGAGTTGACATGTATACTTTCTACTGGCTACTTGTAAGAGTTGACATGTATACTTTCTACTGGCTACTTAGTTGACATGTATACTTTCTACTGGCTACTTGTAAGAGTTGACATGTATACTTTCTACTGGCTACTTGTAAGAGTTGACATGTATACTTTCTACTGGCTACTTAGTTGACATGTATACTTTCTACTGGCTACTTGTAAGAGTTGACATGTATACTTTCTACTGGCTACTTAGTTGACATGTATACTTTCTACTGGCTACTTGTAAGAGTTGACATGTATACTTTCTACTGGCTACTTGTAAGAGTTGACATGTATACTTTCTACTGGCTACTTGTAAGAGTTGACATGTATACTTTCTACTGGCTACTTGTAAGAGTTGACATGTATACTTTCTACTGGCTACTTGTAAGAGTTGACATGTATACTTTCTACTGGCTACTTGTAAGAGTTGACATGTATACTTTCTACTGGCTACTTAGTTGACATGTATACTTTCTACTGGCTACTTGTAAGAGTTGACATGTATACTTTCTACTGGCTACTTGTAAGAGTTGACATGTATACTTTCTACTGGCTACTTGTAAGAGTTGACATGTATACTTTCTACTGGCTACTTGTAAGAGTTGACATGTATACTTTCTACTGGCTACTTGTAAGAGTTGACATGTATACTTTCTACTGGCTACTTGTAAGAGTTGACATGTATACTTTCTACTGGCTACTTAGTTGACATGTATACTTTCTACTGGCTACTTGTAAGAGTTGACATGTATACTTTCTACTGGCTACTTGTAAGAGTTGACATGTATACTTTCTACTGGCTACTTAGTTGACATGTATACTTTCTACTGGCTACTTGTAAGAGTTGACATGTATACTTTCTACTGGCTACTTAGTTGACATGTATACTTTCTACTGGCTACTTGTAAGAGTTGACATGTATACTTTCTACTGGCTACTTGTAAGAGTTGACATGTATACTTTCTACTGGCTACTTGTAAGAGTTGACATGTATACTTTCTACTGGCTACTTGTAAGAGTTGACATGTATACTTTCTACTGGCTACTTGTAAGAGTTGACATGTATACTTTCTACTGGCTACTTGTAAGAGTTGACATGTATACTTTCTACTGGCTACTTAGTTGACATGTATACTTTCTACTGGCTACTTGTAAGAGTTGACATGTATACTTTCTACTGGCTACTTGTAAGAGTTGACATGTATACTTTCTACTGGCTACTTGTAAGAGTTGACATGTATACTTTCTACTGGCTACTTGTAAGAGTTGACATGTATACTTTCTACTGGCTACTTGTAAGAGTTGACATGTATACTTTCTACTGGCTACTTGTAAGAGTTGACATGTATACTTTCTACTGGCTACTTAGTTGACATGTATACTTTCTACTGGCTACTTGTAAGAGTTGACATGTATACTTTCTACTGGCTACTTAGTTGACATGTATACTTTCTACTGGCTACTTGTAAGAGTTGACATGTATACTTTCTACTGGCTACTTGTAAGAGTTGACATGTATACTTTCTACTGGCTACTTGTAAGAGTTGACATGTATACTTTCTACTGGCTACTTGTAAGAGTTGACATGTATACTTTCTACTGGCTACTTGTAAGAGTTGACATGTATACTTTCTACTGGCTACTTGTAAGAGTTGACATGTATACTTTCTACTGGCTACTTGTAAGAGTTGACATGTATACTTTCTACTGGCTACTTGTAAGAGTTCTCTCTGGTCTCAGGTTCCCATGTTGAAGAGCTTGAGCACTCAGGACTGGCCAAACAAGTCTCCACCTTGCTGACCAATCACCTGGCTCGAGCTACAGAAGGCATCGGACATGCCATGGCTGGCACTGAGGCATTGCAGGAGGTGCTCAGTCTGCTCAACAACTTGTCCAGGTAACTTCTCAGTCCCTAAACCTCTGGGCCAGGGAAGATCAATTGATGACAAGTTTTTACTTGTGTCAGGAGCCTATTGTGCTGAAACCATTTATATTTCAGAAGTAAAATGGGAAAAGCCATCTTAAGCCAGCCAGCCTGTGTGTCAAAGTTGTTGTCACTTTTACTTGATCAAAGGTAGGCTTCATTTACTCTTCTTTTACCCCCTGAACCCTCCCCTAAAACCTGTTGTTTACCCCAAGACTGTCCCCTAAAACCTGTTGTTTACCCCTAGACTGTCCCCTAAAACCTGTTGTTTACCCCTAGACTGTCCCCTAAAACCTGTTGTTTACCCCTAGACTGTCCCCTAAAACCTGTTGTTTACCCCTAGACTGTCCCCTAAAACCTGTTGTTTACCCCTAGACTGTCCCCTAAAACCTGTTGTTTACCCCTAGACTGTCCCCTAAAACCTGTTGTTTACCCCTAGACCCTCCCCCAAGCTGGTGCTGATCATCCTGCAGCTGTGCCGTGTCTCCCTACCCCTGATGGACTGTGAGGACTGTAAGGAGGTTGAGCTGCCAGCCTGGGGACAGCAACTTTACTCCAGCCACTGGAGCACAGCCAAACCTGTCTCTGACCCTCCGGCCAAAATTATTTGTTTGCTCCTGGCCAAGTTGGGTGACTTCCTTGTGCCAGGTAGGTTGATGCTTCTACTTGTCCAGTTGTTGAATTATTTGTCCAATTGATGATTCATCTGTCCAGTTTTTTAACCATTTGTCCAGTTTTTGAACCCTTTGTCAAGTTGTTGAATCATTTGTCCAGTAGTTGAACAATTTGTCCAATAGCTGAACCATTTGTCCAGATGTTGAACCATTTGTCCAGTTGTCGAACCATTTGTCCAGTAGTTGAATTATTTGTCCAGTTGTTTAATCATTTGTCCAGTAGTTGAACCATGTGTCCAGTTGTTGAATTATTTGTCCAGATGTTGAACCATTTGTCCAGATGTTGAATGGTTCCACCACTGACCTGTGTCCAGTGGTTGAATGGTTCCACCACTGACCTGTGTCATGGTTCCACCACTGACCTGTGTCATGGTTCCACCACTGACTTGTGTCCAGTTGTTGAATGGTTCCACCACTGACCTGTGTCATGGTTCCACCACTGACCTGTGTCATGGTTCCACCTCTGACCTGTGTCATGGTTCCACCACTGACCTGTGTCATGGTTCCACCACTGACCTGTGTCATGGTTCCACCACTGACCTGTGTCATGGTTCCACCACTGACTTGTGTCCAGTTGTTGAATGGTTCCACCACTGACCTGTGTCATGGTTCCACCACTGACCTGTGTCATGGTTCCACCACTGACCTGTGTCATGGTTCCACCACTGATCTGTGGTTCCACCACTGACCTGTGTCATGGTTCCACCACTGACCTGTGTCATGGTTCCACCACTGACCTGTGTCATGGTTCCACCACTGACCTGTGGTTCCACCACTGACCTGTGGTTCCACCACTGACCTGTGTCTGGCTATTGCAGGAGACCAGGTGCTGCTGTCCAGCAGATCTCCCTCACAGGACGCCTCCACCCCTGGCAGAAGTGCCAAGCCTGGTGACATTGACAAACCTGATGACACTGACCTACAACGAGGCAAGCTGTCAGTCTTTGTACACAAAAGGGAAGATCAAATGTCACATGACATCATTCAACCTTTGCTCAGGTGGGTTCCTCTTGTGCAATGCTAATTCTAGAGAATTAATTGGGTCCCTCTAATACAAGTGGGTCCCTCTAATACAAGTGGGACCTTATAGAACCCATGGTTCCTCTAGTGCAATGTGAATTCTCAAGAACCCAATGGATTCCTCCAGTTTAGTATTGGACCTGTTTCAACTGTGACAATTTGAATGTATTGAACCTATTTCAGTTGTGACAATTTGAATGTATATTGAACCTATTTCAGTTGTGACAATTTGAATGTATATTGAACCTATTTCAGTTGTGACAATTTGAATGTATTGAACCTATTTCAGTTGTGACAATTTGAATGTATTGAACCTATTTCAGTTGTGACAATTTGAATGTATTGAACCTATTTCAGTTGTGACAATTTGAATGTATATTGAACCTATTTCAGTTGTGACAATTTGAATGTATTGAACCTATTTCAGTTGTGACAATTTTAATGTATTGAACCTATTTCAGTTGTGACAATTTTAATGTATTGAACCTGTTTCAACTGTGACAATTTGAATGTATTGAACCTATTTCAGTTGTGACAATTTTAATGTATTGAACCTATTTCAGTTGTGACAATTTTAATGTATTGAACCTTTTCAACTGTGACAATTAGAATGTATTGAACCTATTTCAGTTGTGACAATTAGAATGTATTGAACCTATTTCAGTTGTGACAATCGACCATTTCGCCTGGTAGGCAATACAAGCATGGATAAAGTCATGCGCCTGGACCGGGAAATTGCTAAAGTAAAGTCTAGTATCTGCTTCTTTTTTACACAACTTTGTAGAGCCTAGTAGATGATTTGACCCTGTTATATCACACTTTGTTTTATCATACTTCATTATATCACACTTTGTTATATCACACTTTGTTCTATCATACTTCATTATATCACACTTTGCTATATCACACTTTGTTCTATCATACTTCATTATATCACACTTTGCTATATCACTCTTTGTTCTATCATACTTCATTATATCACACTTTGCTATATCACACTTTGTTCTATCATACTTCATTATATCACACTTTGCTATATCACTCTTTGTTCTATCATACTTCATTATATCACACTTTGCTATATCACACTTTGTTCTATCATACTTCATTATATCACACTTTGCTATATCACACTTTGCTATATCACACTTTGCTATATCACACTTTTTTGCTATATCACACTTTGCTATATCACACTTTACAACACCCTAACTTCTTCCATGCTCCTTGACAAGCTCTGTAATATCTCTGATGTTGTATGTCTTGTACAGAATGGAAAGGCTGAACTGACCACTGAAGATGCTGTCAATGCCTTTAAGAAAGCTTACAAGTGGGCCCAAATGGGACTGGTCATCTCGACTGCCCCCCCAGCTGATGGCAACAGCTCTGAGAACAACAACGGCTCGGACAAGAAGAAGACACTCTCTGAGCTCATCTGCAAGGAGAAAAACTCTGAGTTGGCCAGGTGCTTGCTCTATCTATGCTCAGCATGTGTACATCAGGCTGTCATGTGTACATCACAGACTGTCATGTGTACATCACAGACTGTCATGTGTACATCAGCATGTCACGTGTACATCACAGACTGTCATGTGTACATCACAGAGTGTCATGTGTACATCACAGACAGTCATATGTACATCACAGACAGTCATGTGTACATCACAGACTGTCATGTGTACATCAGGCTGTCATGTGTACATCACAGACTGTCATGTGTACATCACAGACTGTCATGTGTACATCACAGACTGTCATGTGTACATCACAGACTGTCATATGTACATCAGGCTGTCATATGTACATAACAGGCTGTCATGTGTACATCAGGCTGTCATGTGTACATCAGGCTGTCATGTGTACATCAGGCTGTCATGTGTACATCACAGGCTGTCATGTGTACATCACAGACTGTCATGTGTACATCACAGACTGTCATGTGTACATCACAGGCTGTCATGTGTACATCACAGGCTGTCATGTGTACATCAGGCTGTAATGTGTACATCACAGAATGTCATGTGTACATCACAGACTGTCATATGTACATCAGGCTGTCATATGTACATAACAGGCTGTCATGTGTACATCACAGACTGTCATGTGTACATCACAGGCTGTCATGTGTACATCACAGACAGTCATGTGTACATCACAGACAGTTATGTGTACATCACAGCCTCTCATGTGTACATCACAAACTATCATGTGTACATCAGGCTGTCATGTGTACATCACAGACTGTCATGTGTACATCACAGACTGTCATGTGTACATCACAGACTGTCATGTGTACATCACAGGCTGTCATGTGTACATCAGGATGTCATGTGTACATCAGGCTGTCATGTGTACATCACAGACTGTCATGTGTACATCACAGACTGTCATGTGTACATCAGGCTGTCATGTGTACATCACAGACTGTCATGTGTACATCACAGACTGTCATGTGTACATCAGGCTGTCATGTGTACATCAGGCTGTCATGTGTACATCAAACTATCATGTGTACATCACAGACGGTCATGTGTACATCAGGCTGTCATGTGTACATCACAGACTGTCATGTGTACATCACAGGCTGTCATTTGTACATCACAGACTGTCATGTGTACATCACAGACTGTCATGTGTACATCACAGACTGTCATGTGTACATCAGGCTGTCATGTCTATATCAGGCTGTCATGTGTACATCACAGATTGACATGCGTACATCAGGCTGTCATGTGTACATCACAGACTGTCATGTGTACATCACAGACTGTCATGTGTACATCAGGCTGTCATGTGTACATCACAGACTGTCATGTGTACATCACAGGCTGTCATGTGTACATCAGGCTGTCATGTCTATATCAGGCTGTCATGTGTACATCAGCCCTGTAATGTGTACATTGGCCCCTCTGATGTTCTCTAACTCCCCCTACAGATGTGACCCAGTCAGAGCATTCATCAGTGGTCATGTGGCCAATGCCATGGCAGCGGAGGTGATTGCCCTGCTCCAGAACTTGCTGTCTACGCAGACCAACTCCCCCGCCAACAATACGTGGTCCCAGGCTGTACAGAGGGTAGGCACTCAGGGCAGTACATATGGCTGTCTCAGGGCAGTACATATGGCTGTCTCAGGGCAGTACATACGCCTGTCTTTTCTCACACCCAGGGCAGTACATACGCCTGTCTTTTCTTACCGTGCTCTTCCAGTACAATGAACATTGATCTATGGTCTAGTGAACTGACTTGATGTTTGACATGGCTTTACAGGTGTTGATATTTGACCCTACAGGTGTTGATATTTGACCTTACAGGTGTTGATATTTGACCTTACAGGTGTTGATATTTGACCTTACAGGTGTTGATATTTGACCTTACAGGTGTTGATATTTGACCTTACAGGTGCTGATATTTGACCTTACAGGTGTTGATATTTGACCTTACAGGTGTTGATATTTGACCTTACAGGTGTTGATATTTGACCTTACAGGTGTTGATATTTGACCTTACAGGTGTTGATATTTGACCTTACAGGTGTTGATATTTGACCTTACAGGTGTTGGCTAATGCTCTCTCTGGTTTACCTGTGCTGCTGGGCTCCCTGGATGGGCTGTCTAGCCCCCGCTCCCCCCGCAGTCAGTCCAACAACCAACTCATGTCCCTAGCCAAGCAGGCCAACGCCGCTCTCTGTGCCATTGGTGGATTCCAGGAAACATTGAAGCCTGGCTGTCAGGTCAAGGTAAGACTTTCCTTCCTCTCCTGGCTGTCAGGTCAAGGTAAGACATTCCTTCCTCTCCTGGCTCTCTTTAATTTAGACATTACAATATTGTATTGACCTAATGAGACTTGTGTCTGATCTGAAAGATTGAATGAGACCTGTGTCTGAAAGATTGAATGAGACTTGTGTCTGAAATATTGAATGAAACTTGTGTCTGATCTGAAAGATTGAATGAGACCTGTGTCTGATCTGAAAGATTACAGGTGAAGGCGTTCGGGGAACCAGTGGAACAGTGGTCAGTGTGTCTGAGCAGAATGATGTGGTCACGATCCAACTGAACTCTCAACTAGAGGACAGCCCCACTTACAGTGATACAATCAAAGTGCCGCTTGCAAGAGTTCAACCAATCAGGAATGAGGTAATACAACCAATCAGGAATTTTGTGACATCAACTTCCACAATATTTCTTTGACACCATCACACGTCTCGTAGCCTTATTGGGGGGGGGGGGGGGGGGGGGGGGGTTTAGCAAATGTGAAAACTTGAGAAAATGTGGGTTTGGATATAAGTAATGGTGCTATTAATAAATGAAATATATATCCCAGATATTACTTCCAACTTTTCCTGTTTGTTGAGTTCTGATTTTGGTTCAATCTATTTTTCCAGTTGACTTTCTGTTTATAATTTTATTTATAGATTCTTACAAAAAGGATTTCACTATATAGAGGAAAATCACATCATGCTGGGGCGCCACCCTTGCGAAATTAAAAAAGATTTTTTTGTATTCTAATCAACTCCCCAAAGTTTCATGGCTATCAGATGAAAGGTGTAGTAATGCATAAAAGGGTGATACAACCTGGGTCAGCTAAACTAACCCGTGTTTCCTTTTGGGAACCTTGGGTGATACAACCTGGGTCAGCTAAACTAACCCGTGTTTCCTTTTGGGAACCTTGGGTGATACAACCTGGGTCAGCTAAACTAACCCGTGTTTCCTTTTGGGAACCTTGGGTGATACAACCTGGATCAGCTAAACTAACCCGTGTTTGTCCTGGGTCAGCTAAACTAACCCGTGTTTCCTTTGTCCTGGGTCAGCTAAACTAACCCGTGTTTGTCCTGGGTCAGCTGAACTAACCCGTGTTTATCCTGGGTCAGCTGAACTAACCCGTGTTTGTCCTGGGTCAGCTGAACTAACCCGTGTTTATCCTGGGTCAGCTGAACTAACCCGTGTTTATCCTGGGTCAGCTAAACTAACCCGTGTTTCCTTTGTCCTGGGTCAGCTGAACTAACCCGTGTTTATCCTGGGTCAGCTGAACTAACCCGTGTTTGTCCTGGGTCAGCTGAACTAACCCGTGTTTGTCCTGGGTCAGCTGAACTAACCCGTGTTTGTCCTGGGTCAGCTGAACTAACCCGTGTTTATCCTGGGTCAGCTAAACTAACCCGTGTTTCCTTTGTCCTGGGTCAGCTGAACTAACCCGTGTTTATCCTGGGTCAGCTGAACTAACCCGTGTTTATCCTGGGTCAGCTGAACTAACCCGTGTTTGTCCTGGGTCAGCTGAACTAACCCGTGTTTGTCCTGGGTCAGCTGAACTAACCCGTGTTTATCCTGGGTCAGCTGAACTAACCCGTGTTTATCCTGGGTCAGCTGAACTAACCCGTGTTTGTCCTGGGTCAGCTGAACTAACCCGTGTTTGTCCTGGGTCAGCTGAACTAACCCGTGTTTCCTTTGTCTCCAGATGTTCAACAGGCTCCAGAAGGAAATGACGGAGGCCATCTTGTCAGCAGTGCAGGCGGCCATCTTACCAGCGGATGAATCTACCTCACCACTGACGCAGCCGCTCCACTCGGCAGGGGATGGAAACTCAATGGCCAATCAGATTTGTCGTGTGGTGGCTGAGATTAGAACCCGCACCGCCATGGTGTTGGCCCAGGGCCTGCAGGAGATTGAGTTTGCCAAGAAGTTTATTGAGCACTGCGGCTTATCCATAGACATGCTCAAATCATTGGCTAAAGATTGTCACGCAGGTAAGTTTTTTTAGCACTGCGGTTTTTCTATAGACATGCTCAAATCATTGGCTAAAGATTGTCACGCAGGTAAGTTGACTAGCTAAAGATTGTCACGCAGGTAAGTTGACTGACTAAACAATGTGGTGACTGTATTGTTGCAGGCAGCAGACTCCCACTGGTGGAGGCCCACTGCCAGAGGCTGAGGATGTTGTACAGAGATTGTGCCAAGCCTCCACCTCCACCTTGCCGTGCTGACATCAGGCCGGTAGGTTCAAATCTTGTCTTACCTGTCTAATGTAGGTTCAAATCTTGACTTACCTGTCTAATGTAGGTTCAAATCTTGTCTTACCTGTCTAATGTAGGTTCAAATCTTGACTTACCTGTCTAATGTAGGTTCAAATCTTGTCTTACCTGTCTAATGTAGGTTCAAATCTTGTCTTACCTGTCTAATGTAGGTTCAAATCTTGACTTACCTGTCTAATGTAGGTTCAAATCTTGTCTTACCTGTCTAATGTAGGTTCAAATCTTGTCTTACCTGTCTAATGTAGGTTCAAATCTTAACTTACCTGTCTAATGTAGGTTCAAATCTTGTCTTACCTGTCTAATGTAGGTTCAAATCTTGTCTTACCTGTCTAATGTAGGTTCAAATCTTGACTTACCTGTCTAATGTAGGTTCAAATCTTGTCTTACCTGTCTAATGTAGGTTCAAATCTTGTCTTACCTGTCTAATGTAGGTTCAAATCTTGACTTACCTGTCTAATGTAGGTTCAAATCTTGACTTACCTGTCTACTTGGTATACATTGTTGACCATTTTTCTCTCCCCCAGTCCAAAGAGATGGTATGGGATGTGTCCCGCCCCTTCCCCCCCACGCGAGCTTGCCTCTTCTCTCAGGGTATGACAGCAGTGATGTTCCTGGGTGACCCTAGCGCTGGTGTTGGTCTGCCTCGGGGTACCATCATCTATGCCAATCAGCCCATACCAAAAGAGGTTTGTCAGCATTACTCAATCCAGGTTTTTCTAAGTCTCACCATCCTATTGAAAGTTGAACAGGTCACTAGAAAAGTTTGGTGGGCCTGACTAGACTTATCACATACTCAAGTTTTACCTGACTTTCATGTATTACAGTTTTTCTCATTGTTCCTATTATGTCACCAACTTGTGTTACCATCTTGTGCTACCATCATGTGCTACCATCTTGTGCTACCATCATGTGCTACCATCATGTTTTACCATCATGTGCTACAATCATGTTTTACCATCTTGTGCTACCATCATGTGCTACCATCATGTTTTACCATCATGTGCTACCATCATGTTTTACCATCTTGTGCTACCATCATGTGCTACCATCATGTTTTACCATCATGTGCTACCATCATGTTTTACCATCTTGTGCTACAATCATGTGCTACCATCATGTTTTACCATCATGTGCTACAATCATGTTTTACCATCTTGTGCTACCATCATGTGCTACCATCATGTTTTACCATCATGTGCTACCATCATGTTTTACCATCTTGTGCTACCATCATGTGCTACCATCATGTTTTACCATCATGTGCTACCATCATGTTTTACCATCTTGTGCTACAATCATGTGCTACCATCATGTTTTACCATCATGTGCTACAATCATGTTTTACCATCTTGTGCTACCATCATGTGCTACCATCATGTGCTACCATCATGTTTTACCAGCATGTTTTACCATCTTGTTTTACCATCTTGTGCTACCATCATGTGCTACCATCATGTGCTACCATCATGTGCTACCATCATGTTTTACCAGCATGTTTTACCATCTTGTGCTACCATCATGTGCTACCATCATGTGCTACCATCATGTTTTACCATCATGTGCTACCATCATGTTTTACCATCATGTGCTACCATCATGTGCTACCATCCCCACAGGCCCCATCCTTTTACTGGGAACTAGAGATCTCATCCTTAGGGGACCTGCAGGAAGACAGTGGTGCTATTGTATCTTTTGGCTTTGCACCTCCTGCTGAGAAAAAAGATGCTGCTTGGACAAATCCTGTGGGCACTTGTCTCTTTCTCAAGTAACTACATCTATCTCTTTCTCAAGTAACTATATCTATCTCTTTCTCAAGTAACTACATCTATCTCTTTCTCAAGTAACTACATCTATCTCTTTCTCAAGTAACTACATCTATCTCTTTCTCAAGTAACTACATCTATCTCTTTCTCAAGTAACTACATCTATCTCTTGTGTGCCCATCACGCAACACCTGTCTCTGCCCATCACACTTCACCTGACTCTGCCCTGTCTGCCCATCACACACCGCCTGTCTCTGCCCATCACACTTCACCTGTCTCTGCCCATCACACTTCACCTGTCTCTGCCCATCACACACCACCTGTCTGCCCATCACACACCGCCTGTCTGTGCCCTGTCTGCCCCTGACACTTTACCTGTCTCTGCCCTGTGTGCCCCTGACACTAAGCCCATGCCATCCACTTGTCCAGCACAGGGAAGGCTGTCCATTATAACGGAGCCAGTCTGCTACAGTGGAGAAGTGTTAGACTGGATGTGACACTTAGTGCTGGTGACGTGGCTGGCATTGGCTGGGAGAGGATGGGGGATGCTACAGACAGCACTCAGACACCTAAAGGTATTTCAAGCACTTGTTAGTAATACACTACAGCAATACACACACACATATGCATTAAATTTAACTTTTTTTATTTATTAAGTAAACATTGATTTATCCTTCTGAAAGTTATTTTTAAAATTTGATCAACTAGGTCAAGTCTACTTCACCTACAATGGACATAGACTGAGCTCCTCTCTAGACAACGTATCAGGGGCCATGTACCCTGTGGTACACATACAAAAAAAGGTGAGGTTGTGGCTAGCACAAAGTCTGGAGTTAAAAAGGTGAGGTTGTGGCTAGCAGAAAGTCTGGAGTTAAAAAGGTGAGGTTGTGGCTAGCAGAAAGTCTGGAGTTAAAAAGGTGAGGTTGTGGCTAGCACAAAGTCTGGAGTTAAAAAGGTGAGGTTGTGGCTAGCAGAAAGTCTGGAGTTAAAAAGGTGAGGTTGTGGCTAGCACAAAGTCTGGAGTTAAAAAGGTGAGGTTGTGGCTAGCACAAAGTCTGGAGTTTGGTCCATCCATTGTCAAGGCAACATGTCTGTTAACAAATTCAGGACAGGCTCTTGTTTTCTATAGAACTGCCGCATGAAAGCCAACTTTGGAGCCAGACCCTTTGCCTATGCAGAAGGCCAACAGCACAGAGAGGCAGCAGAGGCCGCCAATGATGTCCTGAGAGACATCAGAGAGTCTTTTGGCCACCTGCCCTTCCACACGGCCTCAGACAGTGAGAGTGACAGCACTGAACCAGCGCAGGCCAGCGTCCTGGAGGCCACCAGAGACAGCAAAACCCCACCCAGGGCCCCCTGTAAGGTGGCAGAGCCCCCCGCCACACTCAAAGGTAAACATGGCTTCAAGTCTTTAGCCCTGACCCAGAGACAGCAAAACCCCACCCAGGGCCCCCTGTAAGGTGGCAGAGCCCCCCGCCACACTCAAAGGTAAACATGGCTTCAAGTCTTTAGCCCTGACCCAGAGACAGCAAAACCCCACCCAGGGCCCCCTGTAAGGTGGCAGAGCCCCCCGCCACACTCAAAGGTAAACATGGCTTCAAGTCTTTAGCCCTGACCCAGAGACAGCAAAACCCCACCCAGGGCCCCCTGTAAGGTGGCAGAGCCCCCCGCCACACTCAAAGGTAAACATGGCTTCAAGTCTTTAGCCCTGACCCAGAGACAGCAAAACCCCACCCAGGGCCCCCTGTAAGGTGGCAGAGCCCCCCGCCACACTCAAAGGTAAACATGGCTTCAAGTCTTTAGCCCTGACCCAGAGACAGCAAAACCCCACCCAGGGCCCCCTGTAAGGTGGCAGAGCCCCCCGCCACACTCAAAGGTAAACATGGCTTCAAGTCTTTAGCCCTGACCCAGAGACAGCAAAACCCTAGCAAAAATTGACAGTCATTAAAAGTTAATGATGAGGGGTATTTAAAAAGTGTCTGCTATAAAGCAAGCAACTAGTCTCTATAAAGCAAGCAACTTGTCTCTATAAAGCAAGCAACTTGTCTCTATAAAGCAAGCAACTTGTCTGCTATAAAGCAAACAACTTGTTTGCTATAAAGCAAGCAACTTGTCTGCTATAAAGCAAGCAACTTGTCTGCTATAAAGCAAGCAACTTGTCTCCAGAATATCAAGTGGATGCCAGTCTGAGCTACAAGTTGCTGCCTAGCTACGACAACTTTGTGGTGACAGGACCTGACACCATGACTGTCAGGCCCAGTGAAGAAGATTCTGAGGATGAGGCCGTGGTTGATGAGTCAGTGACAGAGGACCACTACGCTCTGCTGGTCAAGGCCTGGGAACAAAAGGTCTTCCCTGTCATCAGGAGAAGGTTCAGGAATGAGGCGGAGAGGAAGGATGGTCTAGAGCAGATTCGTGGAGCACTGCAGTTAGGTGGGTGGAGATCTCTGGAGGTTTAAGGTTTAGATCTCTGGAGGTTTAAGGTTTAGATCTCTGGAGGTTTAAGGTTTAGATCTCTGGAGGTTTAAGGTTTAGATCACTGGAGGTTTAAGGTTTAGATCTCTGGAGGTTTAAGGTTTAGATCTCTGGAGGTTTAAGGTTTAGATCTCTGGAGGTTTAAGGTTTAGATCTCTGGAGGTTTAAATCTCTGGAGGTTTAAGGTTAAGATCTCTGGAGGTTTAAGGTTTAGATCTCTGGAGGTTTAAGGTTTAGATCTCTGGAGGTTTAAGGTTTAGATCTCTGGAGGTTTAAGGTTTATATCTCTGGAGGTTTAAGGTTTAGGTCTCTGGAGGTTTAAGGTTTAGATCTCTGGAGGTTTAAGGTTTAGATCTCTGGAGACTGGATGTGTGATTTCTGTTTCAGGTATGACAGACATTGCAAGGCAGACAGTGGAGTTTCTATATGAGGAAAATGGTGGGATCCCTCGTGACCTTCAACTTCCTACAATTGAGGACATTAAAGAAGACCTGGCCAAGTTCACCATTGACCGTGTCAAGAAGGGCACCACTGTCATCATCCGGACACCCACGGGCATCAGCAGCTATGCCACAACTCAGCTGCCCAAATTTGCTGTTAGAAGCATGCTCAAGACTTTTGGTCTCACTGGCACTGTCCTGGATGTTGATACAGTAGGTCCACACACACACATGTTGATACAGTAGGTCCACACACACACACACACACACACACACACATGTTGATACAGTAGGTCCACACACACATGTTGATACAGTAGGTCCACACACACATGTTGATACAGTAGGTCCACACACACACATGTTGATACAGTAGGTCCACACACACACATGTTGATACAGTAGGTCCACACACACACATGTTGATACAGTAGGTCCACACACACACGTTGATACAGTAGGTCCACACACATGTTGATATAGTAGGTCCACACACACACACATGTTGATACAGTAGGTACACACACACACACATGTAGATACAGTAGGTCCACACACACACATGTTGATACAGTAGGTCCACACACACACGTTGATACAGTAGGTCCACACACACACGTTGATACAGTAGGTCCACACACACATGTTGATACAGTAGGTCCACACACACACACACATGTTGATACAGTAGGTCCACACACACACGTTGATACAGTAGGTCCACACACACATGTTGATACAGTAGGTCCACACACACACGTTGATACAGTAGGTCCACACACACACATGTTGATACAGTAGGTCCACACACACATGTTGATACAGTAGGTCCACACACACATGTTGATACTATAGGTCCACACACACACATGTTGATACAGTAGGTCCACACACACACATGTTGATACAGTAGGTCCACACACACACATGTTGATACTGTAGGTCCACACACACACATGTTGATACAGTAGGTCCACACACACACACACACACACATGTTGATACAGTAAGTCCACACACACACACACACACACATGTTGATACAGTAGGTCCACACACACACACACACACACACGTTGATACAGTAGGTCCACACACACACACACATGTTGATACAGTAGGTCCACACACACACGTTGATACAGTAGGTCCACACACATTTGTTGATACAGTAGGTCCACACACACACACACGTTGATACAGTAGGTCCACACACACACACGTTGATACAGTAGGTCCACACACATTTGTTGATACAGTAGGTCCACACACACACACACATGTAGATACAGTAGGTCCACACACACGTTGATACTGTAGGTCCACACACACACACACATTTGTTGATACAGTAGGTCCACACACACATGTTGATACAGTAGGTCCACACACATGTTGATACAGTAGGTCCACACACACACATGTTGATACAGTAGGTCCACACACACACACACACATGTTGATACAGTAGGTCCACACACACACATGTTGATACAGTAGGTCCACACACACACGTTGATACAGTAGGTCCACACACACACACATGTTGATACAGTAGGTCCACACACACACATGTTGATACAGTAGGTCCACACACACACACATGTTGATACAGTAGGTCCACACACACACACATGTTGATACAGTAGGTCCACACACACACATGTTGATACAGTAGGTCCACACACATTTGTTGATACAGTAGGTCCACACACACACATGTTGATACAGTAGGTCCACACACATTTGTTGATACAGTAGGTCCACACACACACACACATGTTGATACAGTAGGTCCACACACACACATGTTGATACAGTAGGTCCACACACACACACATGTTGATACAGTAGGTCCACACACACACACACACACACATGTTGATACAGTAGGTCCACACACACACACACACACACATGTTGATACAGTAGGTCCACACACACACACACACACACATGTTGATACAGTAGGTCCACACACACACACACATGTTGATACAGTAGGTCCACACACACACATGTTGATACAGTAGGTCCACACACTCACACACACACATGTTGATACAGTAGGTCCACACACACACACACACATGTTGATACAGTAGGTCCACACACACACGTTGATACAGTAGGTCCACACACACGTTGATACAGTAGGTCCACACACACACGTTGATACAGTAGGTCCACACACACGTTGATACAGTAGGTCCACACACACACACACATGTAGATACAGTAGGTCCACACACACACATGTTGATACAGTAGGTCCACACACACACGTTGATACAGTAGGTCCACACACACGTTGATACAGTAGGTCCACACACGTTGATACAGTAGGTCCCCACACACGTTGATACAGTAGGTCCACACACACACACACGTAGATACAGTAGGTCCACACACACATGTTGATACAGTAGGTCCACACACACACATGTTGATACAGTAGGTCCACACACACACACACACACACATGTTGATACAGTAGGTCCACACACACATGTTGATACTGTAGGTCCACACACACACACACATGTTGATACAGTAGGTCCACACACACACACACAATGTTGATACAGTAGGTCCACACACACACACATGTTGATACAGTAGGTCCACACACACACACACACACACATGTTGATACAGTAGGTCCACACACACATGTTGATACAGTAGGTCCACACACACACACACACACACATGTTGATACAGTAGGTCCACACATACACATGTTGATACTGTAGGTCCACACACACACACATGTTGATACAGTAGGTCCACACACACACACGTTGGTACAGTAGGTCCACACACATTTGTTGATACAGTAGGTCCACACACACACATGTTGATATAGTAGGTCCACACACATGTTGATACTGTAAGTCCACACACACTCAGGCAAATGCACCCAAATCCACAACACTTAGAAAAAGTCAACACCTTTTGTGTATTTGAACAGGCCAATGAACTGGTGCAAGTTGAAACGTACTTACGGAGTGAAGGTGTACTTGTACGCTTCTGGTACCCTTTGGTCTTGCTGGAGAAACCTGCACAAGGCATGAGGAAGGCTTCCATCACAGGGGGACAAACCATGGACACATCAAACATCTTCATTCACAGGTCCTCTCTACCATCAGTTGATACAAACATCTTTATTCACAGGTCTACCATCAGTTGATACAAACATCTTCATTCCCAGGTCCTCTCTACCATCACTTGATACAAACATCTTCATTCACAGGTCCTCTCTACCATCACTTGATACAAACATCTTCATTCACAGGTCCTCTCTACCATCAGTTGATACAAACATCTTCATTCACAGGTCCTCTCTACCATCACTTGATACAAACATCTTCATTCACAGGTCTACCATCACTTGATACAAACATCTTCATTCACAGGTCCTCTCTACCATCAGTTGATACAAACATCTTCATTCACAGGTCCTCTCTACCATCACTTGATACAAACATCTTTATTCACAGGTCTACCATCACATGATACACACATCTTTACAGGTCCTCTCTACCATCAGTTGATACAAACATCTTTATTCACAGGTCCTCTCTACCATCACATGATACAAACATCTTCATTCACAGGTCCTCTCTACCATCACTTGATACAAACATCTTCATTCACAGGTCCTCTCTACCATCACTTGATACAAACATCTTCATTCACAGGTCCTCTCTACCATCACATGATACAAACATCTTCATTCACAGGTCCTCTCTACCATCACTTGATACAAACATCTTTATTCACAGGTCCTCTCTACCATCACTTGATACAAACATCTTTATTCACAGGTCCTCTCTACCATCAATTGATACAAACATCTTTATTCACAGGTCCTCTCTACCATCAGTTGATACAAACATCTTCACAGGTCCTCTCTACCATCAGTTGATACAAACATCTTCATTCACAGGTCCTCTCTACCATCACTTGATACAAACATCTTCATTCACAGGTCCTCTCTACCATCACTTGATACAAACATCTTCATTCACAGGTCCTCTCTACCATCACATGATACAAACATCTTCATTCACAGGTCCTCTCTACCATCACTTGATACAAACATCTTCATTCACAGGTCCTCTCTACCATCACATGATACAAACATCTTCACAGGTCCTCTCTACCATCAGTTGATACAAACATCTTCATTCACAGGTCCTCTCTACCATCAGTTGATACAAACATCTTCATTCACAGGTCCTCTCTACCATCACATGATACAAACATCTTTATTCACAGGTCCTCTCTACCATCACATGATACAAACATCTTCATTCACAGGTCCTCTCTACCATCACATGATACAAACATCTTCACAGGTCCTCTCTACCATCAGTTGATACAAACATCTTCATTCACAGGTCCTCTCTACCATCAGTTGATACAAACATCTTCATTCACAGGTCCTCTCTACCATCACATGATACAAACATCTTTATTCACAGGTCCTCTCTACCATCACATGATACAAACATCTTCATTCACAGGTCCTCTCTACCATCACTTGATACAAACATCTTCATTCACAGGTCCTCTCTACCATCACTTGATACAAACATCTTCATTCACAGGTCCTCTCTACCATCACATGATACAAACATCTTCATTCACAGGTCTACCATCACATGATACAAACATCTTTATTCACAGGTCCTCTCTACCATCACATGATACAAACATCTTCATTCACAGGTCCTCTCTACCATCACATGATACAAACATCTTCATTCACAGGTCTTCTCTACCATCACTTGATACAAACATCTTCATTCACAGGTCCTCTTTACCATCAATTGATACAAACATCTTTATTCACAGGTCCTCTCTACCATCAGTTGATACAAACATCTTCATTCACAGGTCCTCTCTACCATCACTTGATACAAACATCTTTATTCACAGGTCCTCTCTACCATCACTTGATACAAACATCTTTATTCACAGGTCCTCTCTACCATCACTTGATACAAACATCTTCATTCACAGGTCCTCTCTACCATCACTTGATACAAACATCTTCACAGGTCCTCTCTACCATCACTTGATACAAACATCTTCATTCACAGGTCCTCTCTACCATCACTTGATACAAACATCTTCATTCACAGGTCCTCTCTACCATCAGTTGATACAAACATCTTCATTCACAGGTCCTCTCTACCATCAGTTGATACAAACATCTTCACAGGTCCTCTCTACCATCACTTGATACAAACATCTTCATTCACAGGTCCTCTCTACCATCAGTTGATACAAACATCTTCACAGGTCCTCTCTACCATCAGTTGATACAAACATCTTCATTCACAGGTCCTCTCTACCATCACTTGATACAAACATCTTCACAGGTCCTCTCTACCATCAATTGATACAAACATCTTCATTCACAGGTCCTCTCTACCATCAGTTGATACAAACATCTTCATTCACAGGTCCTCTCTACCATCACTTGATACAAACATCTTCATTCACAGGTCCTCTCTACCATCACATGATACAAACATCTTCACAGGTCCTCTCTACCATCACTTGATACAAACATCTTCATTCACAGGTCCTCTCTACCATCACTTAATACAAACATCTTCATTCACAGGTCCTCTCTACCATCACTTGATACAAACATCTTCATTCACAGGTCCTCTCTACCATCACATGATACAAACATCTTCACAGGTCCTCTCTACCATCACATGATACAAACATCTTCACAGGTCCTCTCTACCATCAGTTGATACAAACATCTTTATTCACAGGTCCTCTCTACCATCACATGATACAAACATCTTCATTCACAGGTCCTCTCTACCATCACTTGATACAAACATCTTCATTCACAGGTCCTCTCTACCATCACTTGATACAAACATCTTCATTCACAGGTCCTCTCTACCATCACTTGATACAAACATCTTCATTCACAGGTCCTCTCTACCATCACTTGATACAAACATCTTCATTCACAGGTCTACCATCACTTGATACAAACATCTTCACAGGTCCTCTCTACCATCAGTTGATACAAACATCTTCATTCACAGGTCCTCTCTACCATCACTTGATACAAACATCTTCACAGGTCCTCTCTACCATCAGTTGATACAAACATCTTCATTCACAGGTCCTCTCTACCATCACTTGATACAAACATCTTCATTCACAGGTCCTCTCTACCATCACTTGATACAAACATCTTCATTCACAGGTCCTCTCTACCATCAGTTGATACAAACATCTTCATTCACAGGTCTACCATCACTTGATACAAACATCTTCATTCACAGGTCTACCATCACTTGATACAAACATCTTTATTCACAGGTCCTCTCTACCATCACATGATACAAACATCTTTATTCACAGGTCTACCATCAGTTGATACAAACATCTTCATTCACAGGTCCTCTCTACCATCACTTGATACAAACATCTTCATTCACAGGTCCTCTCTACCATCACATGATACAAACATCTTTATTCACAGGTCCTCTCTACCATCACTTGATACAAACATCTTTATTCACAGGTCCTCTCTACCATCACTTGATACAAACATCTTCATTCACAGGTCCTCTCTACCATCAGTTGATACAAACATCTTCATTCACAGGTCCTCTCTACCATCACTTGATACAAACATCTTCATTCACAGGTCCTCTCTACCATCACTTGATACAAACATCTTTATTCACAGGTCCTCTCTACCATCACTTGATACAAACATCTTCATTCACAGGTCCTCTCTACCATCAGTTGATACAAACATCTTCATTCACAGGTCCTCTCTACCATCAGTTGATACAAACATCTTTATTCACAGGTCCTCTCTACCATCACTTGATACAAACATCTTTACAGGTCCTCTCTACCATCACTTGATACAAACATCTTCATTCACAGGTCCTCTCTACCATCACTTGATACAAACATCTTCATTCACAGGTCCTCTCTACCATCACTTGATACAAACATCTTCATTCACAGGTCCTCTCTACCATCACATGATACAAACATCTTTATTCACAGGTCCTCTCTACCATCACTTGATACAAACATCTTTATTCACAGGTCCTCTCTACCATCACTTGATACAAACATCTTTATTCACAGGTCCTCTCTACCATCACTTGATACAAACATCTTCATTCACAGGTCTACCATCAGTTGATACAAACATCTTCATTCACAGGTCCTCTCTACCATCACATGATACAAACATCTTCATTCACAGGTCCTCTCTACCATCACATGATACAAACATCTTTATTCACAGGTCCTCTCTACCATCACTTGATACAAACATCTTCATTCACAGGTCTTCTCTACCATCACATGATACAAACATCTTCATTCACAGGTCCTCTCTACCATCACTTGATACAAACATCTTCATTCACAGGTCCTCTCTACCATCACTTGATACAAACATCTTCATTCACAGGTCCTCTTTACCATCAATTGATACAAACATCTTCATTCACAGGTCCTCTCTACCATCACTTGATACAAACATCTTTATTCACAGGTCCTCTCTACCATCACTTGATACAAACATCTTTACAGGTCCTCTCTACCATCACTTGATACAAACATCTTCATTCACAGGTCCTCTCTACCATCACTTGATACAAACATCTTCACAGGTCCTCTCTACCATCACTTGATACAAACATCTTCATTCACAGGTCCTCTCTACCATCAGTTGATACAAACATCTTTATTCACAGGTCCTCTCTACCATCACTTGATACAAACATCTTCATTCACAGGTCTACCATCAGTTGATACAAACATCTTCATTCACAGGTCCTCTCTACCATCACATGATACAAACATCTTCATTCACAGGTCCTCTCTACCATCACATGATACAAACATCTTTATTCACAGGTCCTCTCTACCATCACTTGATACAAACATCTTCATTCACAGGTCTTCTCTACCATCACATGATACAAACATCTTCATTCACAGGTCCTCTCTACCATCACTTGATACAAACATCTTCATTCACAGGTCCTCTCTACCATCACTTGATACAAACATCTTCATTCACAGGTCCTCTCTACCATCACTTGATACAAACATCTTTACAGGTCCTCTCTACCATCAGTTGATACAAACATCTTCATTCACAGGTCCTCTCTACCATCACTTGATACAAACATCTTTACAGGTCCTCTCTACCATCACTTGATACAAACATCTTTACAGGTCCTCTCTACCATCACATGATACAAACATCTTCATTCACAGGTCCTCTCTACCATCACTTGATACAAACATCTTCATTCACAGGTCCTCTCTACCATCACATGATACAAACATCTTCATTCACAGGTCCTCTCTACCATCACATGATACAAACATCTTCATTCACAGGTCCTCTCTACCATCACATGATACAAACATCTTTATTCACAGGTCCTCTCTACCATCACTTGATACAAACATCTTCATTCACAGGTCCTCTCTACCATCACATGATACAAACATCTTTATTCACAGGTCCTCTCTACCATCACTTGATACAAACATCTTTATTCACAGGTCCTCTCTACCATCACTTGATACAAACATCTTCATTCACAGGTCCTCTCTACCATCAGTTGATACAAACATCTTCATTCACAGGTCCTCTCTACCATCACTTGATACAAACATCTTCATTCACAGGTCTACCATCACTTGATACAAACATCTTCATTCACAGGTCCTCTCTACCATCAGTTGATACAAACATCTTCATTCACAGGTCTACCATCAGTTGATACAAACATCTTCATTCACAGGTCCTCTCTACCATCACTTGATACAAACATCTTCATTCACAGGTCTACCATCACTTGATACAAACATCTTCATTCACAGGTCCTCTCTACCATCACTTGATACAAACATCTTCATTCACAGGTCTACCATCACATGATACAAACATGTTTATTCAGCAGCTGGGTAGTTCAGCCAGACTAATGACCCCCCCCCCCACCCACCCACGGGTCAATCCACAGCAGCTGGGTATAATGACCGCACCCATGGGTCAATTAACCTTCATCCTTTACCCAATATTTAAACATGTCACTATCTACATCCAGTTCAACTCTCTCTATCCCTAACAGTATCCCAAACTCTTTGAAATATCAGGTGAATTATGAATCATTGGGTGCCATAATGTTCTCCTTAATGTCCAGCACCCTAAACTGTTTGATCTTATCTTGGCTGTCAGCTCTAGAACCAGACAATTGTTTTATTTGTAGGGAGCTTCTGTTGAGTGAATCCTCCTTGTCCCGCATGTACTTGCGCACCGCCTTCCTGCGGCTGACAGATCACTGTAACTCTCCTGCCATGGAGGTAACTTCCTGCTCGGCTAGCTTGGGCTCTGGCATGGCTGCTTGTGCTGCAACTTTACAGGTCAGTGCTCAATGTCCTACCTGACATCCTAGCCCTAAATGTCCTACCTGACATCCAAGCCCTTAATGTCCTACCTGACATCCTAGCCCTAAATGTCCTACCTGACATCCTAGCCCTAAATGTCCTACCTGACATCCTAGCCCTAAATGTCCTACCTGACATCCAAGCCCTAAATGTCCTACCTGACATCCTAGCCCTAAATGTCCTACCTGACATCCTAGCCCTAAATGTCCTACCTGACATCCTAGCCCTAAATGTCCTACCTGACATCCTAGCCCTAAATGTCCTACCTGACATCCTAGCCCTAAATGTCCTACCTGACATCCTAGCCCTAAATGTCCTACCTGACATCCTAGCCCTAAATGTCCTACCTGACATTCTAGCCCTAAATGTCCTACCTGACATCCTAGCCCTAAATGTCCTACCTGACATCCTAGCCCTAAATGTCCTACCTGACATCCTAGCCCTAAATGTCCTACCTGACATCCTAGCCCTAAATGTCCTACCTGACATCCTAGCCCTAAATGTCCTACCTGACATCCTAGCCCTAAATGTCCTACCTGACATCCTAGCCCTAAATGTCCTACCTGACATCCTAGCCCTAAATGTCCTACCTGACATCCTAGCCCTAAATGTCCTACCTGACATTCTAGCCCTAAATGTCCTACCTGACATCCTAGCCCTAAATGTCCTACCTGACATTCTAGCCCTAAATGTCCTACATGTTCTGTGCTTGCAGGAGTTGGACCTAGAGAACATTCAGCTCCTCTCTGAGCACCTGCTGTCGGCCCCCTCCACCACCGGCACCCTGGAGGCGACCTCGCCCTTCCAGATCTGTCAGCTGTCCCAGCTGTCACTGGAGCCCCAAGTCTCCCTCACCAGCCTCGTCTACCGCAACTCCCTGCGCCTCAAGAGGGAGCTGGCTGTGGCCATAGCCCGGGCCTCTAACCAGGGGGAGGATTACCTCATAGAGCTGACCAATCAGCTGTGTACAAGTGTACAGGTAGGTTCAGCTGACCAATCAGCTGTGTACAAGTGTACAGGTAGGTTCAGCTGACCAATCAGCTGTGTACAAGTGTACAGGTAGGTTCAACTGACCAATCAGCTGTGTACAAGTGTACAGGTAGGTTCAGCTTACCAACCAACTGTGTACAAGTGTACAGGTAGGTTCAGCTGACTAACCAGGTGTGTACAAGTGTACAGGTAGGTTCAGCTGACCAACCAACTGTGTACAAGTGTACAGGTAGGTTCAGCTGACCAACTGTGTACAAGTGTACAGGTAGGTTCAGCTGACTAACCAGCTGTGTACAAGTGTACAGGTAGGTTCAGCTGACCAACTGTGTACAAGTGTACAGGTAGGTTCAGCTTACCAACCAACTGTGTACAAGTGTACAGGTAGGTTCAGCTGACCAACCAACTGTGTACAAGTGTACAGGTAGGTTCAGCTGACCAACTGTGTACAAGTGTACAGGTAGGTTCAGCTGACTAACCAGCTGTGTACAAGTGTACAGGTAGGTTCAGCTGACCAACTGTGTACAAGTGTACAGGTAGGTTCTGCCATAGAGCTAACCAACCAGGTACTCTGGTTGTGTACATGTGCTGTACTCTGGTTGTGTACATGTGCTGTACCCTGGTTGTGTACATGTGCTGTACTCTGGTTGTGTACATGTGCTGTGCTCTGGTTGTGTACATGTGCTGTGCTCTGGTTGTGTACATGTGCTGTGATCTGGTTGTGTACATGTGCTGTGTACTGGTTGTGTACATGTGCTGTGATCTGGTTGTGTACATGTGCTGTACCCTGGTTGTGTACATGTGCTGTGCTCTGGTTGTGTACATGAGCTTTACCCTGGTTGTGTACATGTGCTGTACTCTGGCTGTGTACATGAGCTTTACCCTGGTTGTGTACATGTGCTGTACCCTGGTTGTGTACATGTGCTGTACTCTGGTTGTGTACATGTGCTGTACTCTACAGACAGCACCTGAGATGTTTCCCTGTGTGAGTTACCCAGTGAATGAGACCAAGATCAGCACAGACGTCCACTTCCCTGGCGCCGCGTGTCTTCTAGTCTCCTGCATCAAGACCTCTGAGCCAGGCAACAAGGAGTGAGTTGCTTGCATATTTTTATACTTGATGCTTTGGTTGGCTGCCATGTTTCTAGAACTAGTTTCAATCTTTGCCCGTATGACCAGACCAACTGTTTCAGTGATATTTTTTTAGTTTCAAGCTTCCAACATATGACATGAACATATTTTACAGGAACCCACCCTACAGGGCGCCCTGGGCCAGGATCAGCACATACACAGGGAAACGTATCAAAAAATGTGGTCAGGTGACCAGACAGGAAGTGGTGTCCTACCCCAGAGACGTCCATAACCAAAGTAGCACACATGAGCAGTTTGCCCCCGCCATTATCCCCGGGGATCTGGTGTATGTGAAGATTGGTGTGTCCCCAGCCCCTGGTGCCATTGTCACGCTGCACGCCCTGCCGGCCCAGTTTCTCTTGGCTGTGGCCTACATGGAGACACTGGTCACAGAAACATTTGGCTGCGGCTCCCAGGCCTGTGGGGCCAAGACCAGCAGTGGCCAGAGGGAGCTGAGTGGCTCGACCGGCTCCTGCGGCTCCTCCAGCTCCCTGAACACTTCCCTGTGTGAGACCAACCCCAGCCTGTGGAGCCTGGACAACATCAACATCACCCCCTCAGTCTTCCTGCATGTGCTGGAGTTTGAGTGTGGCTTCCTGTGGAAGACTGAGCTCCCTGGGCTGGTCAAGGAGTACATGTTCCATCTGCTGGCCCAGACCCTCAGGATACTGCACTACAGCGAGGGCTCCCAGGGCAGTCGGCTGACCAAACTGAGCACTCGTCTGAGCCCAACACAGGGCATGCTCAACTACCTGCCCAGAGAGCTGAAGAAGCTCTACGACCTGGAGGCCAAGACCATGCCAGCCATGAGCAGCGTGGCCGGCCAGGGCATTGGACTGGGGGTGACTGACACTGGGCGCTGGTCCACCTACATGCACGCCCTGATGGAAGCTTGTCTGGCCATCTCTGAGGTCATCCCGTGTCAGCTCCACCAGGCCAAGGATGTCTCAGAAAACCTCCAGGAGGAGGGCGCAGCAGGAACTAGCACCCTGATGCTTGCGGCTGGCAGCAAGAAGAAAAAACTCAAGCCTAAAAAAGATGGGCTGCCTGCATCCACACGAAGGTCCAGCATAGAACAGAAGGGCGGGGCAGAGAACTGGGAGGTTGTAGAGCCCAGCTCCGTACATGTGTCCCAGTCACTGGAGACAACTGTAACCCCAGCTGTTGTCAGCTCACCGCCCACCAAAGCCTCCAGCAACTCCAGCATCTGTAGCCTGTCTGCCACATCCTCCATCAAGGTGGATGACATGACCTGGTTCCCTGCAGTGGCCACTACTGCCAGGATCTTGCGCTATCTGGTGCTGAAGGAAGCTCACTGTCAGGAAGACATGGACGAAGCCATCAAGGCCAGTGGCCAGACACTGGGCTCACCCACGGCCCACACCCGCCTGCTCATCATCACAGGCATCCCCACATACCTGGAGCTGGCCACGGTCAAGAAGGCCGTCTCTAAAGTCTGCAACAGCTACGGCGGCCTGGACAGGGATGGGCTGTTTGTCCCCACCCCCCAGGATGTCACCCATGTGCACGGCGTTGCCTCTCTGAGTGCTGCTGAGGCCAGTGATGTTCACACAGAGCTAGAGAGCAAATCTGAATCTTCCCTGGCCCAACCCAGCCCTGCACCCCAGGCTCCCCCGGCGCCAGAGTTGAAGAAGAAAAGTAAACTGATTGAAGGCTACGCTGTCATCTGCCTGCCCTCCAAGACTAAAGTTGAGCTGGTGAAAAAATCTTTCCTCAAGTCCAGGTGGCTCAACCTGGGGGAGGCAGGTGAGGTCCCGGATGAAAACCTCAGTGTCCAGACGGTCAGCCAGGCCCTGCTGACTGAGCCAGAGGCCAACACGGCCCTTGAGAGCTTCCTGCTGTACAAGCTGTCTGGCAAGATGGGGAGCCATGCCCTGGGCCCAGCAGCCATCCAGGCCCTGACTGAGATCTTCTACGGCAGCTACCTGCTGGACCAGCAACAGGAGACAATCTGCTTGTGTAAGGAACAAATCCTCAGCCCTGCCAGTCTGCTGGCGCCATTCTTCAATGCTGTCAAACCCTGCAAGAAACCTTTGCTGGAAGCTGTCACAGGCATCTTGCGCCAGTATGGTGTCATCAAGTCCAGAGACAAGGACACGTAAGTTTTAAGTCCATAGACATATACACGTAAGTTTTAAATCCATAGACATATACACGTAAGTTTTAAGTCCATAGACATATACACGTAAGTTTTAAGTCCATAGACATATACACGTAAGTTTTAAATCCATGGACATGGACATGTAAGTTTTAAGTCCATAGACATATACACGTAAGTTTTAAATCCATGGACATGGACATGTAAGTTTTAAGTCCATAGACATATACACGTAAGTTTTAAGTCCATAGACATATACACGTAAGTTTTAAATCCATAGGCATATACACGTAAGTTTTAAGTCCATAGACATGGACACGTAAGTTTTAAGTACAGACACAAGGACACGTAAGTTTTAAGTCCATAGACATATACACATAAGTTTTAAGTCCATAGGCATATACACGTAAGTTTTAAATCCATAGACATGGACATGTAAGTTTTAAGTCCATAGACATGGACACGTAAGTTTCAAACACTTGGCTTTGTTTTTGTCAAGGCAAACTCCTGGAGCTTGTTCCACTATTTAACCTTATTTATTCACTGGTTCAAAGGTTTTTTAGTTTAAGTTGTTGTTTTTTGGGTACACCATCAAGTTATGATGAATGGGTAACATCAGGTTTTCTAACTGATGAGAAATTGACCAATAATATTTTCACTGATCAGGTCTCCAGTGGCTACAGAAAAGAGCAGTAAAGGAAAGACAAGCAAGAAGCCAGTTGTCAAATCCCAGAAGGAAAAACAAGCCATTAGCCTGGAGGAGAAAGGGAATGAAGAAAAGTGAGAACATCAAGAAACCAGTTTTTACGTTCCTGCTTTTTGTTTGTATCAAAGTTGTTGATTGGTCTTTTGACAAAATCATTGGTTCCCATGTTCCTTAACCTTTTACATTCCTATATGCCCTTAACCTTTCACAGTCCTATATGCCCTTAACCTTTTACATTCCTATATGCCCTTAACCTTTTACAGTCCTATATGCCCCTAACCTTTCACAGTCCTATATGCCCTTAACCTTTCACAGTCTTATATGCCCTTACTTTGACAGTCCTATATGCCCTTAACCTTTTACAGTCCTATATGCCCTTACTTTTACAGTCCTATATGCCCTTAACCTTTCACAGTCCTATATGCCCTTAACCTTTCACAGTCCTATATGCCTGATGTCACTGTGTATAGTCATCTGTCACTAGTGCTTCATTTTCTATCATTTTTCTAAAGTTCAGATTTTAAAAAAAAAAGTTTGAGCAATATAAACAGTCAAATTAAATCTAGTTCAAATGCCTCTGCTGTTTAAGTGGGTTTACTTATAATGTAAAAAATCCAGTGATATTGGGAAAAAATAACTGCAGTAAATAGGTTTTTTTTTTTTTAACATTTAAAATAATTATTCTATTGAAACAAAACTAGAAGTTGCGAATTCACAAATTATGTATTACTGAGAAGTAGAAAATAAAACAACTAAATAGCGGCGTATGATACGCCGCGGGTCGGCTCGTGCTTTTTATTTTTTTAAACTAAAGTGGTTATTTAAAAAAAAAATTTAATGTGCCATGGTTTTGAAAAATTGTGTTATCTGTTTGTCTGGCCAAAGGGGAAGTAAAATATTTTGAATGGCCTGGACAGTAATGGGTTAACATTCAATGTTTTCTTCCTATCCCCGCTGTTGTAAATGATTCCAACAATAAGACCTCATGCAATGTTTAAGACATGTTTTGTCCAGGTCCCAGTCCACTGATAGAGAAAAATGCAGTCCAGCCATGGAGAAATGTGAGAAATCTCCCAAAGACAAGGAAGGCGCCACAGCTGATGTGGCACTCAAAGAATCCAAGGTGATCAATTGCACTTTTTTAGCAATAGCTGTAGGGCTGGCTGTAGCAATAGCTGTAGGGCTGGCTGTAGCAATAGCTGTAGGGTTGGCTGTAGCAATAGCTGTAGGGCTGGCTGTAGCAATAGCTGTAGGGCTGGCTGTAGCAATAGCTGTAGGGTTGGCTGTAGCAATAGTTGTAGGGCTGGCTGTAGCAATAGCTGTAGGGTTGGCTGTAGCAATAGCTGTAGGGTTGGCTGTAGCAGTAGCTGTAGGGCTGGCTGTAGCAATAGTTGTAGGGCTGGCTGTAGCAATAGCTGTAGGGCTGGCTGTAGCAATAGCTGTAGGGTTGGCTGTAGCAATAGCTGTAGGGTTGGCTGTAGCAATAGTTGTAGGGCTGGCTGTAGCAATAGCTGTAGGGTTGGCTGTAGCAATAGCTGTAGGGCTGGCTGTAGCAATAGCTGTAGGGCTGGCTGTAGCAATAGCTGTAGGGTTGGCTGTAGCAGTAGCTGTAGGGCTGGCTGTAGCAATAGCTGTAGGGTTGGCTGTAGCAATAGCTGTAGGGATGGCTGTAGCTATAGCTGTAGGGTTGGCTGTAGCAATAGCTGTAGGGTTGGCTGTAGCAATAGCTGTAGGGTTGGCTGTAGCAATAGCTGTAGGGCTGGCTGTAGCAATAGCTGTAGGGCTGGCTGTAGCAATAGCTGTAGGGCTGGCTGTAGCAATATAGGGTTGGCTATAGCTCTAGGGCTGGCTGTAGCAATAGCTGTAGGGCTGGCTGTAGCAATAGCTGTAGGGTTGGCTGTAGCAATAGCTGTAGGGCTGGCTGTAGCAATAGCTGTAGCAATAGCTGTAGGGTTGGCTGTAGCTATAGCTGTAGGGCTGGCTGTAGCTATAGCTGTAGGGCTGGCTGTAGCAATAGCTGTAGGGCTGGCTGTAGCAATATAGGGTTGGCTATAGCTCTAGGGCTGGCTGTAGCAATAGCTGTAGGGCTGGCTGTAGCAATAGCTGTAGGGTTGGCTGTAGCAATATAGGGTTGGCTATAGCTCTAGGGCTGGCTGTAGCAATAGCTGTAGGGCTGGCTGTAGCAATAGCTGTAGGGTTGGCTGTAGCAAAATAGGGTTGGCTATAGCTCTAGGGCTGGCTGTAGCAATAGCTGTAGGGTTGGCTGTAGCAATAGCTGTAGGGTTGGCTGTAGCAATAGCTTTAGGGCTGGCTATAGCAATAGCTGTAGGGCTGGCTGTAGCAATAGCTGTAGGGCTGGCTGTAGTTGACCCCTGTTGTTTCAGAGCTTGAGCAAGTGTGAGGGCCGTCTGCTGACACTGAGTGGCTTCCTGCAGTACTGTGAGGACTTGCTCAAGCAAGACCTCAGGACACTGTGGAAGGGACTTTTTGCATCTGGGCTCGACCTTCACCTTGAAAGGTGACTATTGATACATTTTTTTTAGATTTCACACCCAGTTCTATAACATAAATACATTTGGTGACATTTTCTAGACATGTTTCAAACAAGATTTTTGTTGCAGATGTTCTAGACATGTTTCAAAAAAGATTTTTGTTGCAGATGTTCTAGACATGTTTCAAACAAGAATTTTGTTGCAGATGTTCTAGATATGTTTCAAACAAGAATTTTGTTGCAGATGTTCTAGACATGTTTTAAACAAGATTTTTGTTGCAGATGTTCTAGACATGTTTCAAACAAGATTTTTGTTGCAGATGTTCTAGACATGTTTCAAACAAGATTTTTGTTGCAGATGTTCTAGACATGTTTCAAACAAGATTTTTGTTGCAGATGTTCTAGACATGTTTCAAACAAGATTTTTGTTGCAGATGTTCTAGACATGTTTCAAACAAGATTTTTGTTGCAGATGTTCTAGACATGTTTCAAACAAGATTTTTGTTGCAGATGTTCTAGACGTGTTTCAAACAAGATTTTTGTTGCAGATGTTCTAGACATGTTTCAAACAAGAATTTTGTTGCAGATGTTCTAGATATGTTTCAAACAAGATTTTTGTTGCAGATGTTCTAGACATGTTTCAAACAAGATTTTTGTTGCAGATGTTCTAGAAGTGTTTCAAACAAGATTTTTGTTGCAGATGTTCTAGACATGTTTCAAACAAGATTTTTGTTGCAGATGTTCTAGACATGTTTCAAACAAGATTTTTGTTGCAGATGTTCTAGACATGTTTCAAACAAGATTTTTGTTGCAGATGTTCTAGACATGTTTCAAACAAGATTTTTGTTGCAGATGTTCTAGACGTGTTTCAAACAAGATTTTTGTTGCAGATGTTCTAGACATGTTTCAAACAAGATTTTTGTTGCAGATGTTCTAGACATGTTTCAAACAAGATTTTTGTTGCAGATGTTCTAGACATGTTTCAAACAAGATTTTTGTTGCAGATGTTCTAGACATGTTTCAAACAAGAATTTTGTTGCAGATGTTCTAGACATGTTTCAAACAAGATTTTTGTTGCAGATGTTCTAGACATGTTTCAAACAAGATTTTTGTTGCAGATGTTCTAGACATGTTTCAAACAAGATTTTTGTTGCAGATGTTCTAGACATGTTTCAAACAAGATTTTTGTTGCAGATGTTCTAGACATGTTTCAAACAAGATTTTTGTTGCAGATGTTCTAGACATGTTTCAAACAAGATTTTTGTTGCAGATGTTCTAGACATGTTTCAAACAAGATTTTTGTTGCAGATGTTCTAGACATGTTTCAAACAAGATTTTTGTTGCAGATGTTCCTGTCTAGACCAGACTGCAGCGAGCCAGCTGATGAGTGAGTGGACGTTAGAAAAAGATGCAGCTCTGGTGATGTACGTCAATGAGGTCTGCTCCCAGCTGGCTATATCATCTGCACGACTTCACCCGCACGAAGTCAGATTGACTGAAGCTCATCTCACTAATGAAAAATACTCATGTCTGCAAGGTTTGTGTCTTCTTGTCTCACAACATCAATGTCTGTCTAGTCATGACATCAATGTCTGTCTAGTCATGACATCAATGTCTGTCTTGTCATGACATCAATGTCTGTCTTGTCATGACATCAATGTCTGTCTAGTCATGACATCAATGTCTGTCTTGTCATGACATCAATGTCTGTCTTGTCATGACATCAATGTCTGTCTAGTCATGACATCAATGTCTGTCTTGTCATGGCATCAATGTCTGTCTTGTCATGGCATCAATGTCTGTCTTGTCATGACATCAATGTCTGTCTAGTCATGACATCAATGTCTGTCTAGTCATGACATCAATGTCTGTCTTGTCATGGCATCAATGTCTGTCTTGTCATGACATCAATGTCTGTCTTGTCATCACATCAATGTCTGTCTTGTCATCACATCAATGTCTGTCTTGTCATCACATCAATGTCTGTCTAGTCATGGCATCAATGTCTGTCTTGTCATGACATCAATGTCTGTCTCAGCACCCATGACATCAATGTCTGTCTAGTCATCACATCAATGTCTGTCTAGTCATGGCATCAATGTCTGTCTTGTCATGACATCAATGTCTGTCTAGTCATGGCATCAATGTCTGTCCAGTCATCACATCAATGTCTGTCTAGTCATGGCATCAATCTGTCTTGTCATGACATCAATGTCTGTCTAGTCATGACATCAATGTCTGTTTAGTCATCACATCAATGTCTGTCTTGTCATGGCATCAATGTCTGTCTAGTCATGACATAAATGTCTGTCTTGTCATGACATCAATGTCTGTCTCAGCACCCATAACATCAATGTCTGTCTAGTCATGGCATCAATGTCTGTCCAGTCATCACATCAATGTCTGTCTAGTCATGGCATCAATGTCTGTCCAGTCATCACATCAATGTCTGTCTAGTCATGGCATCAATGTCTGTCCAGTCATGACATCAATGTCTGTCTAGTCATGACATCAATGTCTGTCTAGTCATGGCATCAATGTCTGTCTAGTCATGGCATCAATGTCTGTCTAGTCATGGCATCAATGTCTGTCTAGTCATGGCATCAATGTCTGTCTAGTCATGACATCAATGTCTGCACCCTGTTATCTGACAAGCAGTGCTCATCTGTTGTCACTCCCTGCTGACAGGTCTGCCTGTGGAGAGTGTGCGTTTGAGATTTGCTTTCCTCCAAGATTTGAACAACTCCCTGGAGACGTGTTTCCTCCCTCTGGTAGATCTGAGGGCAGCCAACATATACAGTCGCAGTACGGCTTACGTCTTGGCCCAGCTGAGATCCATCATCTTCTATGATACTAAAGTTGGTGAACTTTATCTTAGCACGTACAAATGGGACAAATAACAAATAGAACCCATTTATCTTGTTGAAATTATGTCTCAATAAATGACATGTTCCATATGTCTGTATATAAGAATGAGTTGACTCGAGAAAAAGGATTTGGTCAATTGTATTACGGCAAGTTATAAAAGACTTGTGTCACTTTTCAGGTCAGTTTTATCAACAGAATTCTCAACGCCTCAGCCAAGCGCAAGCCTGACCAGGCTGCACCTGAGATCACACTTAACCCAATAGAGGCCATTGGCACAGGTAAATATGGTTCCTTGTTTCCAATAGAGGGCACGGGTAAATATGGTTCCTTGTTTCCAATAGAGGGCACGGGTAAATATGGTTCCTTGTTTCCAATAGAGGGCACAGGTAAATATGGTTCCTTGTTTCCAATAGAGGGCATGGGTAAATATGGTTCCTTGTTTCCAATAGAGGGCACGGGTAAATATGGTTCCTTGTTTCCAATAGAGGGCACGGGTAAATATGGTTCCTTGTTTCCAATAGAGGGCATGGGTAAATATGGTTCCTTGTTTCCAATAGAGGGCACGGGTAAATATGGTTCCTTGTTTCCAATAGAGGGCATGGGTAAATATGGTTCCTTGTTTCCAATAGAGGGCACGGGTAAATATGGTTCCTTGTTTCCAATAGAGGGCACGGGTAAATATGGTTCCTTGTTTCCAATAGAGGGCATGGGTAAATATGGTTCCTTGTTTCCAATAGAGGGCACGGGTAAATATGGTTCCTTGTTTCCAATAGAGGGCATGGGTAAATATGGTTCCTTGTTTCCAATAGAGGGCACAGGTAAATATGGTTCCTTGTTTCCAATAGAGGGCACGGGTAAATATGGTTCCTTGTTTCCAATAGAGGGCATGGGTAAATATGGTTCCTTGTTTCCAATAGAGGGCACGGGTAAATATGGTTCCTTGTTTCCAATAGAGGGCATGGGTAAATATGGTTCCTTGTTTCCAATAGAGGGCACAGGTAAATATGGTTCCTTGTTTCCAATAGAGGGCATGGGTAAATATGGTTCCTTGTTTCCAATAGAGGACACGGGTAAATATGGTTCCTTGTTTCCAATAGAGGGCACGGGTAAATATGGTTCCTTGTTTCCAATAGAGGACATGGGTAAATATGGTTCCTTGTTTCCAATAGAGGGCACGGGTAAATATGGTTCCTTGTTTCCAATAGAGGGCATGGGTAAATATGGTTCCTTTTTTATAAATAGAGGGCACGGGTAAATATGGTTCCTTGTTTCCAATAGAGGGCACGGGTAAATATGGTTCCTTGTTTGAACTGGATCAGATCTGAGCATGTGTTTGTGTTGGCTTGAGCCACAGTAGATTGTATATGGTTGCTGGTGAGATGGTGTGTTTGTGACACAGTAGATTGTATATGGTTGCAGGTGAGATGGTGTGTTTGTGACACAGTAGATTGTATATGGTTGCAGGTGAGATGGTGTGTTTGTGACACAGTAGATTGTATATGGTTGCAGGTGAGATGGTGTGTTTGTGACACAGTAGATTGTATATGGTTGCAGGTGAGATGGTGTGTTTGTGACACAGTAGATTGTATATGGTTGCAGGTGAGAGCAATTGTCAATCATCCATCCTGTGCCAGTCGTACTGTCAGCTGAGTGCCATCAGCTCCAAGAAGTTGTGTGTCCGACTGGCCAGTGGGGGAGACCCAACCTACTCGTTTAATGTCAGGATGCTTGGGGAGGAGGTCCATGGAACAAGTCAGTTGATAGACACATTCAGACACCTGTCATTGACTAGACACATCCATAGACATGTCATTGACTAGACACATCCATAGACATGTGGTTAACTAGACACATCCATAGACATGTCATTGACTAGACACATCCATAGACATGTCATTGACTAGACACATCCATAGACATGTGGTTGACTAGACACATCCATAGACATGTGGTTGACTAGACACATCCATAGACATGTGGTTGACTAGACACATCCATAGACATGTGGTTGACTAGACACATCCATAGACATGTCGTTGACTAGACACATCCATAGACATGTGGTTGACTAGACACATCCATAGACATGTGGTTGACTAGACACATCCATAGACATGTGGTTGACTAGACACATCCATAGACATGTGGTTGACTAGACACATCCATAGACATGTGGTTGACTAGACACATCCATAGACATGTCATTGACTAGACACATCCATAGACATGTCATTGACTAGACACATCCATAGACATGTCATTGACTAGACACATCCATAGACATGTCATTGACTAGACACATCCATAGACAAGTCATTGACTAGATACATCCATAGACATGTCGTTGACTAGACACATCCATAGACATGTGGTTGACTAGACACATCCATAGACATGTGGTTGACTAGACACATCCATAGACATGTCATTGACTAGACACATCCATAGACATGTGGTTGACTAGACACATCCATAGACATGTGGTTGACTAGACACATCCATAGACATGTGGTTGACTAGACACATCCATAGACATGTGGTTGACTAGACACATCCATAGACATGTCGTTGACTAGACACATCCATAGACATGTGGTTGACTAGACACATCCATAGACATGTCATTGACTAGACACATCCATAGACATGTGGTTAACTAGACACATCCATAGACATGTCATTGACTAGACACATCCATAGACATGTGGTTGACTAGACACATCCATAGACATGTGGTTGACTAGACACATCCATAGACATGTGGTTAACTAGACACATCCATAGACATGTCATTGACTAGACACATCCATTGACATGTGGTTGACTAGACACATCCATAAACATGTGGTTGACTAGACACATCCATAGACATGTGGTTGACTAGACACATCCATAGACATGTGGTTGACTAGACACATCCATAGACATGTCATTGACTAGACACATCCATAGACATGTGGTTGACTAGACACATCCATAGACATGTGGTTGACTAGACACATCCATAGACATGTGGTTGACTAGACACATCCATAGACATGTCATTGACTAGACACATCCATAGACATGTGGTTGACTAGACACATCCATAGACATGTGGTTGACTAGACACATCCATAGACATGTCATTGACTAGACACATCCATAGACATGCCATTGACTAGACACATCCATAGACAAGTCATTGACTAGACACATCCATAAACATGTGGTTGACTAGACACATTCATAGACATGTGGTTGACTAGACACATCCATAGACATGTGGTTGACTAGACACATCCATAGACATGTGGTTGACTAGACACATCCATAGACATGCCATTGACTAGACACATCCATAGACAAGTCATTGACTAGACACATCCATAAACATGTGGTTGACTAGACACATCCATAGACATGTGGTTGACTAGACACATCCATAGACATGTCATTGAGTAGACACATCCATAGACATGTCATTGAGTAGACACATCCATAGACATGTCATTGACTAGACACATCCATAGACATGTCATTGAGTAGACACATCCATAGACATGTCATTGACTAGACACATCCATAGACAAGTCATTGACTAGACACATCCATAGACATTTAATAGACACACATTGACATGTTATTTCCTGACACTTACAGACGTAGGTCATTTATAACACAGAGACATATACATGTTGTTTACTTGGACATACTTGAGTAGATAGAGATACACATGATTTACTTGATACACATGTCATTTAGTAGACAGATGATGTCATTTAGTAGGCACACACAGACACATGTCATTTAGTAGGCACTTTGAGAGAGAGACAAGTACAAAAGTGAGAGACCTGTGTTTTCAGGTGGATCATTCCGCCACTTCTTGTGGCAAGTGGCGCGGGAGCTCCAGTCCCCCACCCTGTCCCTCTTACTGCCTTGTCCCAGTTCTGCTGCTGGCTTCAACAAAGGGAGGCTAATCCTAAAGCCTGGCAAGATGAGTTACTCTGAAGAAAACTTGTTAATTTTTGTGGGCCAGGTAAGATCCAGTCTTTAAAAGTGTGCTCTACTGCTCTACTCATGCTAAATGTTTACAAGAACCTCATTTTGTTCAATGATATATTTGACTATATTTAGCTGCTTGGAATTACCATAAGAGCTGACATTCCTCTTGGCCTTGACCTCCTGTACAGTGTCTGGAAACTTTTAGTTGGGTTGACCCTTGACCCCTCTGTTGACTTACAGCAAGCAGATGCCCTGACATACAAGTACATGAAAAAAATTGAAATGGTGAGTCTGCTGTTGTTGTGGTCAGATTCTCTTTGTCTGTTGTTGTGGTCAGATTCTCTTTGTCTGCTGTTGGTGTGGTCAGATTCTCTTTGTCTGATGTTGGTGTGGTCAGATTCTCTTTGTCTGATGTTGTTGTGGTTAGATTCTCTTTGTCTGATGTTGTTGTGGTCAGATTCTCTTTGTCTGTTGGTGTGGTCAGATTCTCTTTGTCTGCTGTTGGTGTGGTTAGATTCTCTTTGTCTGCTGTTGTTGTGGTCAGATTCTCTTTGTCTGCTGTTGGTGTGGTCAGATTCTCTTTGTCTGATGTTGGTGTGGTTAGATTCTCTTTGTCTGCTGTTGTTGTGGTCAGATTCTCTTTGTCTGATGTTGTTGTGGTCAGATTCTCTTTGTCTGTTGGTGTGGTCAGATTCTCTTTGTCTGCTGTTGTTGTGGTCAGATTCTCTTTGTCTGATGTTGTTGTGGTCAGATTCTCTTTGTCTGTTGGTGTGGTCAGATTCTCTTTGTCTGCTGTTGTTGTGGTCAGATTCTCTTTGTCTGATGTTGGTGTGGTCAGATTCTCTTTGTCTGCTGTTGTTGTGGTCAGATTCTCTTTGTCTGATGTTGTTGTGGTCAGATTCTCTTTGTCTGTTGGTGTGGTCAGATTCTCTTTGTCTGCTGTTGTTGTGGTCAGATTCTCTTTGTCTGCTGTTGTTGTGGTCAGATTCTCTTTGTCTGTTGTTGGTGTGGTCAGATTCTCTTTGTCTGCTGTTGGTGTGATCAGATTCTCTTTGTCTGCTGTTGGTGTGGTCAGATTCTCTTTGTCTGTTGGTGTGGTCAGATTCTCTTTGTCTGTTGTTGTGGTCAGATTCTCTTTGTCTGATGTTGTTGTGGTCAGATTCTCTTTGTCTGCTGTTGTTGTGGTCAGATTCTCTTTGTCTGCTGTTGGTGTGGTTAGATTCTCTTTGTCTGCTGTTGGTGTGGTCAGATTCTCTTTGTCTGCTGTTGTTGTGGTCAGATTCTCTTTGTCTGCTGTTGGTGTGGTTAGATGTATTGTTGCCCACAGTTTCAATATAAAATCCACCTCTCCCCTAACCAGGCTGAAACAGAGGCTGAACTTGAGAGTGTGTGTGGAGATGGGGAAGCAAGGTTTGTCTACACAACCCTCACTGGACATGATGTGGAACTCTTGCCTGCAGGGAGATCAGTTTATGTCAAGTAAGTTTTGTCCCAGACGTTGAATGTCCAGTTGGTTCAAGTTTTGTCCCAGATGTTGAATGTCCAGTTGGTCAAGTTTTGTCCCAGATGTTGAATGTCCAGTTGGTTCAAGTTTTGTCCCAGGTCTGTGTTGAATGTCCAGTTGGTTCGAGTTTTGTCCCAGATGTTGAATGTCCAGTTGGTTCAAGTTTTTTCCAAGGTCTGTTTTGAATGTCCAGTTGGTCAAGTTTTGTCCCAGATGTTGAATGTCCAGTTGGTTCAAGTTTTGTCCCAGATGTTGAATGTCCAGTTGGTTCAAGTTTTGTCCCAGATGTTGAATGTCCAGTTGGTTCAAGTTTGGTCCCAGATGTTGAATGTCCAGTTGGTCAAGTTTTGTCCCAGAGGTTGAATGTCCAGTTGGTCAAGTTTAGTCCCAGAGGTTGAATGTCCAGTTGGTCAAGTTTTGTCCCAGATGTTGAATGTCCAGTTGGTTCAAGTTTTGTCCCAGGTCTGTGTTGAATGTCCAGTTGGTCAAGTTTTGTCCCAGACGTTGAATGTCCAGTTGGTTCAAGTTTTGTCCCAGATGTTGAATGTCCAGTTGGTCAAGTTTTGTCCCAGATGTTGAATGTCCAGTTGGTCAAGTTTAGTCCCAGATGTTGAATGTCCAGTTGGTTCAAGTTTTGTCCCAGATGTTGAATGTCCAGTTGGTCAAGTTTTGTCCCAGGTCTGTGTTGAATGTCCAGTTGGTCAAGTTTTGTCCCAGATGTTGAATGTCCAGTTGGTCAAGTTTTGTCCCAGACGTTGAATGTCCAGTTGGTCAAGTTTTGTCCCAGGTCTGTGTTGAATGTCCAGTTGGTCAAGTTTTGTCCCAGGTCTGTGTTGAATGTCCAGTTGGTCAAGTTTTGTCCCAGGTCTGTGTTGAATGTCCAGTTGGTCAAGTTTTGTCCCAGATGTTGAATGTCCAGTTGGTCAAGTTTTGTACCAGATGTTGAATGTCCAGTTGGTCAAGTTTTGTCCCAGATGTTGAATGTCCAGTTGGTCAAGTTTTGTCCCAGATGTTGAATGTCCAGTTGGTCAAGTTTTGTCCCAGGTCTGTGTTGAATGTCCAGTTGGTCAAGTTTTGTCCCAGATGTTGAATGTCCAGTTGGTTCAAGTTTTGTCCCAGATGTTGAATGTCCAGTTGGTCAAGTTTTGTCCCAGGTCTGTGTTGAATGTCCAGTTGGTTCAAGTTTTGTCCCAGAGGTTGAATGTCCAGTTGGTCAAGTTTTGTACCAGATGTTGAATGTCCAGTTGGTCAAGTTTTGTCCCAGGTCTGTGTTGAATGTCCAGTTGGTCAAGTTTTGTCCCAGATGTTGAATGTCCAGTTGGTTCAAGTTTTGTCCCAGATGTTGAATGTCCAGTTGGTCAAGTTTTGTCCCAGGTCTGTGTTGAATGTCCAGTTGGTCAAGTTTTGTCCCAGATGTTGAATGTCCAGTTGGTCCAAGTTTTGTACCAGATGTTGAATGTCCAGTTGGTCAAGTTTTGTCCCAGATGTTGAATGTCCAGTTGGTCAAGTTTTGTCCCAGAGGTTGAATGTCCAGTTGGTCACGTTTTGTACCAGATGTTGAATGTCCAGTTGGTCAAGTTTTGTACCAGATGTTGAATGTCCAGTTGGTTCCAGTTTTGTCCCAGGTCTGTTTTGAATGTCCAATTGGTTCAAGTTTTGTCCCAGGTCTGTTTTGAATGTCCAATTGGTTCAAGTTTTGTCCCAGATGTTGAATGTCCAGTTGGTTCAAGTTTTGTCCCAGGTCTGTTTTGAATGTCCAGTTGGTCAAGTTTTGTACCAGATGTTGAATGTCCAGTTGGTTCAAGTTTTGTCCCAGATGTTGAATGTCCAGTTGGTTCAAGTTTTGTCCCAGATGTTGAATGTCCAGTTGGTTCATTGTCCCAGATGTTGAATGTCCAGTTGGTTCAAGTTTTGTCCCAGATGTTGAATGTCCAGTTGGTTCATTGTCCCAGATGTTGAATGTCCAGTTGGTTCAAGTTTTGTCCAAGGTCTGTGCTGAATGTCCAGTTGGTTCAAGTTTTGTCCAAGGTCTGTGTTGAATGTCCAGTTGGTCAAGTTTTGTCCCAGAGGTTGAATGTCCAGTTGGTTCAAGTTTTGTCCCAGGTCTGTGTTGAATGTCCAGTTGGTCAAGTTTTGTACCAGATGTTGAATGTCCAGTTGGTCAAGTTTTGTACCAGATGTTGAATGTCCAGTTGGTCAAGTTTTGTACCAGATGTTGAATGTCCAGTTGGTCAAGTTTTGTACCAGATGTTGAATGTCCAGTTGGTTCAAGTTTTGTCCCAGATGTTGAATGTCCAGTTGGTCAAGTTTTGTCCCAGATGTTGAATGTCCAGTTGGTCAAGTTTTGTCCCAGATGTTGAATGTCCAGTTGGTCAAGTTTTGTCCCAGATGTTGAATGTCCAGTTGGTTCAAGTTTTGTTCCAGATGTTGAATGTCAAGTTGGTTCAAGTTTTGTCCCAGGTCTGTGTTGAATGTCCAGTTGGTTCAAGTTTTGTCCCAGGTCTGTGTTGAATGTCCAGTTGGTTCAAGTTTTGTCCCAGATGTTGAATGTCCAGTTGGTTCGAGTTTTGTCCCAGATGTTGAATGTCCAGTTGGTTCAAGTTTTTTCCATGGTCTGTTTTGAATGTCCAGTTGGTCAAGTTTTGTCCCAGATGTTGAATGTCCAGTTGGTTCAAGTTTTGTCCCAGATGTTGAATGTCCAGTTGGTTCAAGTTTTGTCCCAGATGTTGAATGTCCAGTTGGTTCAAGTTTGGTCCCAGATGTTGAATGTCCAGTTGGTCAAGTTTTGTCCCAGAGGTTGAATGTCCAGTTGGTCAAGTTTAGTCCCAGACGTTGAATGTCCAGTTGGTCAAGTTTTGTCCCAGATGTTGAATGTCCAGTTGGTCAAGTTTTGTCCCAGATGTTGAATGTCCAGTTGGTCAAGTTTTGTCCCAGATGTTGAATGTCCAGTTGGTTCAAGTTTTGTCCAAGGTCTGTGTTGAATGTCCAGTTGGTTCAAGTTTTGTCCCAGATGTTGAATGTCCAGTTGGTCAAGTTTTGTCCCAGACGTTGAATGTCCAGTTGGTCAAGTTTTGTCCAAGGTGTGTGTTGAATGTCCAGTTGGTCAAGTTTTGTCCCAGATGTTGAATGTCCAGTTGGTCAAGTTTTGTCCCAGGTCTGTGTTGAATGTCCAGTTGGTTCAAGTTTTGTCCCAGGTCTGTTTTGAATGTCCAATTGGTTCAAGTTTTGTCCCAGATGTTGAATCTCCAGTTGGTTCAAGTTTTGTCCCAGGTCTGTTTTGAATGTCCAGTTGGTCAAGTTTTGTACCAGATGTTGAATGTCCAGTTGGTTCAAGTTTTGTCCCAGATGTTGAATGTCCAGTTGGTTCAAGTTTTGTCCCAGATGTTGAATGTCCAGTTGGTTCATTGTCCCAGATGTTGAATGTCCAGTTGGTTCAAGTTTTGTCCCAGATGTTGAATGTCCAGTTGGTTCATTGTCCCAGATGTTGAATGTCCAGTTGGTTCAAGTTTTGTCCAAGGTCTGTGTTGAATGTCCAGTTGGTTCAAGTTTTGTCCAAGGTTTGTGTTGAATGTCCAGTTGGTCAAGTTTTGTCCCAGAGGTTGAATGTCCAGTTGGTTCAAGTTTTGTCCCAGGTCTGTGTTGAATGTCCAGTTGGTCAAGTTTTGTACCAGATGTTGAATGTCCAGTTGGTCAAGTTTTGTACCAGATGTTGAATGTCCAGTTGGTCAAGTTTTGTACCAGATGTTGAATGTCCAGTTGGTCAAGTTTTGTACCAGATGTTGAATGTCCAGTTGGTTCAAGTTTTGTCCCAGATGTTGAATGTCCAGTTGGTCAAGTTTTGTCCCAGACGTTGAATGTCCAGTTGGTCAAGTTTTGTCCCAGATGTTGAATGTCCAGTTGGTCAAGTTTTGTCCCAGATGTTGAATGTCCAGTTGGTCAAGTTTTGTCCCAGATGTTGAATGTCCAGTTGGTTCAAGTTTTGTCCAAGGTCTGTGTTGAATGTCCAGTTGGTTCAAGTTTTGTCCCAGATGTTGAATGTCCAGTTGGTCAAGTTTTGTCCCAGACGTTGAATGTCCAGTTGGTCAAGTTTTGTCCAAGGTGTGTGTTGAATGTCCAGTTGGTCAAGTTTTGTCCCAGATGTTGAATGTCCAGTTGGTCAAGTTTTGTCCCAGGTCTGTGTTGAATGTCCAGTTGGTTCAAGTTTTGTCCCAGATGTTGAATGTCCAGTTGGTTCAAGTTTTGTCCCAGATGTTGAATGTCCAGTTGGTTCAAGTTTTGTCCCAGATGTTGAATGTCCAGTTGGTCAAGTTTTGTCCCAGGTCTGTGTTGAATGTCCAGTTGGTTCAAGTTTTGTCCCAGACGTTGAATGTCCAGTTGGTTCAAGTTTTGTCCCAGATGTTGAATGTCCAGTTGGTTCAAGTTTTGTCCCAGATGTTGAATGTCCAGTTGGTCAAGTTTTGTCCCAGGTCTGTGTTGAATGTCCAGTTGGTTCAAGTTTTGTCCCAGGTCTGTGTTGAATGTCCAGTTGGTCAAGTTTTGTCCCAGATGTTGAATGTCCAGTTGGTTCAAGTTTTGTCCCAGATGTTGAATGTCCAGTTGGTCAAGTTTTGTCCCAGATGTTGAATGTCCAGTTGGTTCAAGTTTTGTCCCAGGTCTGTGTTGAATGTCCAGTTGGTTCAAGTTTTGTCCCAGGTCTGTGTTGAATGTCCAGTTGGTTCAAGTTTTGTCCCAGGTCTGTGTTGAATGTCCAGTTGGTTCAAGTTTTGTCCCAGATGTTGAATGTCCAGTTGGTTCAAGTTTTGTCCCAGATGTTGAATGTCCAGTTGGTCAAGTTTTGTCCAAGGTGTGTGTTGAATGTCCAGTTGGTTCAAGTTTTGTCCCAGATGTTGAATGTCCAGTTGGTCAAGTTTTGTCCAAGGTGTGTGTTGAATGTCCAGTTGGTTCAAGTTTTGTCCCAGATGTTGAATGTCCAGTT